CAATGCAAGGCGTATTTTCCGCGTATAATTTTTACGCACTTCGTAAAGTAAAAATGTTACTTCCGTACTATCGATTTATACACATTTATATATCTTTATAAATAGGCGGGTAGTAGGTAGAACTAGAAATGCCAGCGCTCCTAGTACTGAAGGTTTAAAAATTTTAATTTAAATTGCAACTTCACTTCCTAGCACGGTAAATGCAGCAATTATTACGTAGTTACCTTTTTCTGTAGTTCTAGAACTTCCTAGTAGGTAGATGTGATGCTGTAAAACCTCAAGCAGAACATGGAGGTGGAAATTCCAAATCAGGATGAGAGATTTTCATGTAATTCATAGTACCTAATCTCTAGAAAAATATGTAATCTGCCATTCAAGCATAAACATCATCTAGGTATAACTGAATAAACAAACAAAATCTTATTTAGTGTCTTGTTTATATATCGTGTGGTAACATTGAATAAGAATCTCATCATTACCAATTGATCATAATTATTTAGTTACGATACTTACCTCTAAGTAATTAGCAAAGAAGTTAGCTGTTAGATAGTGATTTTTATGAACAGTAAAATTAAGATTGCCAAGGAGCACTATGGTAATATTCATATTAGCATTAGTGACAAGCTGAATTATGATACAAAGAGATTATAAAGTAACCCGCTCAATGCATTAAATGAATAATGCATGAAGCGAATCAATTAATGCACATTTTCTTTAGTTTCTATTAGTGGCATCATCGATCCAGGTACCTTGGAGTACAGGAATCTTAGTTGTAATAAATATTTTAGCAGGATATACATTTTGTTTGAGTAGTTTTTATACCCGGTGAGTACCTACAAATGGAAGAGTCACTACTATAAAGTATCGACTCCCTTGTAAGAAGTAACCACTACTTCAGGAAACCAGTTGTCAGTTGAGCATGAGAAGTAGAGGAAAAAAGTGCAAAATGAATGGGTGTTTTGGGAAAAGCATTCGCAGAAGTGTTTGGGCATAGGAAAAACATGTACCAAATGTCAATGCCGTGATATTAATGGTGAAGCTGTTTTAAATTGGAGGTAAGCATTCTAAATGAAGTTTTCGAGTTCTGAGCGTTAAAATGAAAGCCGTACTACCTACCACAAAAAAGAGGCATTTATAGTGGGTGAAGGCTTGATTATGTAATTACCAAGTTTGAGCAATGAGTATGTTTCTGATTAGGAAAGCTTCCTACTAGTCCAGGGGTCAGAGACTGAAAATCTTTGAATAGACACAAGAATTCCTATTGAAGTTTTTTTTAATGTCTTCGTATATGTCTAAAGAAATAAATATTAAAAATGCGCACCTGAATTCGATAACATAAAAGAAGGAAATTTCGATTAATAAATACCTTAGTAAAGTTTGCGTTTTATTATTCATATTAAAAGAGGTTGATTGGATTCAGTTTTCCGGAGTCGGAGAGCATTTAATAGTAGGTATATTATACCTATATGGGACTAAAGTGTGTGTTTTAATCCCGAAGGTGCAGTTTGTAACAAGTACCTACCCGAAGGGGTAGTACGCACTTTAGTCCTGTGGTATATGTACTATTTTTTGTACCCCGTTAATCAGCTACAGTAATTTCAGTGTTAAAGCCCAAATTGAAAAGAAAAAAATTGTTTTTCCCCATCCGAACACTGCTCTGGGCGAAATAATTATTTATATAGTTTAAACAATATTTATTCTACTTCTATAAAAAGATCAGTTTTTGCACAAAATGGGGTTGGCAAAAAGAAAATTATTGAGAACCAATTAAAATGACGGCAGAAACGCTGGCCTTCATTTCTCACCTGCCAGCACGACTCTGCTATAATCACAACCGCTTGAAGAAGATGAAACCTTGGAATCTGAAAATAATGATGAAAATTAAATTTCCTTCTTTTCCGTACTTATAAGTAAATCAATCAATTTACATATTTAATGCATTATTTGTAATTGTAATAGGTAGTAGTTTTAATCTTTTGTTATATGTAGAGAAAAACAAGTACCTACGAATTGTGGCACAACTCTTGTAAATAGTTACTAGTTGGGTTATAAGCTATATACTACAACAAGGATCAACCCCTTAGAAAAAATCTCCGCAATTTTGCCTTTTTATCTTTGTGGGTAAGTACTTTCCTGCGACACTTCATTTTCGAGATATTCACACTTAACTTTTCATAACGGCAATAGTCTCGTCCAGACGTTCCAACCGCCCTTTGAAAGCACGCCCCTTTGACACTCCGTTCTGCAGATATTTGTACTGACGGCTTTGACATCACCAATAGATGTGTATCGTCCATACATTCCACTTCCCCTTTGTGATTGCCCTCTTCTGCGACACGCCATTTCGAGATATTCAATTTTAGAGTTTTCATCACCAATTGACAATTCCGACACTCCACTCTTGAGATATCAGGAATTATAGCCGATTACGATAAGGAGTCAAGAAGGCGGACTGGGGTTGGTAGAAATTAATTTCTTTCAGTAGAGTAGTATGAAAAATAAAATCTGTTCTACCCCAACCCCCGATTTTGAGAAAGGGCAAGCGAGAAGAGCGGTAGTTGATATAGAAGACAGTTCAAAATCGCGTAAGTGGGTCCGAGTGCACGAACGGACGGCCAAAACGAAAACAATAGCACTTAACAAATGCGCTAAAAATTTTCCTACATAAAAAGGGTACATATTGTTTAAACAATACAAATAATTATTTCCCCCTCTGGGAGGCTTCTGATTTTAAATAATAATAAAAAACAAAATTTTAAAAAATCAACAAAACCAGAGCTGTTGGAAGAAGGGAGACAGTTAACGTTTTCAGATAGTTTTTGCAACGAAGACCATATTATGACTTTACAGATATCTGATATTATGTTTCGGAGGGCCTCCCCCCTTATTCCTCCTGGGGTGCTATTTTGACACGTAAACATGAATAACTTCGAATTTGTGTAAAATTTTGAATAAGCATACTTTTGCTCCTACTATAGTTCACACTAATCCATTACCGCATATTTAGTTTGTTTTTTGATGTTGTCCAAAATCAGAGGGGGGGGGGCGTCTTGAAGTCTTCATATATCCTCTGCAACTTCAAATGGGAAGATTTTCAGAATTGAGTGTCTAAAAATGTCACGCGACCACTCCTTGGAAGATGATCTGCGTTGATTTCCCACGTTTGACCTAATGGGTGGTTGAACTTTGGGTAATTAAATTTTTTTACTAAATCACTTTAAACAATTGTAGGCTCGAGTTTGAGGATTAATTGCACAAAATTAAAGTCATCAAATTTCACCATGTTGTTTTATTTTATTTTATAGCATATGTTAAATTGCCATTTTAATAGGTAATACGTTCTTTATCCTTAAGGGAAGTTAAAGTGAAACAGATGAGTGTGCATTCTAATGATTCTAATGGTGCTACTGATGCTAGAAAGAGATTGGAGAAGTATGCACATTGAACGCTAATATAAAAGGCCTCCTGGATCCATCGCGAAAAAATACATTGCTGTTTCCTTATGGGGCGTTCTACCTGGGACACACTGTATAATAAATATAACTATTAATTAATGTAATCGGGAGTCTGTGTCCCTGCGTCATAGATTTGTGAATCAATTTCAAAGATACGCTAAAGCATATCAGTTTCTTTTAAAGATTCATATTGGAGTGGATCGGATTGTTATTAATTTTTCCTTCTTCAGTCGAAGATGTATCACCGATTAGAGTAACAATCTAACACATTTTGTGATGCCACGATGGGCACAAACCTATCTTCTACAGCCAAGGTAGGTATGGTTTTTAAAATACTTTTATGCATTAACTTAGACTGAGGTTTTGGTGACTGTGGCTTGACAGTTTGTGGCATTGGCATAGGTTTTAGCGTGATATTGATGAAATTTCGTCAAATTATTTATTAAGCTTCATACTCGAGGTCAGGATATTGTTTCTTACATTTTCCGTTGCTTTCATTTGTTTATTCTACAGAGAGGGGGTAGTCGGGGGGCCAAGAAACTTTTAGAAGTGGACAGTACCTCCTCTATATATGCGGTACATAGCAACAAAATACAATTACCTGACACGTACTAGCGATGGTTCACGTCAAATAATTATCACCAAGCTATTAATAAAGTGAGAAGTGCTCTTACGTAACAAAGTAAATTTTTTTTCATGGGTTTCAAGTAATTTTTGCAATTTAAATAAGCGAAAATCCAATGGTTATTACAAGAGTTCGTATTCGTAGCTGGTTTGGACGTAGACGTTCAAATCACAAAACTGTAGTACTTATTAATATGTAATAGCACTACAGTCTTGAGTCTAGACTCTTGTAATAGCAGATAGGTACTTACCTACTATTATTTAATATTTTAATAATAGTATTTTAGTCCGTGGCAATAGTTGCAGGAAGATATTGATCGACGGAAATGTAGGTTCCTAAACTCCAGAGTCCCAAAAATAAAGATCAAGAATCAAGACCTACTTGAAACATTTGAGGTACCTTAATTAAATTAAAACCTAATAAAATTGACCAAAAAAGTAATGTAGGAGGTGTTGAACCACCAAAATCAAATATTTGATGTTTTGGTAGGAACTGAGAAGATTACCTAGATTCAAGAAAAGCGACAATTTTAGCCAACCCCCTTTCCTTTGCCCTTGTTATAGCTTACAAATCAAAATAATTTCACGTCACTAAATAATTAATGAAAAAAACATCAAAGAGCTAAAATATATGGGTCACATTGCTTTTTGCTGATGTTTTTTCTGTCAAACTATGTATGATACTGCAAAAAGGATTAGCGAAGCACTGTTGTTTTTGCTTTCAGTTAATAAATTAATAATCGTAAATTGATTCACACACAAGAATTTAATGAATACTAATAGGCCTTCAATTGCCCAAAACTCATGGTAAAATAGTTTTGTAAATCGACCGATTACAAATCGGGAACTTCCCTTTCCAATAATAGTGGCACCTGCTGGTGGGGATTTAGCCTTACCATTACCAAAAGATGATAGCGACCCTTTGATAGAACAGCAACAATACATAATTCAGTTGCGGTACCAACAAGTGCAGTGTAATTAATAATTATTATTTTGCGGTTAGAATTAACATTCGTAAAACGTAGACGCGATGAAAAATTCACCTTCGATTCCTTTTTTTGTCATAATGTTTCTAATTAGAAGCATTACTGGCAGTGTGCGCGATGGATTTTTGCAACCCTATTCTTCTTTTAAGGAAGACGGAGTGCTTAACGTATCCATTAGTACGGTCAGTCGTTCTAAATCGATAATTGAAGAAAATGTATGTTTTGCGAATTCCTCATGTTTAGAAGGTACGTTTTTGTTACTACTACCTACCTACATCATTTCGAATTGGTCGAACAAATTTACTATTCGCAACGCGATTGAAGAAATTTTAGCGACCTAATTTCGACACGCAAGATAACATTGAACTTCTTGGCGTGTGCGTTAAGTTTTATGATCAGGAAAATCAATTGCAATGTCAAAGTTAATGCAGTTATAAAACGGACGCTGACCCTTACGCAATCACTCTTGCTCAAGAAGTCCTCAGGTTGGGTGAGGTCTCTCACGTGTAAAGAAAGTGAATTTCAGGGTCGATCGGCCAACGGAGATGAATGAAACCGAAATTCTGTTCCGAAAGGGTTAACTGCGATTGTCTAAACTGCTCTAGTTTTAACAGGGTAGCAGAAACGCGAGGAGATGTACGCGCTGCGCCGGTTAAAATTTTAACCCCCGCTCTTTGCGGACACGGTCGCCACCCCTAATCTAAACCGACCTTTCTCGGCATTTACTTTGACAATTTGTAGCACTCAATGAAAGGTCGCGACGCTTGCGAAATTTTGCAACGGAACAACTGAATAGGACTAATTTGCAATTACTTTTCAGTGCCTCCGTAGGTAAATTAGGCGGTCATTAGAACGTCGCCTTGTTTTTATTTATTTTTCTAATTTGTTGCACATTAAATCGAAGGTCCTCTTTTCCAGTAAAATGATGTGAAAATAATCCGGTTGAATAAGTCATTTACAATTTGCATGTTGAAATTACGACACATCCTTGGGTGAAAATTGATTAGAGGATACGGTTGTAAAAGTGTTAGGAATGGCGTCGTAAACGTCAAGAGCAAATTTGTCACATTTTTCTTCTTAATTAGATATGAACGATAAAGTTAAAACAATTAGTATCCAGTCATTAATTGAACAATTCAATGATCCAGTAAAGGACCAGCCATTTACTTTCGTGAGGTTAACATAAACTTTTTTTGCATATTGTTTGCACTACTAAGTGAAAGTATAACAAAAGCAAATGGAGGGTAGGGCAGTACAGGCAGAATCGTAGGAAATTATAGTTAGCGTATTTCGGAAATGACAGTATTTTGCTTAGCCAACCAGCTGAAGCAAAACCATTGGGGATGGAAGTATAGGTATGGTCTTCTCGCGAAAACTATCTTGACGGAACTCTTACAATTACAACTCTCCCTTCCCAAAAACCAATTACATCGTTCCATAGCTTGAGTCAACATATGACAATGCATAGCTATAGCCACAGGTCTACTAGCATATACAGGGTGTTTTTTGGGAACTTTAGTTAAAGGTCTCTGGGAAAGTAAAATAGGTAGGTTTTTAAAAATTTGTACTTAGGAGTTACTCCGAAGGCCGAATCGATGTAAAATATTTTCAAAATGTCCGCACTTCCAGAAATACCGGAAGTAGATAATAACTTCGATATTTTTAATGGCAACCTCTATTTTTTTTATTACATTTTGGATTCTACGTGAAATTTCAGTTCTTTTGATACCCACATGAGGATATCTACCATTGGTCAATTAATCCAATGAATAAATCTCTTCATCTCTTCAACTATTTCAAGAAACCTGAACCCCGGGTTTTTCCGGACTGAAGTTGTCGTACGTCTTTCGAGATTCACTTTCAACGAGCAGTCAAGTTTACCGGGCGATTATCCGAAAATTTACAAAAAAATACTACATGATAGATATTATTTTGAAATTTCTACATTGTCTATATAAAGGCTAAACCTACTATTAATTAATTAGAAGGTACTATAAGGATCACTATATTTCCATCCTCAATTATGTCGTTGAGCCTACGGAACTAGTTCATTTGTTTAGAAGCTGGACTTCTCCAGGATCTGCCGCGAAGAAAGGTACCCAAATGTTGCGCTCTTCTAGTTATAACTACCCCCAGGCTTCATAGGGATACGAGATTTGGATGCACATGATATCACCGAATTCTTTCTTTTAGGAACCGGCTACTCCCAGGTTTTAAAACAACTCACCAAGTATGCCTACTCTCCCGTTCGTTTCAACCTGGACATTCCTGGAGTGAATACCAAGTGCAAGGTTCAAAGTCTCCAATATCAACGCGCCCTTGATCTCTTTGAGATGTGGGCACTTAAGAGTAAGTAACCATTAATTAGGTCTCCCACGAGTGTAATCCTTTTTAGTGTACGATTCAAATGCGAAAATTCCGTCTGGTATTTTGAACGGAAATATCAACCAGTTGGGAGATTTTGATCTCTGCTTGTCAGTCGACGAGAAAAAACTGCAATTGAAGGGACAATACTGCCTTGCGTCGTTGCAAATTAAAACGCCCTTAAATGGACAACTGAGCGCTATACACAAATTGGTCCACTCGCACTACATGCTCAAAAGCAACCTGGATGACGTAAGTATTGCGCGGAAATTAGATCAATTGATGGTTACACTTTTCGATAGCCCGGTCATCGTGTACCTCGATTTTCGAGCATTAACTGGGCGATATGCGTGCCAAATTTGTGCGAGCCTGGAGACGTTCACTTGGCGGTACAAAAAGCGGTCGATGCAATCTTCAATGGAACCAATCTGGACGTTGAGGTCATGGTCGATCCTATTATGTGCCAAACTGCACAAAGTGAGGAACTGTCGTGGTTAACGTATCTGGTAGGGTAAGTGTCCAAAGACCTCCAAAAGTAATTAACACGATATTGTTAAACATAACAATGTACGGTTCATTCATCTCTTTGGGTGTGATGGGACCTTTGTTGTTTAACCTGTCGCATATAATCAAAGTAATTTACACACTATGACCATCGCAATGCAAATAGTAAAATAGTTATTATTAATCGTTGACGGGTAACCTTGAATGCTCACCGCATCCTCTTTGCGATAGTGAAACAAAAATATTACTTAGGCCTTGCAGTTACACTGATTGACATACCGCTTCTTGAGACTGGAAGCTTGATTTATGCCAAGCACGTAAATTTCGTATGTGCTTTCATTCAAACGCAACAATTCGAATATACATCGATAGAATAATAACTTGCTACTGAACAAATTTGTCTTCTTATCAAAAGTTACTAAACGTCCAATATAATCTTGATTTTAGAATTTAAAGTAAAAATTAATTTAAAGTGAAACGGTACATTACCTAATAATGACATTGATTTTGATGGCATTATTTATTAATTTTGGTACGTTGGTCTTAGACGGCACCTTCTGTGCAATTAAATATGTCAAGGTATAAACTAAATATATTAATTAGTTATGTATTGGTTGCTGGACTTAGAAGACTTTAGAAACAGCCTTGCTATTTTCAACTGGTGTTTAGTATACCTTCCAATGCCGGAGGCAACTAACAAATTTGATTCTAGAGCAAGGATTATATAATAATCCTTGATCTCAGAGTAGATAATATGTTTTCCCGAGGAATTTCGGAGTAGTTGTTTTCGGTGAAAATACAAAGGGTATAGTCTTGCCTATAAATTAGCTCGAAATGAATTGTCGGAAATCGACCGAAAAACACTTATTCTTATAGATTTTGGCCGGTACATTCCAAAACTGCTTATAGTTTGAAGATTATGTCACTTCTCAATCAAAAGTTATTGGCAAAACGCCCATTTCGAAAAAAAATTCAAAGGGCTGTTACTTTTGATCTAGTGGCCCAATCTTCAAACTGTTTGAAATTATTTTTTCCCGGTCGATCTGAGACAATTTTTTTTTCGAGGCAAAAAAAAGGCAGTGTATAACCTTCCTTTTTTACCAAAAATCGACTGCACCAAAATTTCTCGGGAAAAAACTTTTTCTTATTAATTTTGGTGCGTAGAATCCAAAACGATTCGTACTTTTTCGATTAGACGTCTCAATCAAAAGTTATGGGCAAAAATACCAATTTCGACAAAAAATTCAAAGGGCCGTAACTTTTGATCTAGTAGCCCGATCTTGGAACTGTTTGAAATTATGGATCTGCAGGCCACATTCTATAAGAAAATATTTTTTTCCGGTCGATCTGAGATAATTTTTTTTCGAGGCAAAAAAAACCTTCCTTTATTACCAAAAATCGACTGCACCAAAATTTCTCGGGAAAAAACTTTTTCTTATTAATTTTGGTGCGTAGAATCCAAAACGATTCGTACTTTTTCGATTAGACGTCTCAATCAAAAGTTATGGGTAAAAAACCAATTTCGAAAAAAATTCAAAGGGCTGTAACTTTTGATCTAGTAGTCCGATCTTGGAACTGTGGGAAAATTATGGGATTCCTACCAGGCCCACTTCCATAAGACAATATTTTTCCCGATCGATCTGAGACAATTTTTTTTTCGAGGCAAAAAAAGGCAGTGTACAACCTTCCTTTTTTACCAAAAATCGACTGCACCAAAATTTCTCGGGAAAACATTTTTTCTTATTAATTTTGGTGCGTAGAATCCAAAACAATTCGTACTTTTTCGATCAGACTTCTCAATCAAAAGTTAGAGACTAGAAACCAATTTCGAAAGAAAATTCAAAGGGCTGTAACTTTTGAACTAGTAGCCCAATCTTGGAACTGTTGGAAATTATGGATTCTACAGGCCACATTCTATAAGAAAAATTTTTTTCCGGGTCGATCTGAGACAATTTTTTTTGCGGGCCTCAAAAGAAGGCAGTGTATAACCTTCCTTTTTTACCAAAAATCGACTACACCAAAATTTCTCGGGAAAACACTTTTTCTTGTTAATTTTGGTGCGTAGAATCCAAAACAATTCGTACTTTTTCGATTAGACTTCTCAATCAAAAGTTATAGACTAGAAACCAATTTCGAAAGAAAATTCAAAGGGCCGTAACTTTTGAACTAGTAGCCCAATCTTGGAACTGTTTGAAATTATGGATTCTACAGGCCACATTCTATAAGAAAATTTTTTTCCGGGTCGATCTGAGATAATTTTTTTTCGGGGCTCAAAAAAAGGCAGTGTATAACCTTCCTTTTTTACCAAAAATCGACTACACCAAAATTTCTCGGGAAAACACTTTTTCTTATTAATTTTTGGGCGTAGAATCCAAAACAATTCGTACTTTTTCGATTAGACTTCTCAATCAAAAGTTATAGACTAGAAACCAATTTCGAAAGAAAATTTAAAGGGCTGTAACTTTTGAACTAGTAGCCCAATCTTGGAACTGTTTGAAATTATGGATTTTACAGGCCACATTCTATAAGAAAATTTTTTTTCCGGGTCGATCTGAGACAATTTTTTTTTCGGGGCTCAAAAAAAAGCAGTGTATAACCTTCCTTTTTTACCAAAAATCGACTACACCAAAATTTCTCGGGAAAACACTTTTTCTTATTAATTTTGGTGCGTAGAATCCAAAACGAATCGTACTTTTTCGATCAGACTTCTCAATCAAAAGTTATAGACTAGAAACCAATTTCGAAAGAAAATTCAAAGGGCTGTAACTTTTGAACTAGTAGCCCGATCTTGGAACTGTTTGAAATTATGGATTCTACAGGCCACATTCTATAAGAAAATATTTTTTTTTTCCGGTCGATCTGAGACAATTTTTTTTAGACTTCTCAATCAAATTGTTCAATTTTGTTCAATCAAAAGGTCAGATGTACTAGAAACCAATTTCGAAGCAAGTGTGTAACCTTCGTTTTATACCAATTTCGACTACTCCAAAATTTTTAGGGAAAACACTTTTTCTTATAAATTTTGGTGCGTAGAATCCAATAAGATTCGTATTTTTTCGATTAGGCCTCTAGAGTCTAGACATCTATGTATGCTAATTTAGTTGAATATTATTTTCATAAAACGTTAACATGGAATTTAAAAATGCACAATTAAAACGTGTGCCATTAGTTACCTATTTAACGTGTTTTACAACATCTAAGTGTGAGCTGTTTCTATTGACCCCTAAAATTAAAAAAATTGAGGCTAATTGTGCTTATTGTGAAATAACAAAAAAACATTATCCATTTATTGTATATCACATTTTATGTAAATTAAAATTAGATGTCATAATCATCAGTTGAAAGAGACGTTTTGCTTCTTCTGAATTTCATATTTTAATTACAAACCTTGTCGTGGCGTTTTTAATCTTAGGTTCATATTTTGGGGTAGGTTGGGAGCTTTGAATGTAGACCTATGTAAAAGTCAATCAAAGGTTCGGAGAGTTCGTGTGAATAAATGCGTTTAGTAGATGACGAGGTGCCATTTGACATACCTAAAGTTCATTTAGAGACCCATGTGTTTTTTGCATGGGAACCTGAATCAATATTTTCATATTATGTACCAATGCCAATATTGTAGGTAGATGTAGAGCATACGAGTTTAGACGTTTTGGTGTATGATACAACATAATAAATTGATCTTCCTCGAAGCCTCGAAGCAATTTATAATACAATTTTAATAATACCCTAAACCTTTAAATTAAAAAAATATTATATATAAAAATACCTTCAGAGGATTTAAAGGATTTTCTTCTTTCGTGAAGTCGGTGGTAACTGCACCATGTCAAGTATTAAATTCTGACTGAGAAGATAGGTACTTACTTCTAATTTGATAGTAAAAATGCTCGATAAATGAATAATTGCATAGACCCTTACACCATACAGTACATGGACAGCTAATTGCAACACAAATATGGCGATGACCATCGCCTGGGTATTTGAGTTTCAGCGTAAATCGTTTTAACGGCGTAGGAGCAATTTTTGTGGAACAGATGTAGAGCATTCAAAGGTTTTCCAGAGAAATCTAAGGTTTTATAGAACTGGAAAGGTTGTTCCTTGAGATTTATTGTACATGCACCGGCTTTTGGATGCTTTGTATTTCTAGACTATTCAAGGACTTTCCAGAGCACTTGGAGCCACTTTTTTAGACTTAAAATTTAATTTCCGTCCGAATTATTCTAATTTTTTAATACATACTGGAAACGGATACCCAAAGGACAAAAATGAAAAACCCCCAACTGCAAAGGTGACTTAGACTTAATTTGCAATAAAAATTCAGGCCTTTTGCTATTGGTCTTTGGTAGACTGAATATGCTCATGTATAACTTTAAAATTAATTCTCGCGTTTGGAATTCTGTGGGTTCAGTTTACTTTAGATATACGTGACCTCTATAGCACATCGTAATTTTATAACTGCCAGCCATTGACTTTTGCCATTGGTCATCCTTGGAGAAAATCCCAGTATTTATTCAATTTTTCCAGTACGAATAGCATACAAAAAGATGAAAAGAAGTTACCGATGATGGCTAATAAATCTTCTTGTTTCAGAACATTATTTTTAGCAGTGATTCTATTGTCATTTATTGCGACCGTTTATGACTGCTACTCAGTTGAAAAAAGTAAGTTTAAAACCATGCAAATTAAGCGGCCACCAGTATTTATTGTACCAATCAACTTAGTCAAGGACCCACAATAAATATTGCTCCTATCGATTTTATAATTTCAGCAAAGCTCTATGTGGCGTTTTCGTTAAAGAAGAATTTATCGGCCCTATTTTCTACTAGGAGATCATCAGACGACATCGAGGCGCTTCACGGAATTCGATTTATTAACGCTTTTATGCTGGTCATATCCCATAAGTCGATGGCATCATTTTTCGTGCCGTACGTGAACAGAACGAGTATGAGCGAGGTAAGTTATAATAAGCAGTTGGTGCAGTAGTAGGCCAAACACACTTCATCTCGTATTAGGATCGCATAACATTAAAAAGATCAGATTCTGCACTTCGGTAAATTTCGCTGAAGGGGTTTTTGTGGAAGGGTTAAACTCAGCCAAGACGTTTGTATTGGATATTATATTAGGCGAACATAAACGCTAGCAGTATTCAGGTACAACTTGTAAAAAATGATGTATACTTTCTTACGGCAATTTGATAAGGGGGAACTAACACCTACTAATGGTAAGTAAAATAACAGTGCGAGTGTGATATTGATATAATTATGTGTGAAATAATAATTATGTTGTGGGTGTGTATTATATTCCTTGGCGCTTCGGACGCAAAATTTCACATTTTCTATTAGGATGACAGAGAGCAGGAGGAGCTTAAATATAAATTCTGATTATTATATGAAATAAATAAAAAATGGAGAGTAGCCGACCTGCTTGTGTAATAAATGTTACGTCCAAAACAAATGGCATAGCGAGGATTCCGTGGGAAATTTCCCTATTTTTTATCAGGAGAACATCAAATTAAAAGTGTACGGATTCGTTTTGCACACGTTTTGCGTATGTTTGGTGGACTATACCGAAGGCCGCAACATTGATTATTACAATCAATGAGCAGAGCATCATAAACTTTCCGTTTGTAATTATAAACGAAACTGCAACCAACACTACTGATGTAAAATATCTTGCCCTATGTTCATTTAAAATAATTATTAGTTTTATTACATATTTACATCAATTACACTAGGGGCTTATTTGTAAAAATCAATTTTATTGAAAGTGTACATTTGCTCATAAGTTTTAAACGTGTTTCATAATCCAAATCCATTTTCAACGGAATTTTAAGCATTACCTATACAAAAGAGCATTTTAAAAAGTCATATTAAAAGTCACTTTTAGTATTGTTTGAGAGATGAGAGCTGTTGGAAAAGAAGAGTATCCTTTTAGATGGAGTACTTGGGTGCTTCACAGCATTTGAGAATTTAGATAACTTAAATAGAATCCTTTAACAAATTAAAGACCAAATCTTCAAAAAATCGACAATTTACGTTACAGTGAAGAATGTACCTAGGTACTAGGTATTTAATTTTTCAATTTTGTACCGAGTAAAGTTTGATTTAAGTAGGTACCTACTTATAGTTATTATATTATTATTAACTTAATAACAATCAGTTGTTTGCGCTCTCCCTGACGTAGCTTTTTTTTATCTTTAACGTTAGCGGTTTCGGAAAAGTATGTGAAAAATCCACTTATTTTCATTGCTTGGAAATAGGTATGCCTACTTAACTTTTTCTCACTTTGTCCAAATTGCAGATCATGGGAAAACCATGGACAGTGATCGGCCGAGCCGCCAGCCTTTACACAGATCCTTTCGTGATGATGTCAGGAATGCTCACCACACACTGCCTGCTCAAGAAGTTGAACAACAAACGCCCAGTCAACATTTTACAAGAATATGTCTCACGACTGTTCCGAATCGTACCGACATTAGGAGCCCTAATATTGTTCTGCACGTTTATTTTACCATCCGTGAGCTCTGGACCAAATTGGAAGCTAGTAGTCACCCACCACGCCGACATTTGCAAAAGATATTGGTGGAGAAACATGCTTTTTATACATAATTATTTCGGTTTTAAGAACATGGTAGGTAGTTTCCCGTATTTTCAATTGTTGATATTCATGCTTGCAGTGTCTTACTCACACTCACCACGTTGGACTTGATACGCAGCTGTTTTTGGTTGCGATCATAGTTGTACCGCTGGTATGGAGGTGGCCAAAGAGGGGACTGGCAAGTCTATTTGTACTTGCTGGGTTATCTACTGCATTGCGATACTACGCCACCTATTCAAGAAAATTGTCCAATTTCGTTCATTTTGGTACATCGTAAGTATCAACAAAGGGACCCTGAACATTTTTGGTACCTACTTATTTTCCCAGTTGGAGTGGATTCAGTCAGAAAATGGTTTGATTTTTACTTATTAGTTATTAATAAAATTCATAAATGAGAAACTATTATATTAAGTGATAGATACTAAATCATTTTTAGGATTGAGCAACTTTTTGATACAGCTGATCATATGTATATCTTACCAATCCACCGAGCAACTGTATACATACTTGGAGTTTTACTGGCATTCCTTCAATGCAACTATCAGAGCGTCAATTTGAGCAAGGTAGGTATTTTCCTTGTGACGACTTTTTAATTTGTATGTTTCCAGTCACAAATCAGGCTCGGCAACACACTATCGTTACTCTGTTTGGGGGTCTCATTTTTAGGACCTTCCTTTATGGGTAGCATCGATTACGTTTATAATCCAACGGACGCCGCTTGGTATGCGGCTTTTGCACCTATCTTTTGGTGCTTGGCATTTGCTTGGATTATTTTCACGGCACACACAAAGCAAACAGGTACCTATCCAAGATCATTGCTTGCACCTACCCGATTAACTACCTCCCGTACATATAGGATTTATCGGTAAAATACTGTCGCACAAATTTTTCCTGATTACCACAAGACTGTCCTATTCGATATATTTAACGCAGTTCCCAATTTTCTTTTACAACGTGGGAACTACAAGGAACGCAGAGTACTACGACTTCATCAGCAAAACTGTAATTATGTAACCAATTGGAACTTACAAGCCGCTCTATAATTATTGTTTTCAGCTAAACGTCGCCGAATGGTTATGGATCATTTTGTGTTCGATCCTTTTGAGTTTGCTATTCGAGCTTCCCTTCCAAAATATTCGAGATATAATATTGAAGAAAGGCGAACGACTTCAAAAATAGGAGACAATTACCGTAATCTTCGATTGTCAGCTTCTTTATTTTCTAGTCTTTAAGTATTTAAGAATGCCAATTGATAAGCCATAATAAAAGATTTATTAGCTGGAATTTTTATTTGATCTTCCTACTCTCATTACTAAACTCATTTTGGAGCATTGTCTGGCTCTTGCCAAAGCGTTGGTGCTTTTTGAAGTCCCTAAAGTCTTAAAAATGACTTAAGGAACTTGAAAAGACTGGAAAGACATCTAAACCGCTTTCATACCAATCGACTGCTTTTCATAATCTTCTTTCACCTCTTCTTAGGCTTTCCGGAGCGTTTTCTTTCTACAGATTTTTACACTGTGCATTCCCCACGTAGACATTAAATACGCTAGAGAACTGCACCAGCAGATCGTCAAAAATCTTTAAACGTTAAAGAATTATTGATCTCCTCGACTATCAATTTTACACGAAAAGTACAGATGAAAACGCAATCAATATTCATGTTAACGTCGAATATCTCAAACAGAACCACCTAGGCGAGTTAATTAGAGGACCCCCCTTCTCGTATTGCTATAACCCTGCAAGAGCTGCAGTCCGTACGAGGTGAAAAAGGAGCATGTAGGTATAGCAAAGAATTCAACTGCATGAGGGTCTCTGTCCACGGAAATAAATTGTTCATCAACACATACACGGAAATATGCATCAGTCGCTTAGTTGTCTTCACGTAAAAATCACGCGTTGGTTGTGACGATTCTTCGCGGGATATCTGTTCCATTGGATCAGAGTGTTTCCTAGAGTACCACAAATTTTCCATTTGGTATCACCATTGGACAGGAGGGAGATGGGCGTCATGGAAGTAGTGGCGACGCGCTCAAAAAGAATTTTTCCCATGAGTGTCCAACCCAACAACGCTGCAACAGCTACAAGACCGCAACGTTCCAATGTAACATCAGCTTTCCAAAGATGCCACACCCAACTAATAATTCAATTGGTGCATTATTACCGACGTCGCTTAAGGTAACATGCAAACTATGCAACTCAGCCATCCAATCTGAATGTCAGAACTCAGGACACATAAATTGTAACGACTCGAGCACCGATGTGCGCCTTAGTTACCCGTTTGAGACACATTCATTTGTCCGATGGATCAAGAGATAAATCTTTGTGTACTTTCTTGAACTGGGACCAAAAAGGGTAACTATTGTTTGATGGTGCCATTAAAAAAGTTTATTCTATCTCCTTAAAGGTAGTAGATAGGCGAATTTTGAGAAATATAGCTCCCAAAGTAAAACGATTTGACGTACGTACTACTCATACTTATTCGTTACACCCTGTATAAATCTTTTAATCAGACTACTAACAACTAATGGATATGTTTAGCGAATGTATGGAATTTAACTTAAAAATGATCAAAGTCCTCGTGTGAGGCTGAAGGGATTTCAGCGCATTTTTTGTGGCGGATCAGTATTTTATTAGCCAGTTTTGACTCCACCATTAATAAAATCTTGTCGAAGGCTACCATATTCCCTTTGTCCCGACTTCCGGATTACAAAATCTGAACTATACCTTGTCCGTTCTACGCTTTCGTAGATTGCGTTGATCATTAAATCCTACTAGAAAAAATTAAGAAATATGGATTGAGAGGTAGTGTGAATAGCTTGCTAAAAAGCTACTTACCCGGTAGAAGGCATGTGGAATATTTAAACAAAACGTCCCAATGCAAGGAAATAGACGTCGGGGTTCCCCAGGGCAATGTCCTGGGACCCTTACTATTTATTTTGTATTGTAATGACTTGGGTCAACATAATTTCTACTCATTACACAGCTTTTGCTGATGATATAACTTTATTGTTTCCTAATACATTTATAAGTCCCTTAGCAAAGACATTAAAAATCGATCTACTCAATCTTGACGCTTACTTAAACAAAAATAACTTTATCTTAAATTTAGACAAAACAAACTTTATGCAATTCTAATCCTCGTCAGCATCTTTACACTGAAAGCCTACTTATAAGATAAAATGGCAAATCACTCCAACAAATATTATCAATTAGGTAAGTTATTAGGACGAATTGAGCTTGACTTTTCTTTAAACTGGAAGAACAATATTATATTACTCGCGAAAGATTGTGCCAAAAATTGTTATGCCCTAAAAACAGTGTTGTGATGTATCTTAGATACTTGTATCTAGATACTTAAAAAGTATCTAGGTACATATTAAGATCCTTTTCAAAATTGGTATCTGTATCTACAATTCAAATACTTTTTTTGTATCTGAGTTTAGGTACGTTTTCTTTATTGTCCAGTTCCATTAATCAATAATGTATAATGATGTATTAAAATTATATTTTCAAATGACAAAACGCTTTTTATTGCTTGAGGGGCGTCGATAACTGTTTACCAGCATCAAGCATGGAAAATAAAGTATCTGTATAGATCCTTTTTGTTTTTAGGTATCTAGTTGTATCTGTATCTTTACCTAGATCCAAGAATGAAAGTGTCTATTACAACACATACTGCACCAAAATTTTGGTGCGTACAATCCAAAAAGGTTCGTACTTTTTCGATTAGATGTCTCAATCAAAAGTTATGGGCAAAAAACCAATTTTGACAAAAAATTCAAAGGGCTGTAACTTTTTATCTAGTAGCTCGATCTTGGAACTGTTTGAAATTATGGATTCCACAGGCCACATTCTATAAGAAAATACTTTTTTCCGGTCGATCTGAGACAATTTTTTCTTCGGGCCAAAAAAAAGGCAGTGTATAACCTTCCTTTTTTTACCAAAAATCGACTGCACCAAAATTTCTCGGGAAAAAACTTTTTCTTATTAATTTTGGTGCGTAGAATCCAAAACGGTTCGTACTTTTTCGATTAGACGTCTCAATCAAAAGTTATGGGCAAAAAACCAATTTCGAAAAAAAATTCAAAGGGCTGTAACTTTTGATCTAGTAGCTCGATCTTAGAACTGTTTGAAATTATGGATTCAAGAAGTCCGCAGCTTTAAAAATGCAAATAAAAAATGTCTAGTCATTCATGCGTTTTGTTCTGTGGAAGAATATCTCGACCATGCATTCCAACTTTGATTTACTATATTTTTGTTATTTATAAGTTTTACCTACTCGTCTTTGTTTTTTTCAGAAACTGTAACTGTGAGATACCTACCTTGTTTTAATTTACTTACTATATATTCAAATACGTGTTTAGGTAGGTATATTATTTTTTATTGTTTGTGAAGAATGACTTGTCCAATATCCTTTATAAATCTGTGATTTACTGGATGGAAATAAATATTATATTACCTATTATTATTAATTTGAGTTTGAAGTTTTGACTCCACATCAGTAAAGATCTTTTCTGGTGCAACCACATTCTCTTTGTCGGTACCCGTTCTTCCGCAATTCGCATTTTGGTGGATTTCGCTAAAAACCTGTCACAAAATAGTACTCAATTTTTGGGTACTTCTCATAGCTCAAGTTTCTATATTGGCGACACCAGAAAGAGAGACTGCAATTAAAGCTCTAAGAAACTTTCAGGCGCCCAAAGTCGAGTACATCACCTTGCAAAAGGTGGTTAATTTCGATCCTAGGGGGAAAAAAAATTCCGCCCCGCAGGAATTGTGCGCATTTACAAGATCTTTCCGACAACACCAATTTGAAAAGAATTGGACCAAAACTGCAGAAAAGGATAGGAAAAAAACCGAAAAATCTCCTGGCTAGTATAACACGCTCGGGGATGACGCCGACTCCACATCATGTCCTTAATTATTCGGCCCTGAGGTACATGTACACTCCTCGTCTTTCTACAAGTGTTCTTCTACGGACCCGCATTTGCTGCCGGCCAGCCAGCCGGCCTAAGTGAGATTAAAAGCTACCTTTTTACAAATAAATTTGCAAGAAAGCACTATAAATTATAGAACCTTTTTCCGAGCTTTCTAGGTTTCTTACAAAACTCTTTTGGGAGAATTTTATCCTTTCCCTTTTCATTCTTCATCCACTTTTAAGAGTGAACCTCTTCCATAGCTTTCTAAACCCTTTTCGAAAGCTCCTAGTCTGTTCCTAGACCTAGAAATCTGTGAAAAGCGCTGCAATTCAAGGAAAGTGCCTTATAACATTCTCTATATCTCTGGGAAGTACCAAAATACTCTTAAAAATCTCTCAAACGCTTTACAGAGCCTTTAAGATCTAGATAGCTTTTGAAGTTTGCTTTTTTGAAAATTTCCAAATCTATTTCTTATAAATTTGCTAACATTATACTAGGTACAAGTAACAGATTCTTGAAAAAAATTTATTTAAGTATAATAAAATAATAAATAGTTCTGATTTTTTGTATTTATGTTACATAATGTATAATAAGTACGCTAAGAACTAAGCAACTATGAAGTATTTCATACTAAAATAATATGATAAGACCAAAGAATTTACATACAATTTCGCTGTACAAAAGCTATGCGGCTTATTTTAAATATATTGTTATAAAAAGAGTTCCTCACATGGTACAGACAGTGAATTATGTAAAAGAAGAAAGCAATAAAGGCAAAAACGGCACTTATGCCAATGGTTTATCCTCCGCAATGGGGGTTGTGGCCACTGATCCAGACCTCGATCGACCGGCATCATCCAAGTTTTGTATTGAGCTTGATCTCGAAGATACTTTGGTCTGGAACATTTGACATTTAGATCGGAAAAAGATTGAGGAAGACTTACCTTAACGTTTTCATATGCGGACCCAACTCTCTCCTCGATCGATTTGAAGGAATCGGAATGTCTCATTTGACCTAATTTGTTTGAAATGCTTCCGGTGATACCACCAATCACTGAGGATGTTTTTTGATAGCTACAATTTATAATTTGTTAATACCAACTGAGAGAAGGAGCGGCAAGGAAACTGAGATGCGAATTTGAAATGACTTACATTGGAGCATCGGTTACAGCTTTAGTGACTTGGCCCACCTTTTGTTCCACGGTTTGATAACTAATTTACATAAAAAAAATAAAGCCTCTATTATAGGTACATGCAAAAATAACAAGGGGAAACCACTTCAAATTGTGCTTTACAATCCTATGACTAAGACTGAACAAATAAGTATTTGATTATTTTTGAATGGACTATAAAAAATCCATGTCCGAACACAGGTTTGAACCATGGACCTTCTAGGTCATAGCCAAAGAACCACTCACCACACCAACCTGCCCACAATATCTTTTTTTTATTTTTTTAAATTTATATCTATCTCATGTTTTGCATTGACAATATAAGTGGTTTCCCTCTCCAAAATAAGGTATGAGAATCCTTAATCTACTTCTACTTACGCCATGCGAAGGAGGAAACAAAAACGGATACCTACACGTTACTTTCTTTTACATTTTTAATGCCTTGATTCATGTCATCGGAAATTTCTTTCCAGACCGTTATACCAAGATTACGCTTCAACTCGGCACTGCGCTTCATCTTCGATGCTAGCACCGTACGCAAGGTAGCAATTTCATCTTCAACTTGTGCCAATTCTGCTCGCCATATGGACCTTTGATGTTCCTGCTCTTCAAAGGAGAGATGCGACACATCCTGAGCAACACCTTCTGCAATCATCGCCTCCTCTGCAAACGAAATTGAAACGAAAATTACACAAATGGAATCGCCACTTACCGCTCACACTAATATCTAAATACTTCCTAAAATTACCCTCCTTAGGCAACTTGACCAAATACGGTTTAGTTAAATCGCAGTAAGTCACCCGCACCTGTCGCTGGAAAGCCCTCTTAAAAAACGTCCGTATAATCGCATTCGCCCTAGTCGCGTTGAAAAACTCTGTTTCGACATTCACCGACTCGTCGTTTAGTAAATTTCCATTTAAATCGTCAAAATCAAGCTGTCTCAAATCAAACAGGTCGTACTCGTGATCGCCGCAATCGCTTAGTTCATCTAAACTAGGCGTTGAGGTACTGTCGTTCGGATTAAAATACGGATCCTCAATGTACTCTAAGCTGTGCTCTTCCTCGTTGCTCATTTCGCAATAAGAAATTAACGCATTTTGCTACCGAAAGCCGACCGAGCGTGAACAATTAACTTTCTCTCTCAGTGAAAAAACATAATAGACTGCTTTCGTTATGAATGTACACGTAAAATAATTGATTTTATATCGCTAATAATAAATCTATAAATACAACACACACACACATCTGGAAGATTGTAACGGTATTTACTTCTTATTTTGACACGTCATATGGGCAATTAATTAAAAGGGTCGGTCTATATTTCGTAAGGTGTCCGAAGCCAAATATAAACGTATTAATAAATATGATTAGCGGTAAATTAAAAGCAATTATGGAATGTTATGTAAATCGATTAACGCGTTTTTTTTTTAAATTGAATCTAAAATTTTTACATACCTGTACTCGGACTAATGCTGTTCATTGCGTTGATTATTTTTTAAGGAACCACTGAAAAATGGGCAATTTTGATAACAGACACATTCATTAAATAAATATAATTTTTATATTGTTGACAACTAACTTATTTGTCAAAGTCAAAACGCATTTAATTGATCGGTAAAGTAGGAAGTGATATTTATCTTTTAAATTTCAAAGACTATGTACGAGGTGAGTCAACGCTAAAGGCACCTAAAAAAAATCGGAAATGGCGTATGTAAAGTTGCCTACCATCGAGTACTTCCTGAAAGTTGATAACATTTAACAACATTCTATATTCTCTGGACACCTTCCTGTGGTGTTTAACAAAATAATATTTCGTTCTTCTTCAATTTTAAGTAATTGGCGTAGTTATGAGGACGCATCGGTATGACTGGTTGTTGATTTTTACCTATTTGTCAATTTTGATTGTGACTGAATTTATGAAGTAAAATAAATGGATATATAACTAAAGTTTAAAATTTAAAAGTGGTGTCAGAAGTGGGATTATAAACAGCACGTGACACGACTGCACAATGGACCTTTCCCGCGACTTTATTGATGCTTTGTCAAGCATGGTGGTCAATGCGATCCAGGTAGCAGCAACTATCGTCACTCCACCCGGGTCAAACCAGAAACCAGGTCTGTACACCAACGTTGAATGAATACCAGTTTAGCAGGCGACGCTGTTGCGTTTTATGGAATAATATTTACAAAATGGTAGCCGAAGTGCACGCGGCAAGCGCTGTCGTCGGAGTGAGCGGGGATGCGGGTCTTCTGGCTGGTGGAGCGTGGCGCGAGGTCGAGCTGACCTAGGCGAACTGCTTCTGCAGGTGGAGAGCCGGTTGTCTCTTGAAGCGCCGTCGAAGCAGGAATTGCTTTGCTGAGTTCGAAATTGTACTGCTTTTAAACGTTTGCGACCAGGGACCGGCTTGACCAATGAGGACACAGCGCGTTTTATTTTGCTGCCGGATGTGCATGCGGCGCGTCGCCATAACCCGTCTAACGAAAAACGATGGAAGATTATTTCAAACGGTTTGACTGGGCTGTGCTACTTTCGAAGGTACCGGACAACGACCATGGTAATAATTATGCACGTCCTCAGTCCCCTGAAGACCTTTTGTACACTGATATAAAAAAACGCTTACTGATCAGCGGATCGTAGCACGATTGAAGTACGAAGGCCACAAATTAAAGATGGAGCTCAAAACTGGCGTACAATATGCCATAATTAGTGAGACAACTCTATGCACTATCAAACCTCGATCTGCATTACAGAGATCCGATAGGCAGTTTTCTAGTTATACACGCCCTATAGAACAAATTGTCTTAGCAGACTCCCTCTACACGGAAGGAAGGCAATCTTTGTGTTATCGAGGGTGATTTTGATACCGTTTTGAGCCGAGAGTGGATCACACACTTTGGCTTTGAAATTAATTTCTCTGCACTTTTACCTGAACCGGAGCGTAAATGTTCAGTGTGTTCTCTTGCACTTGATTCTTCATGTCAGCTTCGAGTGTCTTTTCATCTCGTCGGCGGTAAATTTCTCGTTTGCCACTTTAGCTTTAGTATATGTGTCGAAATTATTGTAATATTTCCTAAAATGTTTAAATAGATATAAATTTTCATAGCTTGCCCACCGGATTGTCTAAATTTAACCAACTGGCTCCTAACTTTTAGCATAGTTTCATATACAGTGATATTCATTAAGAAGTAGACATAGGGATTTGTTTCCCTACGTTTGATTTTAAATGACAAAATCTCTTCTGAAAGACGCATAATTTTATGCAACCAAAATAACGTCTTAAATCAAATGAGAGGCTGGCTGTCATTTAATTAATTTGAATATTGCTGCTTTAGCTTCCGTATTATTATTTTCGTTCGTGTGCGATGTATTCAACTGAAGAAAAAGTTGATATTGTCAATTAGTATAGTGTAAATTCCAAAGGAGAATCCCATAAGAAACTTAAGGGAAATAGCGGCCGAATTTAATATCGCTACATCATAACCTAAAAGTGCACTACTCTTTATTTGGTTATTTTGGTTGCATAAAATTAGACATCCTTCAGAAGAAGTTTTGTCATTTAAAAGTAGACATAGGGAAAAACAATATACACAAACCCCTATGTCTACTTCTTAATGAATATCACTGTATATTATAAATATTTCTCATTTCTACGAGTAATTAACAAATGATTTTTTAGTTTTATGTACACTACACACTATAGTATTGTCCCATAATTGCATTATTTAATTTGTCGAACAAATAAAGGCTTTTTACTATTATTATAACTGACGTAGGTATCTATCGCTCGAACTGGCTTTTTGGGTTTGTTAATTGCCACAATTAACGATTTCCAAAAGTATGTCGACGTTTTATGGTTATTAGATAAGTAAACGTTAATTAGGTATACGATCTCTCTCCAAATTAGTATGATAATGTACGAAAACCTTTTTTTAAATACATCATTAACGTAAATTTAGGAACGCCAAATTAACGAAATGGAAATGCATTCTGGCAACTAATTAATCAATTGTTACTATTGGGCTCATACATCTGTAGCCTTGGATAAAAGAGGTATGAACTCTTATCAAAACTATAGCCGAAAGGCAAATCCCAGGCACAATGCAAATTGTCTATCTGCCTCTACATTCCTGTGAGTATTCTGGATCACCTGCATAGGTCTCAGATTTGTAACTTTTAGTTATACCATTCCCATATTTTGGAAGGGATACAAAAAGGAATTCGATGAACATAACATGTACGACGTGGCAGACAGGTTTCAGTCTGAAGTTTTGGGCAACGATATTGAAGCGGCGTGGAATAGGGAGGTGAAGAGTGCGTACAAGGCAAAGCGCAGCCCTTCCCTCAGAAGAGTACTTCTACGTATGTTTGGTATTCAACATTTTCTATGGGGAGTGTTACTGGCTGTTGCGGAATGCGTGATTCGGTAATGTTAGAAGTAATGCTAATGCGACAATTAACAGTATCTTTAGGCCAGCCCAAGCTGTACTTGTGGGCAAATTGGTATCTTACCATGGTACAAATTCGCATGTAGTAGAACAGGGGGTTGGAATCGCTCTGCTCGTAGTTATAAATGTAGCACTTTTTCACGTGTATTCAGGAAATGCGTTATTATCTGGCTTGAAAGCCAAAGTGGCCTGCAGTAATCTCATTTATAGAAAAACTTTGAAGCTCAATCACTCCGCTATAAGAAAGATCAATGTAGGAAGAATACTTAATCTACTTTCAAACGACGTGGTCGTATTTATAAAATGCGGTTTGTACATCAACTTTTTATGGATCGGGCCCACGCAGTGCCTAATTGTGACGTACTTAATGTACCACGAGGTCGGATTTTCGGCCATAGTTGGTGTCTTCCTACTACTGCTTTTCATACCATTTTATTGTAGGTAAGTGGCTTAAATAATGCTAACAGATCAGATTTGCGTTTATAGCTTTTGTGGCAAGAAAGGCATCTAAATACCGATCCAGAATGCTCAAACGTACAGATGAGAGAATGGGTCTAATAAACGAGGTCATATCTGGAATTGAAGTTATTAAAATGTACGTTTGGGAAAAACCAATCCAGAACCTAGTGACTTATGTTCGCAGGTAAATATACTTTCAGTTTCAGTTTTTGTTTTAACATTATTTATGCGAACATCTGATTGTTACTATATGCGGTATGTTAGCACTTAGATAGTAGAAGCATCTGTGTTACCTACCTACCATCTTGAAAATGTCCACACGTATTGCAAGCTCCAACAAACCAGCTCCATTTTGCGAAAATAATACACAATGCGTCCGCTGTGCTGTTCCCCATTTTTTTATTATGCTTTACAAAACCTTGATAAACAGCTTTTAACTGGCCGTTACTGTTTATCACAATGCGTTTTTTCCATTTTTATTTGAAAGGCGCGTCTCCAAATCGAAAATGTTCCCTCGTGGAAATTCTGTCAATCGTAAAATGAATGACCTTGCCACCAATTAGGCAATTAGCCACTTCCAAACGTTAAAGTAAAATTTAGGCTGTACGTATTGGATGAAATGGAAAACAGAAACACGTTTACACACAAGCAGTACAAGACCACAGCACAAGACTACAGCACTTTTATCTAGCTAGAAAAAAATGCAATCTATATAAAATGTCAGTAAGAGTTACTAACTTGATCCCACATCACACATACGTCTACAGACAAGCAATACAAGACTACAACAAATCTTTAGCGCGAGAAGAAAATACAATCTATAGAAAATAACAGTAAGGGCATTGTTCAAATAATGTATTTAAACAATGGTAGGGCGTACTAACTTGATCCCACACAATACATACCCGTTTTCATCTAATTCCAACAGGTAATTCGCACTGCGGGCCCAATTTATTCTTAAACGACGTGTGCTTAATTATGCGATTGACAAAAATAAAAAAGCAGCGTGGTTCTTGGTTGGAAGTGTCACTTGAATGCAACAAATTAGAGCACCTAACATAATAAGTAATAGCGCGCGCAATTAGCTCCGAAAAAAATATCAGAATTATGGGAAATGTACGGAAAAATAATACGTGCGCACCCTTCGAAAGGCCAATCTCGTCTCCTCGATTATAATTCCTGCACACACGCTCTAACTGATGCTTATCTCGAATTACACACCTTCTATTGACACGCGTTGTTACTTATTCCCACACGTAGTTTTGTTTCTGTTTGCTATAAAGCGGTACATGTGTAAATCTTCCTGTGCTTACCAAAATATAAATTTGAAAAATAACTTTTTTAAAAACGACAAAAGGGACCACCCGTTTCAGGTTTTTGTTCCAAGTGAGGAGGCTATAAAGGCAATCGGTTCCTGTTTCGGTATCGGTTCCGGTTCAAATCCCTGCTCATGACACATTTTACTAGTTTAATTTAAAATAGTAAAAATTGGAATTAGAAAAAGCCTTCTACTATAAACGTTAGTATCTCATGGCGTTTTGAATATGAAATGAACGCATTCAAAACTACTTTTTAAAAATTCCAAAGTAATGAGACGTTTTGTTTTTTATTTTGGAATAGAGTGGGATTTCTATTCCTTCTTTTTTAAAATCTCTGCAGCGTTTCTTAAGAGAAACTCCCAAACAACTCATTTTTGTGATATTAGGAAAATGCCATTTCAGATACCCCTTTCTTTTGGGTAATCTTTTCTCGATCGAGACGTAATTTTTTTACTAAATAGGTACTTTTAACTGAACTATTACAGAATTTGATCGAGTCCACATCATAACTTAACCAGTTAGTGCAATTTTGTGACCAAATATTACCTTACGGTTTGTTGTTGATTAATACTTGTAACTATTACAGACTGGAATGCAAATGGATCAGACTATTGAACTTTACCAAGGCAACCTATATGACCGTTGATATTATATTAATCCCGATTCTTCTCTGCACAACAATTGGAGTATATGTTCAACACAATGAGATAACTGCGGCCAAGGTTTTCAGCCTGATAGTATTTTACAACTCACTACGTCTGCCAATGGCGTGGTTTTTCCCTCAGGCACTTAGCCTTTTGGCCGAGGCGCTTGTGTCCGTGGATCGTATTAGTTCATTTCTAATTAACGAAGAGGTTAACATGCAACTGACAAAGAATGCGGATAAATCAGTGGCTGTGAACATTACTAATGGTGTAGCTGGATGGGATGAAGATGTCATTTTGAGAGATATAAACGTGACAATTAAACGAGGTTCTTTGGTAGCAATAATGGGGCAAGTTGGCTGTGGTAAATCCAGTTTAATTAACGTAATCCTTAAGGAGTTACCTCTAACTTCTGGTGAAATTCTGATCAATGGAAAAATTAGTTTCGCCTCACAAGAGCCTTGGTTGTTTTGCGGAAGTGTGCGTGATAACATACTGTTTGGGGAAGAAATGGACACTGCGCGTTACAACGAGGTGGTACGTTCATGTTCATTAGAATGCGACTTCAATTTGCTACCGTTTGGCGATCGAACTCTAGTGGGAGGTAGAGGAGCGTCGCTAAGCGGAGGCCAAAAGGCGAGGATTAGTTTGGCACGTGCAGTATATCGAGAAGCCGACATCTATTTACTGGATGAACCGTTTTCAGCAGTCGATGTTCGTGTCGGCCAACAAATATACCAGGAGGGCATAAAGAGTTTTCTGAAACGGAAAACTGTAATACTAGTTACCCAACAACTGCAATACCTAAGAGATGCCGATCAGGTAATCGAATTAGACAACGGCACCCTTATTAGTTCGAAGCAGTGGAAGAAGAAAGACACTGATGACCCCCAAGAATGCTTTGATGCGGTGACTACTGCAGAGGTTCCAACCATAGATAAAGTGGTAGAAGAAATAAGATCGCATAGCTCCGTTTCTAGAAATGTTTACGTCACCTACTTCGCTTTTGGTGGAAATATCTGTCACAACGCTATAATGTGGGCATTTCTACTGTTGTCCCAAGCTCTTATGAGTGGTGGTTCATACTACCTTGCTTACTGGTAATGTATCGCAGACCAAAACAAATTAATTCATTTTGAATTGCAGGGTAAACCAAGTAGACTATGGATCGGTGACTACCAAAAGCGTTTCAGATGAGGAAATACATTTTTACATTTATGCTAGCATTACACTGGCTTGCGTGATAATGACGTCTTTCGCATCGTATCTCTTCTACGCCTTATGTTTGAAATCCTCCAAGCAGTTGCACGACAATATGCTCAACAGCATTCTTCAGGCACCCATGCGTTTCTTTAATACAAACCCTCAAGGCCAAATTACCAATCGCTTTTCCCAAGACACGGAAATTGTAGATATCCAGCTACCAACTGTTACACTTAACGCCTTGCAGCTAACGTTAGGGATGATAGCATCCGTTGTGCTAGTAGCATATGTGAATTCTTGGTTCCTGATACTAGTAGTTGCAGTCAGTTCATGCATCTATCTCATACAAGCTTTCTGCGTGAAAACAATCCGTAATATAAAGCGTATGGAAAACATAAGTAAGTAACTGAAAAATAATTTTGACTTTTGAACAAATTTTGATAGCCCGTAGTCCCGTGTTGGAACACATCAGTTCTTCACTGCAAGGTTTAAGCACAATTCGTGCTTTTGGTGCAGAAGAGATAGTTAGAAGAGAGTTCGACTGTCATCAAAACTTGCACATTTGCTGTGGTGAAATATTCATTTCGACAACACAAGCGTTTGCTTCTCTCCTAGACTATACGTGCGCAATCTACGTCGTCATAGTCACTATTACATTAACAGCATTTGATAATGGTTTGTTTCCCATGCCGTAATACAATTCGGTCAAACATATACTTGCTTAGGAATACTTGGGGGAAACTTTGGACTTGCTCTTACCCAATGTCTTCAATTAACCACCATACTTCAGTGGAGCGTTCGTCAGGCAACCGATGTGGAAACACACATGGCCAGTACAGAGCGGATCATGGAATACAAGAAAATTGACCACGAAAGAAACTTGGGCGGCAGGATACCACCACGCTGGCCGAGTAATGGCGAAATAACATTCAACAATGTCTGTCTAAAATATTCCCAGCAAGACTTGCCCGTTTTAAAAAATCTGACTTTCAAAATTGCGTCCAAAGAAAAGGTTGGAATCGTCGGTAGAACTGGCGCAGGAAAATCGTCGATTGTCAGCGCGCTTTTTAGATTTAGTCACATAACTGGTCAGATTCTAGTTGATGGTGTCGATACGGAACAGCTAAACTTAAAAGAATTGCGAACTAAAATATCAATTATTCCCCAAAATCCAGTTATTTTCTCCGGAACGTTACGAAGGAATTTGGATCCTATGCAAGTGATTGAGGACTCCAAATTATGGTCTGCTCTAGAAGACGTGGAGCTTAAGGATTTCTTCTCAGGACTTCCGCTGGGTATAAGTAACAATGCTTGAGCGATCCTAGAATGAATTCATGTTTCAGGTTTGGATTTTGTATTTGAACAGGGTGGGTTGAATGTCAGCGTTGGGCAACGTCAGTTAATATGTTTAGCACGGGTGATTTTACGTAAAAATAAGATATTGGTGTTGGATGAGGCAACTGCGAGTATTGATCGCGAAACCGATTATTTAGTACAAAGAGCAATTAGAAAACGTTTTGCAGACTGTACAGTCATATCCATAGCACACAGAATAGAGACTATTATGGACTGTGACAGAGTCATGGTGATGGATGCAGGTGAACTAGTTGAATTCGATGCACCTTCAGTATTACTACAAAACGTCAACGGGCATTTCTATCGGACTGCTCAACAAGCATGCAAAGGAAATAAACTAGCGAGGCAACAATTGTGATAGTAGTGTAGGTTGGTGTTATATCAAATTATGAAAAAAAACAAACTGCAAATATTTAGTTATTTTAAATACACACTTTACAACATGCAAAATAGTTCCAATTGTAAAAGCGAGATAATAAAATTTTTGTTTCCATTCCCATTCGTGTGTATCTGTCAGTCCCATCTAAAAAGTGGAGTTTCATAATTTTCGGCAGCCAATAAGCCTCTGAGAAAACAAGGAGCATCGTTTATTATTCTTTAGTTTTAATTTGATTTTGCATTGACCTCTATAGATTAAATCCTTGGAACATGGATCGCATTGGTTGGTGTAGTTTTCTATATACAGTCCGGTTTCATATTCAAATAAGTGAGTTTTCCCCCAGGTCAAAAGGATAAACACGTAGGGTTGCAAATATAAATGGTATCAAAATTTACTAGCGTGCTCAGTCTTGGTCGTCGCTTTAATTAATAGGTAAATGTCACTTTGTGTCGTAAATTTCGTAATTGGTTGATCTTGCTAGTCGTTAACATGAAATTATGTAACCAACACGCGAGGGTCTAGTGCGAATTTTCCCAAAAACAAAATAACACCCCGCGCTATTAAGAGTTTCTCTATTTAACCCCCTACTCCTTTTCGTTCCTAGACCGACACCCTTTTATGACGTGAATATTTTTCTACCAAGCAAAAAATTCAGTTTGTTGACAGCTATACATAAAGTTACCGGGAACAATTTTCCGCCTGTTCAGCGGAATCTCACACTTCGCAAAAGATGACAGCAACCGAAATTTTCCTGCAACATGAGACAATCACGTCATATCCCCCGACTATAACAACATTTTGAAATATAAATATATTTCCCTCGTGTTCACTTGGTGGTTAAAACATCTCTGTATCGCCTTGAATATCGAATAACAGCAAATAAGCGCAAATTACTTATTTATTACCTCTTCCATAGCTAATTCCACTTTTCTCCGTATACTCACTGTGGTTTGTGGTATCCTCTACAATCTACAAGATGGGGATTCTACCAAACCGATTCGGTGCATGTGTTTGTTTAGTTTGCAGTAGTATGCCCACGAGCAACCACAGGTTCTTTCTAGACAGCTCTGCGCAAAACGCACCAGGCTACGAGATTGTCCTTTGAGGGCTTCTATTGCATGACGAGAATCTAACATCATGTTCTACCTGGCCCTGTGCTGGGTTTGGGTGTCTTAAGTTATTAATTCGTTTACTTAAGTGGAAGAGCCGGCTCTGGACCATAAACACCTGTTTTGAGGTCAGTCGGGCCAACTCATCGACTTTCTCATTACCTTCCGTTCCAGCAGGCCCTTCGACCCATGCGAGCTCAAGGGTGTTTCTGCTTGCTATTTGCTCTAATGCATGGTGACGAGGAGATGGTTCCCAAAGGCTCCCAATTGCGCGGCGATTCCTGGCTTACTCTGACTCTGAAAATTGGATGTGTTCTTGGCATAGCAGGGGAGTCCGAAGACTGTCTATTTTTCTTTTTCTTGTAAAGAGAACTAGCTCCGTTTTTGTCGGGTTGATGGACAAAGAGTGTTCCCTACACTATTCTTCTGTTACTCTAAGAGCTGATTGTATCAGTCTGTATAGAGTAGCCACGAAATAAGGCCAATTTCTAGTTGGGATTAATCTGCGAGCAGAGAACGTAAATTATATTAAATTTAATTGAAAGAGTTAGGTATTTCTTTTTTGCTTGTGTCTTTGTATTTGATTTATATTTTAATGTTATCATTCCATAACAATTGTTTAGAGAAAGTTGCGTTAGTTTAGGGTAACTGTGGAAAGTTTACTGCAGTTTTCAGTGAGGCCAGAGTTTTAAATTTTAAATAATGAGTGTGAGTGGTATATCAGTAAGTGTATTTATCCTAGGTTCATTTTTTGAACAACTTTATAAAAGTATCCGTTAGTATTCTCACGCAACACTGATGGCTTATCAAATTCAATCACTTCACCAGAATTCATAACTAGAACTCTATCAGAATCTAATAATGTTTGTAACCTATGCGCTATAGTAAGCACTGTACAGTTCTCAAACTTTCTCCTAATTGTCCTCTGTATTAAATTGTCAGTTTCTAAGTCAACATTTGCAGTTGCTTCATCCATGATTAGTATGTTGTTATTACGTAAAATCGCGCGAGATAGACATATTAGCTGACGTTGGCCAACGCTTATGTTGGTTCCGCCTTGAACGATCACGTGAAACAGTCCTGCAACAGCAATGTAATAAATTGTTTAGTGTAGAAAGAGACAAACCTTCGGGCTGGGATTCAAAGAAGCTTTTTAACTCAACTTCTTCGAGTGACTTCCACAACACTTCATCATTGTATTCCTCGAATGGATCCAAATTTTGTCGCAATGTACCCGAGAACAAAGTAGGATCTTGAGGAATAACTGATATTTTTGATCGCACCGCTTGCAAATTCAAAGTTTTTATGTCAACGTTGTCGATTAAAATATCTCCCGACGTGTAACTTAGTCGAAGAAGAGCGTTAACAATGGATGATTTTCCCGCACCTGTTCTTCCAATGATTCCAATCTTCTCCCTTGGGAAAATTTCAAAATTTAAATTTTTCAGTATAGTGGAACCAAGTGGCGAATATTTAAGGGAAAGGTTGCGGAAAAGTATCCCACCCGATTTCGGCCAGGTTTTGAGCGGTTCGGTACTACATTTGTCTTCTTGTTCGATAGCGTCATACTCTAAAATGCGTTCTACGGATGTCATGTTGTTTTCAAGCTCTGCCGTCTGTTGCATTGCGTACTGAAGATAGGCAATTAGTGATATGGACTGTGTTATCGCTAATCCTACATCACCACTAAGAGACCCTAATAAGTAATCAAAATTACAAGTCACTCAACCTTTGCAGGCTCTCACCATTGTCATAAATTACAAAGCTCAGCGTAACAACCGCAACATACAAGGCACACAGACAATCTATAAAGTATCCAAACGCCTGTGATGTGGCAAAGAATAAATGGTGGCTACAGCTGTGCAAATCCTGATGCGCGTCAAATTTTTCCTTTAAAACTGTTTCACTCTGAAGGGCGCGAATGGTGCTAAGTCCTTGCAGTGACGAACTTAAGTGTTCAAAAACAGGACTTCGTGCTGTTTAAGCGGCAATTAATTATGGACACAAAAGAGACTACCTTTTCAACTTACTTACACCTTCCAGTCGCTTCAAATCCCGACTGGTCAACAAGCAAAACAGTTTTAAGTAGTAAGAAATAATAGCCATTATTATTGCCGGTAATAAGAGCCAATAATTTACAATTGATATCAGCATAACTGCAGCAAACGCCTCCAGTAATAACTGCACCGTGGCAATAAGTACATATGGTAATTTACTATCAACGGCACCAATGTCCTGAGAAAAACGGTTTATGATTCTTCCTGGTGAGTTCGTGTTAAAAAAATGCATAGTAGCACCGATTACGTTGTTAAACATGTTATTGTGCAATTTTTGGGAAGACTTCAATACTGAAAAGAAGAATAAGTAGGATCGCAATGGAACAGTTACAACGCAGGCAAATGTTATGGCGGAGTAGATATAGATGTGCATGGTCTTGGAATGCACTAAGACCTCAGAAGTGTGGCTGGCATTGGTAGACATTTCGCCAATTTGAGCCTTGTTCACCCTGTCCGAATTAAATTGACATTATTGGGGTGACAGTGCAAAACTTACCAATGTGTTAAAAAGTAAGGACCACTGCTTAGGAGTACTTGGGTGAGCAGGAACAAGACGGTAAGTATCGCAAAGCAAAAAAATCCATTAGCTGTAGCGTACTTCCTGTATACAGTGTAGGATACAGATCCCTCTGAAGTTTGTTCTTTTTCTATGTCTTTATTATCCACTGCCCCATTTGTCAACTTATAGCCTTCTTGAACTGTTCTATCAATGTCATCTTGATGGCTAAAGGACTCAAGACCGTCGTTTTCTGTCCATGGAACTTGTGAAATTACTGTACCATTTTCCATTGTAATTATTTCATCTGCCTCTTTGAAATACTGTTGCTGATGTGTAACTAATACGACAGTCTTTTTTGCCAAAAATCTTTTAATACACTCTTGAAAGATTTGCCGACTAACATGAGCATCTACGGCGGCAAAAGGTTCGTCCAACAAATAAATGTCAGCGTCGCGATAAATGGCGCGTGCCAAATTTATTCTTGCTTTTTGACCGCCGCTTAAGCTAGTGCCTCTTCCTCCCACCAGTTCATGGTCGCCCAATGGGAATAAAGCAAAGTCGTCTTCGAGAGCGCAAATGCGAACAACTTCATTATAACGTTTGAGTTCGATTTGTTCACCGAAGAGAATATTATCCCGAATACTTCCACCGAACAGCCAAGCATCCTGAGATGCATAACTGATTTGCCCATTTATCCGAATTTTTCCAGAAATTAAACGTAGTTCTTTTAAGATTACATTTAGTAAACTGGATTTTCCACAACCGACCGGTCCAGTTACGATAACCAAATCACCTGGTTTTACTGTAAAGTTAATTTTTTGCAAGGTAGAAGTTTCACTCCATTTTGCCTCTCCATCGATAATTTTAATTGCGATTGGATCCGTTGTACTCTCGATGGTCACCAATGCAACTTCCGGTAGAAGTAGAAACTGCTCCATTCGCCTTATTGCGACGAATGCCAAAGCACGATAATTAATCGCTGATGGAAACGCTGATGCCATGGCTCCCCTTAGTGAATTGTAAAATATCAGCAATGTAAACACTTTGTCTGGTTTTATATCATTGTGTAGCACGTATGATATAATAGACACATAAATCGCAACTGGTACCAATAAACTATCGAACGAGACGTTTACTGATTTGAGATACATCGATAATCGAATATATTTCATTTCAAAACTGAAAATGCTCAAATTTACTATTTTATTTTAAATCTCGAAGGACTTACTCGCGCATGGAGAGCAAAGCAGTTTTTATAATCTTTTCCCAAACGTACATTTTCATGATTTTGATTCCTAAAATTATTTCATCCATATAGCGCACCCTGTCATCAGTACGCGAAGAAGATTTCCACTGATACTTTGACGCTGCCTTACTCAATAAATCTACAGACATATCTGATGATATTATGAGTGTTACAAAAATATTTTTAGTGAGGTAGAATCTATTCTTGTGTGATGTCATTCAAGAGAGGATGAAGAAGTGAAAAGTATCGGTGTCAGAAACGTTCTTCTTTGGCAGATAAAATTCCCGAAACGTATCTCACTATCTGTTGCCAATGCTATTTATTAAGAAGTAGACATGGGGATTTACGTGTATTGTTTTACCCTATGTCTACTTTTAAATGACAAAATCTCTTCTAAAGGGCACCTAATTTTATGCATTCAAAATAACTTCTTAAAACAAATAAAGATCTCGCTGTCATATTAATTACTTTGAATATTGTTGTTTTGGCTTCACAGAAAATAAATCTCTTACGCTTCTTAAACGGTTACCGGCACTATACCAATTGACAATATCAACGTTTCCTCCAGTGGAATACATCAGGAATCAACGAGAATAAAAATCATTATAGTCATTCTGATGGCCTGTTCCGACGTTCACTTTGACGTAATAAAAGGAAGAAGAGGTTCTACCGCCTCAACAAAGCAAGTTCATAGTCTATACTCACGGTGAATGGGTATAAGCAGAAATAGTACTGTAACGCCAAACACTGATGAAAGCCCAACTTCTTCATACATTAGATACGTAACGATGATGCACTGCAATGGAGCAAGCCACAAGTAATTGAACATAAATCCAACCATAATGAACACTGGAGCATCTGACGCTATCAAATTAACAATTTGTCCCACGCTTGTGTTAACGAAAGCCTCCTGATTCAACTTTAAGGCTTTCCGGTATATTAACGAGCAGCACGCTATCTTCACTTTCAAGCCAACCGTTTTTAGACGTAACACGACAGGATGGAGACACAGTACTTGGAGAAATGATGCTAAAACGATGCCACCAGCGTACAACCGCGTTTGGAAATGGTTTACCTGGACATCTTCATCGGCGGTAAACATGTAGTACAAAAGGAAACGGCCAAGAAGTACGGCTTGTGCTGGCCTAAAAAAAATGTCTTTACCTATGCATAAAATTTTGCATACCTACTTAAGTATTAGCTCTGCGACTCCTAATAATAAACCCGAAATGAACATTTCAAAACCAAAAGCTGAAATTAAAACTCTTGTTAATGAAGGCTTTTTTTGTTTTTCAAACTGCTTTTTCCATAATGCTTCTACTTTGTCGCCCAACATTTTTGATTGATGTTCGGTGAGGGTTTCATAGAGGTCATCTTCTTCAAATTGTCTTTTGGTGCGCTTTGTGTGGGTAAAAGTTGGCAACGTGTAACTAAAAACAACTATCACAATTATGTATTTGAGGGCTCTACTTACTAAAATGTAGCTGAAGACAAAGCGTTAGCATTCTGTAGGGGATTTGGGTATCGGCGTTTTGCTCCGGTCATTATTTCGTATTAAATTGTTTGGTACATGTCAGCGGCGTTTATAAGATTGGTTACCATTCAGTCAACACCTACGGAGTGAGCTTAAATACATTTTTCATGTAATAGGCACCTGCCTAAAAAATCCCCAATCGTTTTCATTTTTAGTCAGAAAAAGATGCTAGAGAATTATGACAGGCTGCCTTTAGATTGTCCAAATGTTGAAAAGAAATGGACAAAATCATGTTATTGGGCCAAAGTAGCTCAGGATTAATAGAATCAACCCTTTATTTGATACGCATAAAAATTTATAGTACATCCTAGAGAATCTCTTTCGGAGATCGTATCGTATCGTATGGATGGCAGTCTCTATATAAATAATTCACGCTTAACGCCGGACAGACTGGCGCCAAAGATTTGCGAATCTAATTTACAGGTCATAATGTATCTCGAACTCATTGAGGCATGAAAAATATCGCTAATGATACACGGACTTTTACAACTCTAGATTTACTTATACAGGGTCATTCTTGACGAGGGTCAGTTAGAAAGATATGGAAAACCGTTGAAAATGAAAATAAACTGATAAATTCTTTAAGGGTCTTGGTACATGATGAATTGAACTAAAATATTTTCAAGATGGTGCCACTTTCGGAAATACCGGAAGTAGCCATCAACTTTGTTATTTTAAATAGGGACCCCCTATTTTTTCTACATTTTCGGATTCTACGTCGAATTTGGAATACAACGATACCCCATAGTTAACCCTTTGCTCCAAGGGCTTCGTCGAATTTCAAGTTTTTATGTCAAAAATTGAATTTGCAGGGGTAATTTTAAAAATTTATTATTCGAAAACGGTGAGAGATATTGCAAAACAGTTTTCAATGCTTTATTAAGGAAAGTTTGAATTTTCTTATGGTATACGAAACCGGTTAAAAAAGTGAGCTACGTCACTTTTTCAAAGCTTTCAACTTTTAAACCTTAAAATTTCGGTAACTCCATTTTTTTAAATGGCACCCCCCATTTTGTTCTTCACCGTTGTTTTCCTTTTTCCTAGACCTTTAATTTGATACAAAATGTCAAAAGATGCTTCAAAAGGTTCCGAGATATTCCATGTTTTAGTTACTTCTTGTAGCAAATTAATAAAAAAATTAATTCGCTTGGTGTTATTCTTTTGTTTTTATTATGATAATGTTTAAACCTCAAATTTTCGCTTGTAGTAATTTGCGAATTGTAGCCTCTGTGGGTTGCGCATTGTCAGGGTATCTTTCGGAAAAAAGACGGCAAGTCCTGGCCGCGATTCGATTACATTCAGCCTGTATTATTATTAAATTCAAAAAATCTTCATTAGTGTAACCCAAACGAGCCATTATTGACAAGAAGTTCAAGCAACGAACATTTGACGTTTAAACATTATCATAATAAAAACAAAAGAATAACACCAAGTGAATTAATTTTTATTTATTTATTAATTTGCTACAAGAAGTAACTTCTAAAACATGGAATATCTCGGAAACCGTTTGAAGCATCTTTTGACATCTTGTATCAAATTAAAGGTCTAGGAAAAAGTAAAACAACGGTGAAGAACAACATGGGGGTTGCCATTTAAAAAAATGGAGTTACCGAAATTTAAAAGTTTAAAAGTTGAGAGCTGTGAAAAAATTACGTAGTCTCACATTTTTTAGACGGTTTCGTATACCATAAGAAAATTCGATCTTTCCTTAATAAAGCATTGAAAACTGTTTTTCAATATCTCTCACCGTTTTCGAATAATAAATTTTTAAAATAACTCCTGCAAATTCAATTTTTGACATAGAAACTTGAATATCGACGAAGCCCTTGGAGCAAAGGGTCAACTATGGTATCGTTGTATTCCAAATTCGACGTAGAATCCGAAAATGTAGAAAAAATAGGGGGTCCCTATTTAAAATAACAAAGTTGATGGCTACTTCCGGTATTTCCGGAAGTGGCGCCATCTTGGAAAATATTTTAGTTCAATTCATCATGTACCAAGACCCTTAAAGAACTTATCAGTTTATTTTCATTTTCAAAGGTTTTCCATATCTTTCTAACTGACGCTCGTCAAGAATGACCCTGTATATTATATATATATTATATATTAAAAACAGACTTAATTTCTGTTTAACCCCAAACAAATTCAGTTCAAAATCAACTTGTGTCCAATTGTGGATCTTGCCTTACCTAAAGGAGGAAAAATGGCATACAATACCGTGGAACAATCCCACCTATCCAATTCATCTAGCATGCCCTGTCACATCATATTACATACAAAAGACCTGAATTAACTTTTTCAATATTTCGTTTTGAACGTTTACTTTTGCATGATACGATCTCTCCGTGTAAAGGTCCGCTCAAACCGACGCGGTAATGCGGGAACTATATTTCTACAGGACTACAGCGTTTGAGTGGACCTTTAGACTGCTTTTACAGGGAGATACTGTATGCGAAATACTGTATCCGAGATCCAGTCTGCCGTCAGAATTTATGTCAAGTACACTTCGCAGACTTTAGGCATTCTAAACTGGTCTTTCGCAGTAAGGTACATTTTCGTGCAGTGGCGGGCTATTCAAAAAGTATCCTCGTGTAAATTGTTCCATATGACTAGAGACTAAAGTCGTAAAATCGCAGCGCGACTGGAACTAGTGAGAGACCGAAATGTGTGTGAGCGGCTCCATTTAGAGGTGTATCCGAGATACCAGTTTGCGGGCGACTGCCAGCAACTCGCAGAGCGCGGTATCTCTGATACATCTGTAACATTGCGTCTTGTCTTGTGGAGTCCTTCACACACGCAAACGTCTTGCATTAAGTAGCGGCAACTAAATTTGAGTCTCTCGCCAGTCCCAGAACTGTTTACACGAGGATAATTTTTCATTAGGGCAAAAACAGTTTGGAATGCCCTAAGTCTGCGAAGTGCGTTTGTGATGGATTCTGATCACAACTGTACCTAATCTCAGATACAGTATCCCTGTGTAAAAGAGCTCTAAACGCCGTAACAACACTCAACAGACACCGCGCATCCTGACAGCACACGCTATGCTAGATTGCATAAATTGTTTTAAGTAATATTAATTAATTAAGCAGTGGTTAGGAATTCAAATACTCGTATATTATTGCATGTAATAGTGACACTCATAGTTGTGATGCAAAGGAACTACTTAGTATCACTTTTTATCATAACCATAATTTAATCAAAAAGTTGAGCAAGATTACAATCACTTTTTATCATAACCATAATTTAATCAAAAAGTTGAGCAAGATTACAACGAGTAATGGTACCAATCTGTAGCAAATAGTCCAAAATTACAATAATCGATACTTACTACCTATAGTTCACGATAATATCCAAACCAAAGTACTTTGTATATATATATAATGTTGAACCAGATCAACCACTCTAAAGGCACGTGGAGTAATAAAATGATTTGCTTCAATATGAGAAAGTGCGAGTATAAACGAATGTGTATGATTATCAGCTAAACTTATCTCAAAGGACGACAACCGGTACTTATGTCATGAACTAGTATATTCTATCTATTGATAATTGGCTTTCCAACAATATCGTTAGCGAAGTTATAAATAGCACACGTACCACTAAAATTGATGATTATAAATATGTTTGTTTAAAGATACTAAAAATTAATTTTTTACACATGCAAGTAGTGAGTTAATACTCACTCATTCAAAACCAGAGAGTATATATTCGTTACTGAAGTGTTTGGGCCCTGAAAACAATACATACTACGATTTAATGGCCAAATTTGATGCTTGGGGGGCAGCCCCTCACCTGGGTGCGCTTGCTGGCGGAATTGGCATCCACGCAGGAAGTAACTGAGCTTCCATCCATGTAGGCAAGCATCTAGAACCTTCATTTCTGCTTTATGTGAAGATGCCCAAATACGTGCTTGATCCCTAGCACGTTTGCAATGCAGAGGAATCATTTCCGGGTTTTGATTTTTGTAGCAAAATATGCGTTTTATCAGCCCGTTCATTGATTCTGCTCCACCTCCGTACGCTGCAATGAAACTTAGAATTCAGTGAACTGCAATTCAAGATTTGTAAACGGCTGATCCATCATGTGAACCATTGCCTGAGTGACTGCTTCTGAACTCTTCTTCTAAACATTCATCGTTATTTTCTTTCAGCGAATTCCCATTGAGGACGTCGTCTTACAACCAGTGAGAGTAGCCCAGAGTGGCAACGGTCGTTACCTAAAGCTATAGCCATTGAGAACTTTGAGAACTCGAGGACAGTGGAAGCACATTCTAGAAAGAATGTTATTGACTATATAAGCAAATCGTATTCCGGGTTCAGTTCTTATTTCGATGCACTTGTGTTACGTTGTTATAAATTGTAAGTCATCATTAAATATTTTATTGTTATAAATTAAATCATTTCAAGACTTATAAATTTATTGTTAATAATATTGTTATAAATAAACGACGTAATTAAATGTACGTTACCGTATGAAAAGGGTCTGGAAGACTAAAATTCTTCAGAAATGGCATTCTACGGAACCAATTAAGTTGAGAATGATTTCCGAAGATCGACAAAAATGTTTGCGTTGCTTTAAGTCAGGTCACATTTCGAAAAAGTGTCCGAACAAGATTCACTGTGCAGTACCTATGTGCTAAAAAAACACGTTACAATGATGTGTCCTGACATTCCTATCGATAAAATGTCAGTGGATAAGCAGGAGCAAACCAGTGAAAGCAATAAAGAGAAGAAGACTACCACAACTTGCGCCAACACGTTGAAATCGCACATTTCGTAAAATATCATTCCATGTAATAGTGATAATAATATTTGTACTGCAAGTTAGTATCACAAAATACAGTTCATTCACCAACGATTGAAAATGGTATTTGATCAATCGATCCAAATCAGTTAATACCACAGAGCTCACACAATCGGTTCCATAGTTAAACCTGCTAAATAATATAACTAGCTATATCAATTCTTGTACATTATTAGTAGGTATAATAGAATGACAATGCAAACAATTGTAGTTATAAAAAACAAAATTTTACATAGGTAGGTACTTATAAATGGGCAGTGTTTTAAGTTTAAGTATTCAGCACAAGCTGAATACTTAAACTTAAAACACTGCCCATCTATAAGTACAAAAATTACAATAATTGATACTTACTAGGATATGTTCACGATAACATCCAAAGTAGGCTACATCCCAAATATTAGAATATGGATCACCCACTTCATAACTTGCTATATAGTTTTGAACTAGGTCAACCACTCAAAAGGCACTGGGAGGAATAAACTGCGATGTTTCAATATGAGTAACTACAAAATATTGTGCAATACCATGGGAACATAGGTAATTAGCATAAGCACAGGTTGCTATAAATATTAGGTACTTACGTGAGAGACAAATAAGCATGAACACATTCGTACATAGATATGTGTGACCAAATCTATCTTCACTTTTTCGTAAAGCGTTATCTACTATGTTATGTTGCTGTATTCCAATAATGGAGCAATTCATCGATAATTACTTACTTACTTATCAGAAAGAATACCCCCCCCCCCTATCCAGGTTAAAAAGCGCTACACTAGCATCCACGTTTAGGGGTTGGAGGTACTCGGACTTCCGGCATCCTTAGGTTCATCTCACGTGTGGGAAGGCTTGAGTGACGTTGAGGAATCGGACGACTCTAGTCAGGGAGGTAGTACAAAGGGCCCGAATTTGAGACCTAAGTACGTCCTAATACTCAAAATAAAGTTGGTCAACCTTTACAGGTACTAGATAAACTTTCACAAACGAAAATTTTAGCGCTATTAAATTGGTACGTAACCGCTCGCGAAATTAGTATCTAATAATCGCATAAATTCCCACACACAAATACTGTACGTGCTAACTCATCAACAGTCTAACCTCGTTTGCCGAAAACCTCCTTACAAACTGGTCTCCGTGGCGTTTATCGAAATACACACACTGTTATCGTTCTTACTCGAGATATACTTTTGTTCATGTTCGCTATAAAGCGGTAGATGTGTAAATTTTCCTATGTCATACAAAATACAAATTCAAAACCAAATTTTTGAAAAGGCAAAGTGGCCACCCATTACATATTTTGACTAATTGGGCCAATGCATATTTTGCAGCGCATGTTAAAGAAGTTTATTTACTAAACTACCTATATATCTTACATGGCCACTGCTGCTTCAGAAACCACCCCAAATTTGTGTCAATGATAATAACTCAGGATGGGTAGGTATGTTATGAATTATTTGAGGGACTATATTGGACAGACATTCATTTTTATATAGGTATCAGAAGCTTAATAATTAGCGGTGATTGTCGTTCGACGTTTGGGTAACTTCAACATCGATTTCCTGGATAGCAGCTGTGTTAAAACTATAATAGTAATTGATTTACTTATTTGAATTAGTTCGTCTCATAAACAGGCGGCAGCTACACGAACTTCGGTAAAACGATGTCGACGACATTTCCATCGACTATCTATATATTCTATTGCATTAAATTAATGTACTATGCGATCAAAAAAGAGTTGCTGTCGAGTCACCTTTGGAATTTTGGAATATCGTAAATTCACATGAAATTTAATTCTTGATAGCGGTACTTTTTGTAAATAACTTACGATGCGTGCAGCTTGCTTTCTTTATCTCACTTTCTCAAAGTTTTCTACACCAGCAGAAAGACTCCGAGGATGATGCAATCATAAGCACGTTTATTTGGTACTTATTACGAATGAGTACCTACATACCTTTTGGTTTGCACTTGTAACTTGTTAATTATTATTCCCCTAAAACGAAACGGGCTTCTTGTGTAATTATTTATGTTGCACAATCGTTGCATTTATACGATAATGCCACATTTTTATAATTAACTGGCAGCCACACAATAGTTCAGACAACACTGCCGCAAATTGCGATATGAAAATTTGATCCGCTGACAGTGGCGCAGCGATAACAATATCTTATCGCACGGACTGGAGATAAATTTCTACAATAACAACACACAATTATTTTAATAATTAATTTAGTAATTAATTTTGAACTTTTGTTGTTCTACCGCTGTATTCATTTATTGATTCATCCAAGAAATTAATACACGCGCCTATTTCCGAATGAGGATTACTTCTGTAGTATTCCAATGAGACGGATTTTTTAGCGAGGCCACTGTAGCTTGAATTTACAGTTGATTAATCTAATTATAGCAAACTGTTAAACTTTATTATTCTCGTGCATTTGGTGTAAAATGTTGTAAAAGTATCCGTTAGTATTATTAAGCAACACTGATGGCTTATCAAACTCAATCACTTCACCGGCATTCATAACTAGAACTCTATCAGAGTTTAATACTGTTTGTAATCTATGGGCTATAGTGAGTACTGTACAATTCTCAAACTTCGCCCTGATTGTCATCTGTATTAAATTGTCAGTTTCCAAGTCAATATTCGCAGTTGCTTCGTCCATGATTAATATGGTACTGTTACGTAAAACAACACGTGCCAAACACAGCAACTGGCGTTGACCTACGCTTATATTTGCCCCACCTTGTTTAATTGAGTAATACAATCCTATAACAATGATACAAATAAATGTTACAGTCCTCAGAAAGAGCATCATACCTTGTGGTTGGGATGCAATGAAGTTTTTTAGCCCAACTTCTTCAAGGGCATTCCATATGGTGTCGTCGTCGTACTCTTCGAACGGATCTAAGTTCTTTCGTAAGGCACCAGAAAACAGCGTGGGATCTTGAGGAATGACTGATATCTTTGATCGCAACGTTTGCAAACTCACAGTTTTTATATCTACGTTGTCGATTAAAATATTTCCGGATGTGTAACTTAGTCGAAGAAGAGCATTGACAATTGATGATTTTCCCGCACCAGTTCTTCCAATAACCCCAATTTTCTCTTTTGGAATTATTTCAAAACTTAAATTTTTGAGAATATGAGCTCCGTGAAGGGAATACTTAAGGGAAACGGCTTGAAAAAGTATTCTTCCGGATTCCGGCCACGTTTTGCGCGGTTCTTCACCCGAGCTGTCTTCTTGTTCGATAGCATCGTACTCTAAAATGCGTTCCACAGATGTCATGTTATTTTCAAGTTCCGCCGTCTGTAGCACTGCCCATTGGAGATATCCCATTAGAGATATCGATTGAGTTATCGCTAATCCCACATCGCCACTAAGCGCTTCTAGAAGGTACCACTAAAAACCACTGAACGCGCTTAAAAGCAACTCACCATTGTCGGAAATAACGAAGCTCAGTGTCACGATGGCGATATATATTGAGCAGAAACAGTCTAGGAAGTATCCGAAACCTTGCGAGGTGGTCACAAACAAATGGTAGCAGCAACTGTGCAAATCCTGATGCGAATAAAATTCCTCCCTTAAATTTGTTTCAGCTTGAAAAGCTCGAATAGTACTAAGGCCCTGCAGTGATGCACTCAAGTGCTCAAAAACGGGACTCCTCGCTGATTAAGCAGAATATTATTAATTAAAAATTTAAGGGATTTGAGACTTACTTACACCCTCCAGCCGTTTTACGTTTCTAGTCGTTAAGAGACAAAACCTTTTTAAGCAATACGAAATAATGGATATTATGACTGTAGGTATGACAAGCCAGTAGTTTACAACTGTGACAAGTATAACTGCAGCAAGTGCAGCTAGTAGTAATTGAGTCGTATCGATTACAATGTTAGGTAATTGAGTATCAACGGCAGCGATATCCTGTGAAAAACGATTTATGATTCTTCCTTGCGAATTCGTATTGAAAAAGTGCATGGTTCCACCAATCACTTTGTTAAACATGTTATTGTGCAATTTTTGGGAAGACTTTAATAATAAAGAAAAGAACGAATATGACCGCCAGGAAACTATAACGATACTTGCAGTAGTTATAGCAGAATAAATGTACATGTACGTTGTCTTGGAGTACATTTCGTATGGTGATACATGAGAAGAGTTACGAGTGCGTTCCATTTGAGCCGTATTTACCCTGAAAAGTAAAAAACAATGTCAAGGAAATCAGTTACGGCACGTACCAATGCGTTAAGAAGTAAGGTGCACTGCTCATCAGCACCTGCGCAATTATGAATAGGATCACAACTAGGACAAGATTTATAAATCCGTTGGCTGTTAAATACTTTCTGTATACAGTATTTGACACAGATCCGATAGATTTCTGTTCTTTGGTGATGTCATCTAATTCTCTGCCCATCCATTGACTTTGCTCGTGTTGTTTCCCGGTGTCTTCAGTAAAGTTTTCTTGACCCTGCACCTCATTCTGGGAAACTGAACCTTGAGAAATAACTGTTCCGTTACTCACTGCAATTACTTCATCGACTTCCGTCACATACTTCAGTTGATGCGTAACTAGCAATACAGTTTTTCCATTCAGAAACCCTTTAATACAGTCTTGAAAGATTTGTTTACCAACCCGTGCGTCAACTGCGGCAAAAGGTTCATCCAGTAAGTAAATGTCGGCATCTCTATAAACGGCGCGTGCCAAATTTATCCTTGCCTTTTGACCCCCACTCAAAGAAGCACCGCGTCCGCCCACCATGGTTTGATCGCCCATCGGGAATAAACCAAAATCATCTTCGAGAGCGCATACGCGCATTACTTCATCATAACGCTTGGTATCCATCTTTTCACCGAAGAGAATATTATCGCGAATGCTTCCACTGAATAGCCAAGCATCCTGGGAGGCATAACTGATTTGACCATTTACATGAATTTTTCCCGAAACTAAGCGCAGTTCTTTCAACATAACACTTAGTAAACTAGATTTTCCACTACCGACTGCGCCAATAACAGCAACAAGAGTACTTGGTTTCACCGTTAAGTTAACGTTTTGCAAAGTAAGATCTTCCTTCCATTTTGCATATCCTTCCACAATTCTAACAGCAATCAGGTCCGTTGTGCCTTCGATGCTTTCCATCTCAATTTCTGGGCTGTTCAGGAATTTTTCAATGCGCCTTAGTGAAACCAGTGCAACAGCACGAAAGGCGATTGAGTGGGGAAATGTGGCTGCCATGGTTGCTCTTAACGAGTTATAGAAGATCATCAATGTGAACACCTTATCCGCTCTTATCTCATCGTACGACAAATACACCATCATAGTTACATAAATAACGATTGGTATAGTCAGTGCATCGAACGAGATGTTGGCCGCTTTAAGGTACATTGAAAACCGTATATACTTCACCTCAAGGCTACAAATTTTGGATATTATTTTTTAATTTGAACAGTTGATTACCTGCGAAGCGAAACCAAAGCACTTTTAATTAACCCCTCCCATGCGTACATTTTAATCGCTCTGATTCCTAAAATAATCTCATCCATATAAGACACCCTATCGTCGGTGCGTGATGCTGCCTTCCATCGAAATTTAGACACTGCTTTACCCAATAAATCTACAACCACGTCGATTATCACAGTACTGCAATGCAATTACCTACGATGGATTGGTATAAGAAGAAATAGCAACAGAACGCCAACAATGGACGAAAAGCCAACCTCCTGGTACATTAGATATGTGACAATAACGCATTGCACTGGAGCAATCCATAGGTAGTGTAGTGTGAACGCACTGGGAATGAACATTGGTGCATCTGTAGAGATCAAATTAACAATTTGCCCGACGCTTGTGCTGTTAAAAGCTCCACTATTCAATCTTAAGGCCTTTCGGTATATTAACGAACTGCAGGCGATCTTTGCTTTTAAACCTACTAATTGTAGATTTACGGTGAGTGGATGAAAGCTACATATATATAGCAACGACATTAGAGCGATACCTCCAGCATACATGCGGGCTTCAAACAGTGTTACTTGCGAATCCCCATCAGGCATGTAGTACAATAGCAAACGTCCGAGAAATACAGCTTGCGCCGGCCTGAAATTTCACTTTTGAAACGTGGTTGGTAAAATGGAACTTTAGCTCACTTAAGTACTAATTCAGATGCTGCCAGAATCAACCCCAATGTAAGAAATTCGAAACCAAACGCTGAAATTAACGCCTTAGTCAATGATTCCTGATTTTTCCAATGGGCTTCTACTTTATTTGCCAACATTTCGGATTGGTGTTCACTGAGCGTTTGATACAGATCATCTTCTTCAAAGGGTACCTTACTACCCTTAATGAATGTTGGCCAAGTGTAACTAAAACAGTCATGCAATGCAGATCTAAAATATGTGAGACGTACCAGAAAGTAGCTGCGGAGAAGAGGTTGGCATTTTGTCGAGGATTCTGTTGGCGTCTTATATTTTTGGCACTATTCATAATTGTTTAATATCCTTGTTTTAAACCTTACTGATCAAGACTAATAGTGACACAGTTGGCGTCTATTTGTCCAACTGGTTTTGTTAATACGCACATCGCTAAATTGAGATTCTTGGGTCTGCGCGTAAAAAGACAATGTCAAAATTAAAGCACAATTTGTTTATATATGGATTTTACGATTCTACGGAAATTGCAGATCATCTCAGAGAATTATTTAGGCAGCAATTTCGTTGGTGAAGCACTTTAGTCCAAATGTAATGACGTTAGTGCATTCAGTACTGTTGAAAACGTATCACGTTATCACTTAGACACCGAAAATACCACATTCACACGATTCGACCCTGAATATCGTATATACAAATTGTTTAAACAAAATGTAGTGAGGTAATTAAAATCCACCGTCCTCAGCGCTCTAGTCAAACTGATAAAAATTAGTGTTTGTTTTAGGTTTACCTACTGAACGTAATCTATCCTTATCATAAGTAGGTATTTTTTCGAGGCACTTCATTTTAATAATTCATTGTATGTAGGCAGGTCACTGAGATAAAATGTAAAATAAGTACAATTCGGCTCTCAGAGTCCAAGGTAAAATTCTCTAAATTTATAAGTTCACAAAAGGTCTCGGTATTTAAACAACTTTACCTAAACAATTCACTGTGAACAATGTTGCTGATGTTTACTGCTATCGGGTAGTCGAACCCTATTAAGATTATATAATATACAAGATGAAGCAAACTTATTTTAGAGGTCTTCTTGTTCCTCAGTATACCAGTTTTTCTGCTTTGATTTTAGAAGATTAATTTTTTTGATCACTATCTTTTTACCTACCCATAACTCAGTATCGAACCAAATACAAATATATGGGACAATTCACCTTATAAGTCATCGGAATGGACCCATTAATTTGGAATATTTCTTTCTTGAAATTTCAAAAAACAACTTTTTTTTATCAGATCCAAACGGGTTCATTAGTTTTAAAATACATGAAATGCTAACGGCTTCAGCTGGCCCAGAGATTGATATCTTTAAGAACATATAAATTCAAATTTTCCTTAATAATTTACGATCATTTTTCTTAAAGTTGCACAACCTTTAATGTTAAATAAACATAAGTACAGTCCCTCTTATAAAAATGTCCTTCAGTAGATGATAATGTTCGTACAAAATATGCCCCAGGGCGGTCTCGTGTGATACAATACTTTTCGAACATCAACTTCTACATTTATGACGTAGGCAAGCAAGATTTTCCCTATCACAACAGTTTACTGTGAACGAGCTTCTTTTCTAACACAAAAGGAGGAACTTTCACCAAATCAAAATTTGACACCTACTTTTATTAGCGGAAGTTGATCGATATCTTATCGCCACGATTTCCTAGGACAAAGGTTCATTCCCTTTTGGTTTCAGTAGCGTTGGGACAACTTTGTACTGAATTTTAACAATAGTTCTTTTTGGCGTAAAAATATATTAGCGCGCTTAATTAACTTATCCTTGACCGAGTACGGATGTTTCAATTTCTCCGAAGGAACGCGTTTTACTCGACGTAAAAGGTTTTTTACTAACTTTTAATTTCGCGATAAACCGTTTTTTTCTGAGGGAATAAAACTGACACCGGGCGTTCGTTCTTTTTAACTGTGCAACTCACGAAACTCGCGTGAAGATTTCCGTTTCGAAATCGCAGCTTGGTTTTATGAAGGCCCGAAAAAACAGCTTTAATACTTTCCGGTGAGACCAATTTCAATGGGATATTGCCAGATGCGCGCTTAATTAAGAAACATTTTAAGACCGATCCCAGATTTTTATCAGGCAGGGAGAGGCGTCATTAATTAAAGACGTTTTATTGTTTTGACGTTATTATTCAATTGCGCTGTGTCGGTTGGAAATACCGCCGATCTTCCCATGAAATGGCCATATTATATAAGAGCTAAAGCCGTTGTTTAGAGAAGATCTTTTGCCGTAGGATCTTTTGGCTTTTTTCGGTGTGTTCGAGTATATTGCATTGAGAATCTTTATCACTGTACCGTTTATTTTTAAAGGTAAGCGTACTTTGTACTATATGGTGTAAGGGTTTGATACTTTCCCTTTCGTTAATTATTAGAAAGGTTGCTTTGCCTTTCATGCATTTGATTTCTTGTAGCTACAGCTACTTCATGCTTTGTTGCTTGCGTTCCCGTTAGGGCAATCGCCACCGTGTACCGTCATTTTGTTTTAATTTCTTCCCTGGACGTAAAAGTCCGCCGAATTTTGGACTAAACCTACCGGTTTTCTAGAATGGCGGTGCGATGCGTTTAAATTTAAAAAATAAAACGATTATTAAACATGAAATAAATGTGTATTCAAGATGTCGCATCGGGCTTTTGTAATGTCTGCAGAATTTTATAAAAGTATCCATTGGAATTTTTAAGCAAAGCAGACGGGTTATCAAACTCAACCACTTCACCAGCCTTCATCACTAAAACTCTATCGTAGTCTAATACCGTCTGTAACCTATGTGCTATAGTCAATATTGTGCAGTTCTTGAACTTTTCTCTAATTGTCTTCTGTATTAAATTGTCCGTTTCCAGGTCAATATTCGCGGTTGCTTCATCCATGATTAATATCTTACTATTATGTAAAATGACTCGTGCCAAACATATCAACTGACGTTGACCAACGCTTAAATTTGCTCCGCTTTGTGTAATTGGATAGCACAATCCTATAATAATTAACAATATTAATTATTTGCCTGGGGTGTACATTTTAACAGACAATGATACATCCATCTCTCCAAGATGAGGACGTACATACCATGTCCATAAGATGTGCTACTTATGAATAATGCAAATAAATGTACCTTGTGGTTTTGATGCAATGAACTGTTTCAGATTAACTTCATCAAGAGCATTCCATATAGCTCCATCATTGATTTCGTCGAATGGATCCAGATTTTTCCGTAACGTACCAGATAACAGCGTCGGATCTTGAGGTATAACTGATATTTTTGATCTTAATGCTTGTAAATTTACACCTTTTATATCTAAGTTATCGATTAAAATAGTTCCGGATGTGTAACTTAGTCGAAGAAGAGCATTGACAATTGATGATTTTCCCGCACCAGTTCTTCCAATAACTCCAATTTTTTCCGTTGGAGAAATTTCAAAACTTACATTTTTCAAAACGGGAGCACCTCGTCTGGAGTACTGAAGGGAAACGTCACGAAAAACTATTCCACCAGTTTCTGGCCACGATTTGCGCGGTTCTGTACCTGACTTGTCTTCTTGTTCTATGGAATCGTACTCTAAAATGCGTTCTACGGATGTTATGCTATTTTCAAGTTCCGCCGTCTGCAGCACTGCCCACTCGAGATATCCGATGAGCGATATCGATTGAGTTATCGCTAATCCTACGTCGCCACTAAGCGCTTCTAAAAGATGCTGTTAGAAACCACCGAAATCGCTTGGAAAAGACTCACCATTGTCGAAAATAACGAAGCTAAGTGTCACGGCGGCAATATATAACGAGCAGAGAGAGTCTAGGAAGTATCCGAAACCTTGTGAGGTGGTCAAAAACAAATGGTAACAGCAACTGTGTAAATCCTGATACGAGTCAAATTCCTCCCTTAGTTTTGCTTCAGCCTGAAAAGCTCGGATCGTGCTGAGGCCTTGCAGCGATGAGCTAAGGTGTTCAAACACAGGACTTCGCGCTGATTGAGTGACACATTATTACACAAAGGAAGTGGTGTTTGTGACGACTTACTTACACCTTCCAGTCGTTTTATGTTCCGGGCCGTCAACAGGCAGAAGCTTTTTAGGTAGTAGGAGATAATACCTATTATGAGTGTAGGTATGATGAGCCACCAGTTCGCAATTACGACCAGGAGAACTGAAGCCAGTGCGCCCAATAATAATTGAGTTGTATCGATTACAATGTTCGGTAGTTGAGTATCAACGGCAGCCATATCCTGTGAGAAACGATTTAAGATTCTCCCTTGCGAATTTGTATTAAAAAAGTGCATGGTTCCACCAATTAGGTTGTTAAACATATTATTGTGCAATTTTTGGGACGAGTTTAATAACAGAGAGAAAGACAAATAAGAACGCAAGGAAACGATAACGAAACATGCGAATGTTAAAGTGGAATAGATGTGGATGTACACCGTCTTTGAATAAGTTTCGTAAGGTGTGGCTTCAGAAGAGTTGCTAACGTTAGCGAACTTTTGTACAGTTTGAGCCATATTCACCCTGGAAAGTTTATTAGCAATAAACATGGCTTTCCGGTTGCAATACTTACCAATGCGTTAAGAAGTAAGGTGCAGAGCTCACTAGGACCTGTGCAAATACAAAGAGTAGTCCAACCAGCATTAGGTTTAAAAATCCACTTGCTGCCAAATACTTCCGGTAGACGGTAGTTGATACAGATCCAACCGAAGTTTGTTCTTTGTTGGTGTCTTCAGTTATGTCTACTTCTCCACCCACTAGCCTGGGTTGTTTCACTATCTCATCATTGAGGTTACTTTGATCCTTGGCGCAATTCAGGACGTTGTTGTTCTCAGAGAATGGGCCTTGAGAGACAACTGTACCGTTACTCATTACGATTACTTCATCGACATCTTTCAAATAGCTCAGTTGATGCGTTACTAGCACTACAGTTTTTCTGCCCAAAAATTCTTTAATGCACTGTTGAAATATTCGTTTACCAACACGATGGTCAACGGCCGCAAAAGGTTCATCCAGTAAGTAAATGTCGGCATCTCTATAAACTGCGCGTGCCAAACTTATCCTTGCCTTTTGACCCCCACTCAAAGAAGCACCGCGTCCTCCCACTATGGTTTGATCACCCATCGGGAACAAACCGAAATCATCTTCGAGAGCACATACACGCACTACGTCGTCGTAACGCTTGGTATCCGTCTTTTCACTGAAGAGAATATTATCGCGAATGCTTCCACTGAATAGCCAAGCATCCTGGGAGGCATAACTGATTTGGCCATTTACATGAATTTTTCCCGAAACTAAGCGAAGTTCTTTCAACACCACATTTAGCAAACTAGATTTTCCACTACCGACTTTGCCAACAACAGCAACAAGAGTGCCTGGTTTCACCGTTAAGTTAACGTTATGTAAAGTAAGATTTTCGTTCCATTTTGCATAACCTTCCACAATTCTAACAGCAATCAGGTCCGTTGTGCCTTCGATGCTTTCCATCTCAATTTCTGGGCGATTCAGAAATTCTTCAATACGCTTTATCGCCACAAGTGTCAGGGCACGATAAGCGATTGATTGGGGAAACACGGATGCTATGCTGCCTCTTAACGAGTTATAGAAGACCATCAATGTGAACACCTTATCCGCTCTTATCTCATCGTGTGACAAATACACTATCATAGTTACATAAATAACGATTGGTATCGTCAGTGCATCGAACGAGATGTTGGCCGCTTTGAGGTACATTGAAAACCGTATGTACTTCACCTCAAGGCTACAAAAGAAGAAGAAGAATTATTTATTTAATTAAAATAGTCGATTGGTACTTGCGGAGCGAAGCTAAAGCTCCTTTAATTAGCTTTTCCCATGCGTATATTTTGATTGCTTTGATCCCTAAAATGATTTCATCCATATAACACACTCTATCATCAGTGCGTGACGCAGCTTTCCATCGATACTTCGACGCCACCTTTCCCAATAAATCTAAAACCGCACAGGTCATAGGACTGCTATCTTAGGTAAATACCTACGATGAGTTGGTATAAGGAGAAATAGCAACAAGACGCCTACAATGGAAGAAAAACCAACTTCCTGGTACATTAAGTATGTGACTATAATGCATTGCACTGGAGCAATCCATAGGTAGTGGAGCAGGAACGCACACACAATAAACATTGGCGCATCCGTAGAAACCAAATTAACAATTTGCCCCACGCTTGTGCTGTTAAAAGCCGCGTTATTTAATTTTAAGGCCTTTCTGTATATTAAAGAGCTACACGCTATCTTCGCTTTCAATCCTACTAAATGTAGACTTGTCATAAGCGGATGGAAGATCAACACATATAAAAACGACATTAAAGCGATGCCGCAAGCATAAATGCGTGCTTCAAACAGCGTTATGCGCAATTCAACAAAAGCTGTGGGCATGTAGTACAACAGCAAACGTCCAAGAAATACGGCTTGGGCCGGTCTGAAAGTTCGCTTTTGAAATATTCGACAATTTAAATGTTACTCACTTCAGCACTAATTCGGACGTTCCCAGTACTAAGCCCAATGCAATATATTCAAAAGCAAAAGTTGACATTAACGCTTTAGCCAATGAGGGTTTCTCCTGATTTTTCCAAAGGGTTTCCACTCTATTGGCCAACGTTTCCGATTGATGTTCGCCAAGAGTCTGATAGAGATCATCCTCTTCAAAAGGTTTCTTGCTACCCTTAATGAATGTTGGTAGGGTATAACTGAAAAAAAGGCGCGCTGAATAAATCTTCACCATTATGCACTTACCAAAATGTAGCTGCTGAAAAGGGGTTTGCATTTTGCCGAGGGTTGTGTTTACGTTTTATATTTCTTGCACTGTTCATTTCTTCTTTAGTCGTGTTATACTCGATAGTTGCAACCTAGTAATAATACCATTGTAGATGAAGGCATTAATTTTTTTGAAAATTTTTGAATCTTAATTAGAGATAAAATATTGATATTACCTCCTAATGGAATCGAAATTGAAAAGTGATACAAATTTAGGGCACTTCATTCCGAGAAACTGTAGCTTATTCTGGACCAATGTAATTCTTTAGTGAATTCCTAATGTTTCTGACCTATTTGTTGATTTTGAATCCCGGAAATCTCTAGATATGATCCCTCATTTGCGACTACAAAAAATGGGGCTTAAAACTGAGCCCCTGCGGTACCAGTTATTATCATTTCCAATTTAGATATAACTGAATATCAATATAATGAGGTGTGCAGCAGCAATTGTGGAAATACATATTTCTTCTATGGCAGCAGTGAACCCTATAGAAGTATAGACTGTACAAAAAGTGGTATAGTATCGAAAGTTTTTAAAAATTTAGCAGATAACACATAAATGCTCTGCAATCCATACGATGATACAATGTTGCCGATCACCTTAAGTAAATCCGTTTCACACAAGTGCCTCTATATACCTAGATATAAAACAAGATAGCATTTGTGGAAATATTCTTTTAGATAAGTATATCATAATTTGAGCGTAATCTTTAATTACAAACGTAACTACCTATATTCGGATAGGTTGGTTGCCTTAATAAAGTAATCTATTTACCAATTTTGTTAGAGAAACGACAAAATGCAATAATCCAATGATGATGAAACATTATAGTTTTATAGTTTTGTTGAGGTATAGGATACAAAACACATTTTCCTCAATAAATCACAGAACACGAAGTAATTGGGAAATTTAATACGCGAGATACCACACACCTAGACTTATTTACTGGGTTCATACCTCAATTTCGTGATTTTTCACCAATTGGTTGTCACATTTTAAACTGAAAATACGTCAGTTTACTCACTTCGACGAAAATATTAGTGGGTATAGCTTTACTAACAGACTTTAGTCGTTTCTTATCACAAGTCCTTGTCAAAATATGGTTTATATCTTAATTAGATACCTAGGTACTTCATACTACGTTTTAGGTTTTTACTTGTGTACTGCTTCAGTACCTCAATTTTTTCGTCCCCCGTTACGGTTATCGCGGTAATGACACCTTCTATCTACCTTTTTCGAAGTCAAACTTACTTAAGGAGTCTCCGCTCTATAATGTATGTAACAACTGTAATATGTATTCAAATAGGTATGACATCTTACATTTGTCAAAAAATCAGTTTCTAAGTTTTTGAATTGTTTATTCATGTAACTTATTATGTATTACCATAGAGTTAGTATTACTTAGAATTACTTTTCATGCGTGTTATTTATCTTTTTTTTTGTTTGTTTGTTACTTTCATTGTTACTGTTCTACTTTCTCGAATTATTATAAGTTTAACTTTTTCCATTTGTCCTCTAATTGGATCTTTTATGTATCTGTTGGGCAAATATATATTATTATTATTATGGTCGGTGTTTCTTGTGAGAACTCAGGTCTAGCCTGGTTAACTAATCGCACGGATTAAAATCAAGTAACGATTAGTGTCTGTGTCTGACGAAGTTATGTAGGGTCTAAAAAAAAAAATCACACACGTACATTGGACATCTAGAGATAGTATGTAATTCGTACTTACCAACATACCTATTGATGGGCACAATAGCCAACGCTATCAGGAAAGAGGAAAACAAAACAAAACAAAAAAAAATCATTATAATAATTCCTGTAATTTTATTAAATGGAGTTTATTGTGTAAGTGTTTCTTTGGCTTTGCGTTTGGGTTGAATACAAGTGGGTTGTGATAACGTGGTGTGCTTCTGTGAAGAAGGAGTTTTGTGTTTTTTAATTGTATTTATGGTGTTTCTTTGTTCCTGAGGTCGTATTTGTGAGGTTGCTTGGGTTTTTGGTGGAGATATTGCAGTATTTTGTGAGCCTGTGGTGGTGTTAAGGTTTTTGCGTTTCGGTTGTATACGAGTGGGTTGTTTCTGAGAAGAAGGAGTATTGTGTTTTTTAACTGTGCTAGGGCGTGTAACTTTATTGGATGGACCTGTCTTTGTAGTACATGTTGCCTTACTTGTATTTATGGTGTTTCTTTGTTCTTGAGGTTGTATTTGTGTTATTGCTTGGGTTATTGGTGGAGGTATTACTGTATTTTGTGAGCTAGTAGTGCTGTTTAGGTTTTTGCGTTTGGGTTGAATACGAGTGGGTTGTGATAACGTGGTGTGTTTCTGTGAAGAAGGAGTTATGTGTTTTTTAACTGTGCTAGGGCGTGTAACTTTATTGGGTGGACCTGTCTTTGTAGTGCATGTTGCGTTACTTGTATTTATGGTGTTTCTTTGTTCTTGAGGTTGTATCTGTGTTGTTGCTTGGGTTATTGGTGGAGATATTACAGTATTTTGTGAGCCTGTAGTGCTTTTAAGGTTGTTGCGTTTCGGTTGAATACGAGTGGGTTGTTTCTGAGAAAGAGGAGTATTGTGTTTTTTAACTGTGCTAAGACGTGTAATTTTATTGGGTGGACCTGTTTTTGTAGTGCATGTTGCGTTACTTGTATTTATTGTGTTTCTTTGTTCTTGAGGTTGTATTTGTGTGGTTGCTTGGGTTATTCGTGGAGATATTACAGTATTTTGTGAGCTAGTAGTGCTGTTTAGGTTTTTGCGTTTAGGTTGTATACGAGTGGGTTGTGATAACGTGGTGTGTTTCTGTGAAGAATGAGTTTTATGTTTTTTAACTGTGCTAAGACGTGTAACTTTATTGGGTGGACCTGTCTTTGTAGTGCATGTTGCGTTACTTGTATTTCTTGTGTTTCTTTGTTCTTGAGGTTGTATTTGTGTGGTTGCATGGGTTACTGGTGGAGACATTACAGTATTTTGTGAGCCTGTAGTGCTGTTAAGGTTGTTGCGTTTGGGTTGAGTACGAGTGGGTTGTGATAACGTGGTGTGTTTCTTATTATTATTATTATTATTATTATTATTAAATGAAATGCGGTGTAAAGGACAGCACCACAGTGGTCAGTCTTATTTAGGTACCAAGATAAAGTTAGTTGGGTCCACCTGAAAACTAATTGCAATTTTCTTGCAATCCATCCAATCGACCTCTGTCACACTGATTCTTACGATACCGTGGTCTAGACATACCTAATTATTAATAATATTATTAACAAGTAAAAACGTTTTCGACCTAAGGCGAATAACTCAGCGCATTTTCCATGGATTGACCAATACTTGCCAAAAGGCAATAGCTATGTGCGCTACGTTTTTCTTTACTAGAGGCATCGATGGTTAAAATTTCAAAGAAATATCTCCATAAAAAGATGACTTTGCAATTGCCTCAGTACAACACGCTCAATAATCTTTGATAGCATTGGCAAGATATTTATTGGTGCTTCTACTTTAGGAATTGTACGTATCTTAGCTTGCTTCCATATCGAAGGAAAGGTATTTGCTCAAATGCTAAAAGGACGATGGAGATTTATCGAGATTTAAACGACTCCTAAAAGCTACTTAAGGGGTTTAGGTTTTCAAAGCTGGGTTTTCAACGAAATGACTATTAAACGTTTTAAAAGCTATTGAAGACTTTTAAAAACGTTTAAAAACTGTCAACATTCAGCCCTGTGATGTATCAAAAACGTCAAACTTAACGTGCAGGTTATCTGACAAAAACGTTATTTTGCGTTATTTAGTATAGGGAAAATGACGTTTTTTTTTATTGATTTAACGTTAGTGGTACATCACAGGGCTGAAAGGTTTTAGATAGATGCCATTATAGTTCGTAAGACTCTTTAAGGTTCAAGAATTAAGTAGTTTTAAAGATTATTAAAGGCTCATAAAAGATTAAATGCTCTAGACTACTTTAAAGACTAAAGGACTACTAATGGATCTTTTAGTGCTCTCAAAGAATCCAAAAGCACTCCTTTTGATCACTTTTGAAGGCTTTTAAATACATATTAAGTCCCTTAGAAGCTCTTTAAAACTGTAGGGTTCTTGAATAATCTTATAGATTTTCAATGTTATTAACTACTTTTGAAGACCATAGATTTTATAGGAGCATTGCATAAGGGCTAATAAACACCAATGCCTTTAATAAAAGCTTTTAAGGACTCTTTGGGACCCTCGCAAAATTTTCAAGGATCGTAGTTGCTCTTAAATATTTGAAAACCCTAGTAGTAGAATTCATGCAACCAGTTTTTCCTTCTTCTATAGAACGCAAATGTGAATTTAAATTAAAGAAGAAGTTTGATTTAAATTATATTTGCTATTTAAAGCTTTCAATTGAGTTGTTCTAATTATTATGTAATTACTTGTACTAAAACGGTTGTTTATTTCACAATTGTTGCGTCATTTTGTAGAAATGTCCTTCATTATTTTTAAGTAAAATTGAAGGTCTATCAAATTCAACCACTTCGCCGGCGCTTATCACCATAATTCTATCACAGTCCATAATTGAGTCCAATCTATGCGTAATAGTTATTATTGTACAATCTTCAAAAACTTTCCTAATCGTCCTTTGCACTAATTTATCAGTCTCAAGATCAATACTTGCAGTTGCCTCATCCATCACTAGTATTTTATTTTTACGTAAAATGATACGCGCCAAACATATCAATTGGCGTTGTCCGACGCTAACGTTTGACCCACCTTGGCTAATTCCAAAATCCAGACCTGCAACATGAACATCATTACAACAAAATTAAGCTGATTCGGCACACCTAAAGGAAGCGCCGAAAAGAATTCCTTCAGTTCCACCTTATCTAACGCAGACCACAAGTCACAGTCCTCAAATTCCTCAAAGGGATCTAAGTTGGTTCTTAGCGTTCCGGAGAACACAACCGGACTTTGAGGGATGATCGATATCTTTGACCGAAATTCACGTAAATTTAGATTGTTTATATCGACATCATCCACTAGTATCTTTCCGGTTAAGTAACTTAAACGAAACAAGGCAGCGATAATTGACGATTTTCCGGCACCGGTCCTTCCAACGACCCCCACCTTTTCATTCGGCATAATTCTGAAACTTATGTTTCTCAATGCGAGCGGACCTTGCAAGTAATACGCCAAATTAACATTGTGAAAAGCGATTTCGCCCTTTGAGGGCCAAAGCGTTGGCGCTTCTCTACCTAAACTGTCTTCGTGTTCGATTTTGTCGTACTCCAAGATGCGTTCTACGCTGGTCATTTGATTTTCCAATTCGGCGGATTGTCGAATTGTTCTTTGCATGTAGGTGGCTACCTGTAAACATTGGGTCACGGCCAGTCCGACATTTCCACCCAGCATCCCTACGAATCGTATTCATGGGTGATGAATCACATGCGAAACCTACCATTGCCAATGAGTGTACAGGTTAATGTCACAATTGCGACGTAGATACCGGAAACGTAGCCTAACAATGCGCCCATAGCCTCAGTTGTTGAAAGAAATAAATGGTGGCAGCAGCTGTGCAGATCCTGGTGTTGATCGAATTCCTTCTGCAAGATTTTTTCGCCCTTAAACGCTCGAATGGTAGCTAATCCTTGTAATGACGAGCCCAGATGTTCGAACACTGGACTGCGAGCTGATAAAACATGATGATCAACTGGTTATGATCTTGTTTGAAAACTTACTTATGCCTTCTAACCTTTTAACATTTCGAATTGTAACCAAACAGAAGGCTCTTAATAAGTACAGCATGATTCCAATTATAAATGATGATAAAAGAAACCAATAATTTACCATTGCAATTATCACTATACAGGCGAGGAATCCTATAAACGCCTGTAGTGCGTTGAGACACACCGTCGGTAGTTGAGTGTCCACAGTTTCCAGATCTTGAGAAAACCGATTTATGATTCTTCCATGCGAGTTTGTGTTGAGAAATCGCATGGTCGCGCGAAGAACGCTACTAAGCATATTACCGTGCATTCGATTGGAGGATTTCAGGCATAACGTATAGAACACATAGGCACGTACAGACGCAATTACAATGCAAAAGAGAGTAATTGTGGAGTATATGTAAATGTTTTGATTGGATGCTGATGATGCTTCGAGATTTTGTCCAGCAGCGGTCTCATTACCCAGGTCCACAGCGTTTACCCTAAAATTGTACTATTCAGCTCCATTTTAACATATGAACATTATACCAATATGCCAAAAAGTAGGAGCTGGAACTTACAGAAACTTGGCAAAGTAGCAACAAAAATAAAGTGAGGGTAGTAAATCCAATACCTCCACCCAAAGTGAAGTATGATAAGTACACGTTCTTAGAAACCGAACCACGCGAAATTTGTTCTTTATTTTGGGCATCTTTCGTTTTACCATCTAATGCTTGAAATTGAAGAGCAGGGGATACAACCTCGCTGATTTGTTCACGTGCAAACACGTTTGCTTCCTTCCAGTTTATCTCTGAGAGGATTGTGCCACTTTCAAGCGCAATTACACGATCCCTATCTTTTAAGTACTGTCGCTGGTGTGTAACGAGTATCACAGTCTTTCCCTTCAAAAAGCCCTTAATGCAGTTTTCAAATATTTGCTCACCAACGCGAAGGTCCACAGCCGAGAGGGGATCGTCCAATAAATAAATGTCCGCCTGTCTGTAGACCGCACGTGCCAAGCTGATTCTCGCCTTCTGACCACCACTGAGTGAACTACCTCGGCCTCCAACGATTGTGTTATCACCAAAAGGTAGCAGCTGCAGGTCACACTCCAAGGCGCACACACGAATCACTTCTTTGTATCGCAACAGATCCACTTTCTGTCCGAAAAGGATATTATCACGTACGCTTCCGCCGAACAACCAAGGGTCTTGTGGCGCATAACTAACACTTCCATTCACCGAAATCCTCCCGGAAGTTAAAGGCAATTCCTTTAACAACGCGTTAATTAAACTAGACTTGCCGCAACCCACTTGTCCAATCACTGCTATCAAAGAACCAGGATTGGCGGCAAACGTGATATTTTCTAAAGTAATTTTCGTATTCCACTTAGCGGTACCGTGGGTAATTTCAATCGCGCCGGAATTTGCGACCATCTTCTCGGCGTCATTTAGTATGATCTCCGCACTTGTAAGAAATTTGGTAATGCGATCGATCGAAATAAGTGTCTCGCCTAAAACGCAGAGCCCTTGCGGTAAGCTCCAGGCCATTGTAAAGTGGAACGTAGTGTAAAAAACGGTTAGGCTGAATACATTGTCGGCAGTTAACTGGTGATGTATTACGTATACCAGTATGGTCACGTACAGGCTGGTTGGTATTAGCAGAACATCGAGTGTAAGGTATACTGCTTTGGTGTAAGAGGACAAAGTGATGTATTTCATTTCGAATCTGCAAAAAAACAGGCGTACAAGCTTTGTGGTTGTAAAAAGAAGAAGGTTCCTAAAAGTCCCATGAAAATGTGTCAATTTTCGACTTTGTCTACAATGTTTCCGTTTTTGTCTGATGACCTGTTACTGAATGCCGAATGTAAAGAAACCGCCAATTGGTTGTTTCGGAGATACGTATAACTTGGAAGAAGCGCAAAACTACCACAGGATTTAAACCATTTTAATTTCCGTGTTATAGCAACCCTTCATGGACATTTTTTTAAAATACTTTTAGCTTAATTACATTTACGTGCTCCAAACTGCAAAATCAGACTTGTTTGTGGGAATGCAAGATTGGAAAAATAGCTAAAACAAATGAGCTCAAAGGTGATATCTTAGCAACTTACTAGGGATTTTCACGAATAATTTAGAAAGATAGGTGGGGATTAATCCGGAGAAGAATTTTGGGGGGTTCCGTTCTTGGCTACGAATGAATTAACTACCCGAAAATTCGTTTTGGGGTCGCGAGGGTAGCAAATTCTGTGTTTTGGACCTCATAGAGTCAAGTCGTAAAAAGTTTCGGTCAGTTTCTGTTTCTGCAGCTCTATGATAGCTTGACGTTTTGGGAGTCGCAGATTCACGTGAAGTTGACTGCAGGTTACAACAACCTAGCTGAGGCACAATACCACCATAAAGGACGATGGAATTTCCTTTGGTCGAATGGCATGCACCGTTGCCACATAACTACAATATGCCAATGTACTTAAACATTTTATTCACTCGGCAGTTATTCCAAGCACTTTAAATGTTTCTAATAGTCAATTTCAAACACTTACCTACGATTTTCATACCTTAATTTCCGTTTAAATGCACCTTTAAAAACATGACCGTTAACTTTGACAGATGGAAGAACGTACATTTACTTCGTTACTTGTTGACGGTCGCTGTTCAATAGTAAAGTGAGGCAAGTTCTCAATTCTTTAAGTAGATTCGGATTGTTTCTGAGAAAATAGCACCTGGAAAATTCCCCTGGGCGGCTGGGGAGCGTCGCCTCCGAGGTGCGCGAGCTCGTTGAAATTCGCCTCTACCGTACGCTTCGAGTAGGGCGTCGCGCCGCACGCTTAAGCGTGTTCCGATAATTGGGTCTTTTTATGATATTGAAAAAATTCCTCCGGCTGCCGTCGGGGTAGCTGTCATAAGAAGCGAAAAAATCGAAACTTTTGGAAAAAAAATCGTCGGAAACGCTCGAAACGACACCGCAAGTCAAATTTCCACTTTCTGGGATGTTAGGCGACGTGGAGGAGCGTATTTACGCAGGGGTGCGTGTGAGACCCCGGGGGGAATCGGTGAGAGCCCCTCTCGAAAAGAGTGTTTTGCGCATTTTCCACATTTAAGGTCTTCTACAGTCTATTCGGTTAGACCTAGAGCAAAACGTAAAGTTGCGCGATTGTAACTCTCGAAGATATCTACGAGTTGTCACGGGTCGCTCTAGAGGGGAAAAACGCGCCTAAGAATTATCATCGAGCCGACGAAGAAGAAACCCTCAAAGAAATGAGAAAAGGTATCCTCCGCATTGCATGTTTGCGATACTGACAAATTCTATCTACATTGGAGGTTTTCTTTCAACTGCAAGGATAAGAATAACCGGAGGTTTGAGGAATTGACAACAGAGGAAATTCAACTGGCCGAAAGAAAATTAATCAAAATCGTCCAGGAGGTATCGTTTCTGGAAGATGATCAAAGCCTGTCTACGTTGAGGGTAATGAGGAATATGGAATGTAATTAGAAAGTAAGATTGCCAGAAGAGCCGATACAGAAACTTATCCTTATGTATTACCAGGGAAACATCCAGTTGTCAAAGAGTTGTATACATTGCAGCAGATGTATGTCCATGCGCCACTGCTCCCTCCAGATTGTGACTTCGCAGTCACTTAGTAAAAGTCGTTGCAGTATGAGAGGCCAAGATGGAAAAATTCGGTTGGTGTGGCTTAAAACCTAACACGGGTTATTGTTACGACCTATTCAGCGCATTTATCCCATGGATGCTACGTCAGAAGCGTTTGATATACAAAAAGCAGAACAGAAAGAGAAAAAGGAGACATTTTCATTAGACCCATCACTGTAAAATTTATGTGGAGCTAACCGTGGATTAAAATTAAATTCTTTGTACACATTGGGTAAAATTTGTTACACGATTTTCAAAGAAATTGGTAAATCGTTACAATTGAGAATCATATAGACAAAAACAACAGCATCCTGGGGTACCGTTTTCAATAGTCAAAGTCAATTAGGGAAGCCCAAAGATGAACTAAACCATAATCTATTTTTATTAGTATTATTATTATAACTTTTGTTTGTTTCAATGTGTTCAAGAAATTGGCATTATTACTTGTCTTCTAAAACACTGGAAGAGAAGCTCAATATGTCTGGATAAAAACAAGCACAGGTTTATAATAGGGGAGTCCACGAAGCTAAATGAGGACTTTTGAACTTTGTAGATGAGATTGTAAAAAGAAAAAAAAAGTTATATTATGTACATCCCTACACTGGTGGGGGGGGGGGGGGGTAGTAATGTCGTAAAAATAGTCACAAGAAAATGCTCGAGGGCATCAAATATTGTTAGTGTATATGCCCCAAGTGTGTCTGATATTGGAGATATCTCAATCTGCCGGTTTTTCATGGTGGGGGTTGATTTATTCATTTATTTATTTCAGCAGGCTGACTGAAGTTTGTTACCTTCCCACTCCCTTGCGTCACGCTCAAATTATCAGATTATTGAAATGCACACTTTTCAACATGCAGTTGACCCACCTTACATTAATCTGGAATCTGGCTCGCTCGAATAAATCCCAAAATCCCCTATTGGGCTCCCCTACTATTAAGCTCTAATGAATGTAATTTACATATTCGGTTATCATGGTTCAAGTTTTGCTATTGTGTACTATTGAAAAGGATTGTATGGCATTTGTAAATGAGATAATGGGTTGAAGCGAACTTATGACAGTTATACATGAAAGTACATACTTACTTACGAAGGGAATTTAAAATATTTTCCATTGGTTTTTCCCAAGCATACATCTTAATCACCTGCATTCCAGAAATGACTTCGGCCATAAAGCGTACTCTCTCATCTGTACGCATGGCTGTCTTCAATCTGTACTTGGACGCTCCCTTACTCAAAAAATCTAAGAGCTATGTATAACAACGCGTTTAACTGAAGAATTACTACTTACAATAGAACGGTGTACACAAAACGATAACTAATACACCAACTATTGCTGAAAATCCAACCTCCTGGTACATTAGGTACGTAACGACGAGGCATTGTACGGGAGCAATCAGAACGTAGTTCACGATTACAGAGAATCTTATAAGTATGACAGCGTCGTTTGAAAGTAAATTGACTATTTGTCCCACACTGGTCTTGCACAAAGCTGTGTAATGCAGTTTCAATGCCTTCCTGTAAATTAGAGACCCGCACGATATTTTTGCTTTCAATCCGACCATCTGAGAGTTCGCTATATATGGATGAAATAGAGCTGTATTTAGAAATGTCAAAAAAATTATGCCGAAGGCATATGGCAAAACTCCAGTATTCACATTATCAAGTGTATAGAAGGAAACCAAACGGCCCACCATTACCGCTTGAGCAGGCCTAAAATCAACCTGTTGAATAATCGAGACCAAAATTTGATATCTACCTACTTTATCGCGCACTCTATAACGAGTAATAACGCCGCAAACGTAAGCATTTGTAAACCAAAGGCACGACATAGAACTTTTCGTAAGGAAGGCGCGCGCTTGGTCCTAAGCGCGTTTTTCAGTTCATTGCACCACAGTTTTTCCAACTTATCCCCTAACAGTTTTGAACGGAATCCGTCCACGGTCTCGTACATGTTATCCTCGTCAAAACCTTTTCTGCGTCCATAAAGAAACGTCGGAATGGTGTAACTAAAAATACGTCACAAATACAGATGAAATACATGTGATGTATCTACTTACAAAAATGAAGCCGAAGACAGGAAGCTGCAGTTTTGCCGAGGATTTCCTTTCCGTTTGTTGCTATTATTGGAATTCATGTCTATTACAATTCGCCACTAAAACGAAACGAACTATGAGTTTTGCGCAAAATTGTCTTTTTATTCAGACTAGAATTGCTACCGCTTTCATTTTTTTAAAGCACTTTGTTCGCAAAAAGATGCGCTTAGCTAAGTCAATTTTGAACACAATTAACATGTTTTTGACGTTGGTGGATTAGAATGTCACGTTTCCTGAATGATTAAGATTAGGTATATGGATTAACAGTCTATAAAGTGAGCTAAAAATAGTTATATGATAACTGTTTTTTAAAATCTTTCACAGTGCAGGTTAGATCTGTCCAGAAAGCCCTGCCTGCGTGCACCATGGCAGTGAACGAATGAAAACTACTCCGAACTAAATCTAGCTATAATGCAATTCACTTGTTAGGCAAGTAAATTTGAATTGTTGGAAAAGCATATAAGAAAACCTTAAACAGGTTGAATTTAAAAATGGGAAAATTTTCGAACAAAGGTAGCAAAACTAGTTTATGTAATCACGATGTGGGGTTATGAAATGTTTTTTTGAAAATTTAATATAATAAATTATGTATATTTTTTCCCAGAATGAGTGCAAATGGGTAACGCGCCGGCTCTTATCCCCTTTTGGTGGGTACTGGGTAGGTATGGCACCGTTTCGTTGTGTTTGTGTGCCCGTCCTTCCGTACGTAAGCGAATTTTGGATTGGATTGTTTTCGATTACAGCTAAGGACTAATAACTCCGACGAGTTCGTTAATCTATTAGAAATGGTAATTTATGTTGCGAAGTTTCTTACAAAACTTAACATCAGTCACATACAATATAAGAACAATGTAACTTTGGAGATTAGCATTAATAATTTAATACATATTTACATTATGAAAATGCACTTTGTCTTCTATGCTAGCGAAAATATAATGTCAGATTAATTACCTAATCACACTAAACCCACACGTTAGCTACTAAGAAATTCAATCACTGCTAAAATTATTCTATGGTTGATAGCATTGAAATGATTTGTAATTAGACTTTGTTTTCCTGACTGTAATTATATAATGTATTGTATTACTTTATTCTCCTCACGGTAATTACCGTTTCTTGTACATCTAGTTCAATTAATACAAAATAATTTCATTACAAATATAAGAAGACGCTGTTAATTATGTATGTATTAATTACAGTAGACAATCGAAAGATGAATATGTATATCCATTAAATAATAATTACGCATAGTCCTTTAAAATTTTACAAGCAATTACAGTTTCACGAAGTTACCGAAAAATTATTTAGACCATGTCACGGAAGGTCCGCTTCGGATAGGATTTTCTTGTTGAATTTGATGAGTAAAGGTACTATGGAGCAGTGCTAAGAGTAGTGTATATTTGAGTGTTATCTGAATGTAAGTTTTTCTATGAATTGCCATTATAGGTTGAGTAGCACGTCTTGTGTCGTCTTACTGTCCTCTCATTTTCCGTGGTTTGCCACTCTCTGTCAGATAATTTGCCGCAACCCCTATGTTTCTGAATCACCAGATTCCCACACATTCGGCCCTGTGATGTATCACTAACGTTAAACGTGCAGGTTATCTGTAGCAACCGTTATTTTGCCCATACTAAATAACACAAAATAACGTTTTTTGACAGATACTCTGCACGTTAAGTTTTCCGTTTGCCGTTTCTTCTCGCAAATTGAAAAGCAAACATTAGAGATGTAATTTGGCGGCCAACTACATTCCCCGCTAAAATAACACAAGGGTATTTGTATAAAATAAATTGAATTATTCTAAAAAATTTCCCTAGGTCAAGGCCCGTAGTCGCGGTATATGAAGTTACAGGAATTGGTAAATGGCCCGAAATACGTAGATGAATTTTCTTTAGGATTTGTTAGATATCTGTACTGGCTCTATACGGTTTCAGCTTTCCTTAAGTCAGGATGCGTCTTTTTTGATAATAGATTAATTATCTTTTCATATTTTAAAACGCATTCATTTGCACTCGGTGTTCTAGGGCTATGCTCGCTCGCGTTTCGCTCACTCTGATCCTATCGAAAGAATCTCAGGAAAGCGCGATGCGATTGAGAGACGAGCACGGGAACACCTAGTACGCGCATTTTTGATGATAGCGTCAACATCAGTGACTAGTACACTGACACTGTTTCGTGTTTTGTGATTTGCTGTTTAACCGTGCTGTACGAAAAATTAATTCTATTAAATAAAAAGAAATGCGGATTTATATGATTTTGTTGATAAAAACTATGCATTTCGACAACGAAAAGATAATTGCTGGTTGGAAGCAAGTGTTCAAAGCCTCGCGCGTCTTTTACTTTGGCGCCTTTCTTCCTCTTCAAATAGAAGTGGCAATAATAAGATAAAATTGGAGCGCGCGAACAGGATTTTGTGCCATTTGACTGCGATCAGCTAAGCTCATTATGCGATAGGGGCGGGACCGTCTAACGCTTTCCCTTCTTTAGCTTCATATGAATATACGTATTCTATTTTTAGTTTGCGCAATTGTAGAACGAAATTAATTTGTCGTCGCCCAAGTCGTTTTCTACACTTAATCTGCCGCTGTTCCACTAACTTTTGCTTTTTTTCAAAAAATAATTTTCGTTTCTTGCACAATTAAGAGATTGTTTTAACCTATGCATAATCCTTCTATTACACAAGGTCGTACTCTGTGTAGTCATATAAAATGCCATGATAGACCTCTTGCCGAGAAGCGCATACTCCTGTTTAATCCTTATTTTTACGTAATTAGGTTTCTTTCTATCTAAATGGTTAAATTAACGTGGATCAATGGGCTATGATCCGGATAAAAGCAAAAAAATCTCGCAAAAGATCTATTCTCTAAGACGATAGATGCGTGCCCTCCTTTTTCCTCTATTTCAGAGCTTTAACTAGGGGAATCTTTGGCCACTCGCATTCGGAAACCAGACTTTTAATCTGGCTTATATTCAAAACCACTGACCCTTGAAATTTGCTGCAAAAAAAACAAAGCTAAACGGCTCGGTTGTAAATGAGACGTTAACACTAAAACGGTAACTGAAATCACTACTATTTTAACAATGCAAAGGATGCAAAAGCGTTACGGAGAAATTAATTTCAACGGCAAAAGTAAATTATCTGTATTCAGTACGAAAGCGAATAAAATTAATTCTGTGTTTAATTAATTACTCCTTTCACCCGATATCGGAAAAATATGGGAAATATTTCGGGCGTCAGGTTTTTTAAGCGCGCTTCTTTTGAACATCCATCATTAATTATGCTTACCTAATTAGGCGCGTTCAAACTTCAATATGCGATAATCCAATTAACGCCTAGGCCTAATTGGAGTTTTTCCGGCACAACGACTGTTGTCATTATCTACACACTTGCACGCTGCAAGACTAATCAAACACCTCGATTTGGAACTCGTTTCTATCCTGGTTTTCACTTACTATTGGAAACTAAAATAGTTAATAATTAATTAACGGCGTTCAAAATTCAAAATATTAATTCGCCTTCATCTTCCAAAGTATAACAGCTTTCGGAGGCTGCAAGAATAATCTTAATAATTTTGCCGAGACCAGGCGGAAACAGGGTGCTTCGTTACAAACCATTCTGTATTTATTCTTGAGTTTCATTACCGACCAGATTGATTAGTGGTTTCTTAAGTTGATGAAGATCCGACCAAGATGCTACCTCAAGTTGGAGATAAATACAACAATTGAGCTTGAAATTCCTAAAAACAACTAACAATAGGTTAGTAAAGTTAAGATAGGGCACGTACCGGTACCTCAGTGTACCGAAGACAAGTTCCATGGTGTGTTGAATAAAGAGGGGTTGGTGGAATTTCCCTGAGTTTTCAAGTCTCCTCCAGTATCCATCTGAACCCGCTATCGGACTACTTAAAACAAACTGAATCTAGGACACAGTCTGCTTCCACGAAAATTTGACGATTTTTACTAACTTATCTTGGTTGGTAGTAAGACCTAAAAAAAAGAAACTGAATTAACCTCGCCTTTTTTAGAATGGTCCTATACCAAGTTTATATACTTATAAGTTTGCGAGTTAACCTGTACCGGAAAACAAAACACCCACTTAAAGTATGGTCCCAATTAAATACTATCATTGTTAAAACAAAAGATAATTGTATTGGGTACCTAGGTACTTAACACAGAAAATGAATGCTTATCAGTAGACATACACAAAACTTGAGTAAGTACATAAAACACGGTAGCAATGAATAACACGTGTAAGACCAGACGTAAATCAAATCCTCGACAGAATGCAAATCCTCTGCTTGCTGCCACATTTCTGTAAGTGTCACTCGTCTGCGTGTTAGTAATTAATGTAGAATCGTTTTTTAGGTATGTGTTGCCGACTTACATTAAGGGACAACAAAAGCCATTCCAGGAAGATGATCTTTACGAAACAGTCAGAGATCTGCAGTCCGAACGTTTGGGGAACAAGGTGGAAATATTATGGGATCTAGCAAGTGGCGTGGAGAAGAAACCTTCGCTTGTAAAAGTTTTAATTTCTGCTTTTGGTTTCGAGTACATTACTTCTGGAATAATTCTGGCCATATTAGAATTAGTAGTTAAGTACGGCTAAATTGAATGGCTTACCGAATACTATAGTGAGTTGCAGGCCTGCGCAAGCCGTGTTTCTCGGGCGCTTACTACTGTTCTACATGCCAATTGTTGACGTTAACACGCATACGACCCAAGAGGAGGCACGATGGTATGCAGGGGGCATAGTTTTTTTCTCATTTTTGCGAATAACGCTATTTCATCCGCTCATCGTGCACACCCAATTGATCGGTTTGAAAGCCAAAATAGCTTGTTGCGCGTTGATCTATCGGAAAACGCTCAAGTTGAACAATGCCGCGTTTAGCAAAACGAACATTGGACAAATGATCAATTTGCTATCGAATGATGTGATCATATTTACTAAATGTGCATTGATGCTAAATCACTTGTGGGTGGGCCCACTACAATGCCTTGTAGTTACATGTTTAATGTATCACTATGTTGGAGTTTCGTCAATCTTTGGCGTATTGCTACTGATACTATTTCTACCAGCATACTGCAAGTATTTGCTTAAAGGCGACAACCTAGTATTAAAGTCTGCTTTTAGATTGGCTGGGTAACTTGGCATCCAAGTATCGATCAAAAGCTGCTATGCGGACAGATGCCAGAGTGTGTTACATGAATGAAGTTATCCTAGGAATTGAAATAATCAAAATGCACGCTTGGGAAAAACTAACTACAAGCTTGATGCTGTCGCTTCGCAAGTATGTTCGCACAAGTTCCCACACAAGTGCGCTCATTATATGTTTCAGTCTGGAAATGAAATATATTCGGCTATGCACGTATGTAAAAGCTGCATACATGTCTTGTGATATAGTTGTGATACCGATCATTCTTTGGGTAACAATCGTAGTGTATGTGTGCCATAATACCATTAGGGCAGATACGGTGTTTACACTGATATTGTATTACAATTCACTACGTTTATCCATAGGAAAATTTTTCCCGCAAGCTCTTAGCTATCGTGCCGAAGCACTCGTCTCCGCCAGGCGCATCAACGAATTCTTGCTGAATACCGAAATTCAATTGGAAAACGCCGAAAGCACAACCGATCCGATTGCCATTCGAATTAGTGAGGGTAATGCTAAATGGAAGGAAGATCTCACATTAAAAGACATTAATTTGACGGTGAATCCCGGAGAGTTGGTCGCAATTGTTGGGCAAGTCGGATGCGGAAAATCAAGTTTGTTAAACGTGTTACTGAAGGAGCTGAATTTGTTTTCTGGAAAGTTGTACATAAACGGAGAAATCAGTTACGCCTCGCAGGATGCTTGGCTATTTCGTGGCAGTGTTCGGGATAACATTTTGTTTGGCGAAAAAATGGACGAGGTTCGTTACAAGGAGGTGGTGCGTGTGTGTGCTCTAGAATGTGACTTTAATTCATTGCCATACGGCGATCTTACCATGGTCGGAGGACGAGGCGCTTCCTTGAGTGGTGGCCAGAAGGCGAGAATAAATTTGGCACGCGCCGTATACAGAGATTCCGACATTTACCTACTCGACGACCCTCTTGCCTCGGTCGATGCTCGAGTCGCCAAACAAATATTCGAGGAGTGTATTAAAGGGTATTTAAAGGGGAAAACTATAATGCTAGTTACACATCAAATAAAATTCCTGACAGATGTGGATCGGTTAATTGTCTTAGAAAACGGTGCGATAATTTCTCAAGGTTCAATGGATGAAAAGGCAGCCCTTGACTATTCCAAGGGGATAGATGACTTTGACGTAGAAGAACTCGGCTCTCGAAAATTAGCACACAAGGTTCAAAATGTTACCAAAGAACAAAAATCTGAAGGTTCAGTGTCAAAAAGTGTATATCGACGGTACATAGCTTCTTGTGGATTTTTATCGTTTTTGAACGTTGCTGTGCTGTTCATATTAACGCAGGCATTGATTAGTGGAGGATCCTATTTCTTGGCGTATTGGTAAGTGGTTTTAAAGGCTGAAATTAAGGTAGAGTCGTAGTTTGGACGCGGTCGAAGAAGACCACAATCCGTACTAGTAGGGGAGCCCAATGGGGTATTTTGGGATTTACTCGAGCGCTTCAGGTTAAAGTAAGGTGGGCTGATTACGTGTTGAAATCTGTGCATTTCAATAATTTGACGATTTGAGCATGACGTGAGGGACACATCGTTAATAAAATTCATTGCGTTTTCTACCGATCCGTATAGCCTCTTCCACATGCAAACCGGTAAATTAACATACCTCCAATATCAAAAACACGTGGGGTATATACACTATCAATATCTGACGCACTCGAGTATTTCGTATTTTGTTGTATATGTCGTAGTCTTTTAATGAAATCCGTCATTTCACGAAACGCCTAGTCATTTATATGAAACTGTGGCACAGTGTACTTTCCAGGACCAAGCGATTGGATTCCCTTCCCATTCAAGATCGATAAATGGTATCCCTTATCGATCTAGAAGCGGAAGGAAAACTACCCCACACGTACAAATTGTCAGCGTTTCACTAAATGACTAGGCCTCGGACTAGGCTTTTCGTGAAATGACAGATTTCACTAAAAGACTACGACATATACATTGTTAAAAAAGTGTAGACGCGCGCCTCACCAGTGGAGAGATTTACATCATACATATAACTTTTTCTGGAGTAAATCCCCATTTAGCATCATGGGCTCCTCTACTAGACGCTATAGAATTAAAAAACAAACACTGGGGTCCAGTGAAACTAAACCGTTATTTGACAAGTGATGCCTATTGCTACATGTGTCGTTTTTCTTGAAGTGTACTAATTTTCAACAATAGCAGAGCCTTTGAAATTTTGAGAGGAATAGGAAAATTTTTAAATGCATCAAAAAGCTTTCCAAATGTAATGAAAGAAGGTACCTCTGAAGGTACCTAGATTACGAAATCTAAATATTACTCATGTGTTTGTGTTGTAATTAGATTTAAAAAATCTTAATGGACTATTTATCGTAGGCGAGTTAATTCAGACACCTATTTGTGTTAGATTCTCGTCACTACTAATATGCGTAACGTACCCTTTTTTCCGTATAAACCACTTTTTACGCGTTTAAGCACATAAACTAGAATAATTTATGACGTGGGGCACAACGCACAAACACAATACGGTTAAGCAATAAAAGTGAAAAATTTGCCTAATTGTTTCATGCTGTAGTTAAAGAATGGGGATAGGAACTTGTAAAGCAAGCGTTCGTGCAGGTGGTCAACGGCACCATTGACAGAGGGAATGATGTAAAAATGTGTTAATAAAAAAGAAGTGAAATGCGAATTGTACCCGGCACCGGTTAATTACATTCAGTTCGAATCCATCATTGCAAAGGTTCTTTATATTGAATTGAATATCGCTTTTGTTTATAATTCACAAATCTAAGTGGTTTAATTTAACGTTGTCGAAGTCAGGCATTGTACTTAATTATGATTAATTAAAAATTAGCCCAACTATGCGTTTGGCAGTTAATTATTGGTAATTGAAATTAAGTTTACCAATTATGTTAGTACATAACACAGACCTATAAGATGAACTACGCCGATTATAATCAAGACGTTATTATATTCTGTCAGTGAATCGGCCAACTTTGGGTTCGGTAAACCGATGCCCATTTAACCTCTAATAACAGCTCGCGCTCCCGTGGACACTCGGTCTCGAGTACGTTCATTTATCGTTCGCTCACCCTCTCTTCCGGAAAATAGTCACGCAAAGAAAAAAAATGTGGTCTCGTTACCACCTCGTACCAATCTCGTTTTTCATTACAAACACAATCAATTATTATTAGTTCACACAATAATTAGATTCACCGCTAAACGATAGATTAAAAAAGGCCGCGTAAGGCGGTCGTACACTATCCACATTTCTAAAATATTCTTTAAATAAAATGAAAACGCGTGCTCGCACTGAAAGGTTTAATAATCGACTGGTACATAATAACATGGACAATCCTTATCGTCAAGACAGTCGTAAAAACGAACGCGTAATTACTCGCTCAGGTGCTCCTCTTTAGGGCAGCGGCGGTTCGTCGGGAGCATTTATTGTAAAATGTTTGTTTGGATTGTAAATGAAGAGTTTATTTTCAAAATGATAGTTAAGCAAACTAATTAACTCTTACGATTTATCTTGTCTTTGTGCTACTTCAAATAAAAAAAAACTGGCAGACGACGACCTCTAAAATTATGACTTAAAATACTGGTGTCTGATTATGTTGTGCAATCGGTGTCAATCTGCTGATTGAAGCCATCCTGTATTCTATAAATTTACCACGCATGAAGCTATTTAGTAAGGATTTGATATGTTCACGTAAATGGATTCAACTTTGTTAGCCATAAGTTGTATTTCTGGGTGGAAAAAGTTACCGTAAATTTTTGGATATTGAAATATGGTAATTGAAGGTTGTCACGAATTAGGGATATTTTGACATTTGTAATTTGATATGGGAAGTCTTTGAAAAAAAGTTGAATTTGTAATTTGAAACCTTCGTCTCGCAAATTGAATTTGAAGAAGTTTAAAGTTTACCATTCTAAGTTTCTATTATGGAGCTTTAAGTTTAAAAAATCGTACTTGAAAGTTTCAAGGGAAAGTTTACATTTTAAAGGGAAAACAACTCAAGTCTGGTCACTTGAATCGTGATGCTTAGATCCTTTGAGCTTTTTTTTGCTATACTTGGTTCTGGGATTGATACTATTTTCAAAGCTAAATTTAAAGTTTGAATCTTGATGTTTCAACAGAAGAAGGCTCAACAATTTAGCCTTAATTGAATTTGAATGTTTGGAGTTTGAAAACTTAAAACTGAGCGTTTACATATTGACACAATATGAACCTTATGTACTCCAAAGAAGATTTGAAGGTTGAAACGTGAGATTTGTTTCAGCCTTAAATCTTAATTTGTGACTGCTTGCAGTTTGAAGTTGAAAGTTTTAGAATTCACTTGCACTTCAAATTAATAGGTACCTAAATAAATATGTGTCAGTGACACTAATAAAATAAACATGATCTTACGGTGTTCAAGCGGGTAATGAAATTTTGTTCAAATTTTATCTAAAGGTGGTCATACACAAATCCTTTATTTTCATTATAGGGTCAACATAGCACAAACCAAAGCACCGTCTCCAGAGCAGAGCAATTCCAGTAATGTTTCACAGATCTTGGAGTATAACGAAGATACGAAGAACATGCATATTTTCACATATTCCATTATAACCATCGCCTGCACGGTTATTGTATGCATACGGTCATATGCATTCTGCTCCATGTTACTCAAATCATCTCAAACACTGCACAACAATATGTTTAAAAACGTTATCGGTGGAACGATGCATTTTTTTAACACAAATCCCCAAGGAAGAATAATAAATCGATTCTCACAGGACATGGGAACTGTTGATGCAGTGCTACCACCTGTTGCAATTGACACAATTCAATTATTGGTATCGGCATTTGCTTCAGTTACACTGATCGCAATTGTAAACTACTGGCTATTAATACCGACAGTAGTAATAGGCTCATTATGCTACGGTTTGAGAGCATTTTGTATACCAACAATGCGCAATGTGAAAAGGCTGGAAGGTGTAAGTAAGTAAATTAAGGGTTGCAATCTTCGTTTAGTAATGATATTTAAATTAGCGCGGAGTCCAGTTTTTGAACACTTAAGTTCATCACTGCAAGGCCTGAGCACTATTCGAGCTTTTCAAGCTGAAGCAATTTTAAAAGAAGAATTCGACGCCCATCAAGATTTACATAGCGGCAGCTATCATTTATTCTTAAGCACGTCACAAGGGTTTGGCTACTTCTTAGACTGCATATGCGCAATATACCTTGCTGCCGTCACCTTTAGCTTTGTTATCTCTGGCAGTGGTAAGTCACCTACAAAATCACTGGCCTGCCAAACTCCTCGTTTTAGATATCCTCGGTGGCAACGTAGGGCTCGCCATTACCGAGTGTCTAACCGTGACAAGTATACTTCAGTGGGCAATGCAACAGACGGCGGAGTTTGAAAACAACATGACATGCGTGGAACGCATCTTGGAGTACGAGTCAATCGCACAAGAAGAAATTACCGGTGAAGAGGTTCAACTATGGCCGAAGGACGGAGAAATACTGTTCCGCAACGTTTCGCTTCAATACCTTCCGGATGCTCCACCTACTTTGAAAAACATAAATTTCAAAGTTGCCCCAACGGAAAAAATTGGAATTATTGGACGAACTGGCGCAGGAAAAACATCAATAGTCAACGCTCTTCTTCGGCTAAGTCCAATGTCTGGAGAAATTCTCATTGATGCGGTTGACACAAAGAGCATAAGTTTGCAAGCGTTACGCTCGAAGATCTCGGTCATCCCTCAAGATCCTACTCTATTTTCTGGCACTTTGAGGCAAAACTTGGATCCATTTCAAGAGTATGATGATAGCGCTCTGTGGAATGTTCTCGAAGAGGTTGAACTGAAAAAATTATTTACATCCCTACCAGAAGGTGAGTTCTATCCGCCAATACAGTGTTATTAGTGTCTTGTTTCAGGTTTATCTCATGTTATTAACCAAGGTGGAACAAATGTAAGTGTGGGTCAACGTCAGTTGATATGCTTAGCACGTGCCATTCTGCGTAATAACAAGATATTAATCATGGATGAAGCAACTGCGAATGTGGACTTGGAAACGGATAGTTTAATACAAAGGACGATTAGAAATAAATTTGAGACATGTACAGTGCTTACTATTGCACATAGATTAGAGACAGTTATGGATTCTGATAAAGTTCTAGTTATGAATGCAGGTGAAGTGGTGGAGTTTGATAAACCATCTGTGTTGCTTAATAATGTCAACGGATACTTTTATAAAATGTATCAAAGGTTTAACAAACATCAACATAGTACATAGTATGTCATCATCGCACATTATCCACAAGTTGTTAACTCATTTTTTCCATTTTGAATAAAACTTTACTAAGCCTGTTGTTTTTGTGCATGAATCGTACTCGAAAATTACTGGTACAAGAAACGAAAATGGGTTAAGAAGTTGTTCATCAGTTCTACAAGCTGCTAATTATCCAACAACTGCGATCGTCAAATTCCCAATATGGAGGTCTTTGAAGGAGCGAAACTCGCGGAAATTGCTAAGTGGTCGGAAAATGAGCAGTGCACATAACTGCTGATGACAATAAATTATTAGAACAGCGTACAATATATCTATTTTTATACTTAGACGAAATGCAGAGGACGGGCTTGTCCAAGTAGTTTCACTGATATTTGCACATGCCTTTCTGTCAGTCCTCTGTAAATTTACTAAATTAACTTAATTCTGAGTTTAAATTTAAATTCCGAATTTAATCGAATTATGAGTTAAAGCTCGAATTTAGTTAAATTCTGACTTTAAATTGTAGATGTAGAACGCACAATCCGGTAGGTAATAATGAAGATACACGTAAGCAGGAAGTAAGAAGGCAAAAAATGATTATTCAAAGTCAAAAGGTAAATGCGTAATTTTTGTTAACATTTGAAAATGGCCTTAGAACTTGTAAAATGCATCTGCAAATGCGTCATGGAAGTGCCGAAAGCAAAATAATAAGAGAAAATTTCACTAAACCTATACAGCATCAATAAAAATCCCAAAAAGGCTGAAAAAAATCGAGTAACTGTAATGGCGTGTATTCTTCTCTCGTCTTTGTAAAAAGAAGTACGTGCGACAATTTAAAGAACACTCTGCACGTCCTCCGTCGGCAAAACCAATAACTATGTGAAAGAAACGTATACTAAGATAATAACCAATTTACTACAGGAACAATTTACATCTAAACTTGTAGATTACAAAGAAGATACATGGCGTAAGGATATAAATAAGAGCAAGAATACTATAATACTAAATTTGAATTACGAGCAAAAAGAACGTAACACAATCTTCACATAAAGTGAAGCTTTTGCAATGCTATAAATGGAGAATCGTGTTATCATGTTGTTTGCCTTCAAATCAGTAAAATTTTTTAGCATTGTGTGGGAAGATATAGGTACTTGGACAACAAGTCTAGCAAGTGCCGGCCATTTTTAAAGATGGCAACCAAATGACCATGATTTCGATGGCCAATGTTTTTTTAAGCTCCTATACGTGTTTAATATAAAGATCCGCTCAAAAACTTAGGGGACATACACCTGCACACGTGACCAGAGTTGGACTGGGTCACTGGGTCACTGGGTCAACTGGGTCACCTGGGTCACTAAATTAAACTGGGTCACTGGGTCGCTGGGTCACGTCGTACTCTTTTCAGTTAGACCCAGTGACCCAGTTGACCCAGTGACCCAGTTTGACCCAGTGACCCAACTTGACCCAGTGACCCAGTTGACCCAGTTTGACCCAGTGACCCAACTTGACCCAGTTTGACCCAGTGACCCAATTTGACCCAGTGACCCAGTTTGACCCAGCGACGCAATTTCACCCGGGGACCCAATTCGACCCAGTCACCTAGTTTGATTGAATAACGCAGTTAAGTCAGTGCCCTCGGTTCAAGTGTACAGATTATGCAATAAATGAAATGCTGGTTTGTTGAAAATAATACTCGATTGCTTGACAACTGCCATTTCTGTGATGTTTGCTTTAATACTGCCGTAAAAAACTTTCCATGTCCCGAATTGTATTAGAATAATGTTATTTCTTTGCTTCAGGGCTTACCAGTTTGCTTACAGGTGTTCATTCACATTTAATTTTTTTCTACTAGTTAGCTTAATCCAAATAAATCTTTTCTCTAAATACTTTCATTGACTACTTGACCACAAACTATAAACAAATGCATTTGATTTTTTTAGGTATTAGTTCTCTTGAATGAAATTGGGCTACGTGCTTGTTGCCGAATATTATTGAGGAAGTTTTTTTTTAAATTAAAAGTTACTTGAAATTGTTTTGGATGATACCTAACAATAATTTAATTACTGGGCCACCGGGTCAGGACGGGTCACTGAGTAAAGCTGGGTCAAGATGGGTCACTGGGTCAAGCTGGGTCACCGGGTCAAGCTGGGTCACCGGGTCAAACTGGGTCAAGCTGGGTCACCGGATCAAGCTGGGTCACTGGGTCAAACTGGGTCAAGCTGGGTCACCGGGTCAAACTGGGTCAAGCTGGGTCAAGCTGGGTCACTGGGTCAAACTGGGTCACCGGGTCAAGCTGGGTCACCGGGTCAACTGGTCACCGGGTCAACTGGGTCACCGGGTCACTGGGTCAGTAAACTAACTGGGTCACCGGGTCACTGGGTCACTCTATGCTTGACCCAGTCCAACTCTGCACGTGACATGAGGTAGCTCCCGCACTAGTTTCACTTTGGCACTTCATGATAGGTTTCATTGAGGAGCTCAACAAAATCTCATTTGGGAATTCGTTTTCTGGGGTTAAGTCTTCGCTGTTTTACTAGTTCTTTACCCCAACTAGTCTTAAAGGGTCCACCGCCACATATTGCAGCATCCAACAGCTACAATACAATACGTGCGTTGCGTGGGGAGGTAGTTTTAAAATCGTAATCATTTTCAAAGCTCTGGAATTATATGGGTTTTGTGAGCATCATGAATAAGTAGGAAATACTGGGCGTTCCTGTGGAGGGTTGGGTAAGAAGCTTTTCTTAAACCAATGTCAATGCATGGAGTAGTTGGCTATAGGCAATCAACTCTATACGTAATAAAGGTCTGCAAAAGTCACCTGAAAGATTTCAAATGGTTTTTGTAATGACGTCACCACGAACTTTGCGTAATGTTGTGCTATTCTAAAACGGAAAGCGAGAGGGGTCCTAAAATTCCCAAAAATTCGAAAAGAGTTGTGTCCTGTGATGAATAGTTTCCATTATCAAAAGAAGCCACATCAACTTTTTCTAGGCTTAAGAAAGGCATTGCCAACTCCTTACTCGTCTGTGTGGACCAGAAATCTCCTCCAGTTGTCAAGACATCTGTGCAGCTGTGACACAAAACGGGCGTCCGGTAGCTTTCTTACCCAGAACCATTATTACCCAAATTGAAAAGAAGCACCCTATAGAAGATTGGAACGAGAAAGAAAATTGCCATCGCATTTCCAAGACTACGTTTTAAAATGGCGAGGGGAGAATGAGCGAATATTAAATATCTTTATATTGTAGAAGGCTTAGGTTACCTAGGTACAGTACATGCCAGTTAAAATAAAAATAAAATAAAAAAACAAAGTTTTAGTGTCGGCGTAGGGACCTATGAACAGTCAACAATGACTATTTTTTATTTCCGAATTCCAAAAAAACACTGATGGGGACAATAAAGATTAACTTTTGGCACCTGTTGAGGGCCATTGTGCGGAAAAACCGATTTTTATACTGGATTATTGAGATTATTGAAATGGTGTTATACCTGTATTGTAAATCAGGGAAACTATTTTGAAAAATATAATGTTGTTGCTCTAGTCTTGTGTTTTCATGCCTATAGTCCGGTAATATAAAAAGGAACCCCTTGTACCCCTAACATGATGCTAATGTTACATTTTCTAAAGGCTCCCTTCAACGATTTGCGACCTGGAGCTCCTCTTGACTGTAGTGTAGCGACATCTATCAACCCCAGGAATGGTTTTTCGAACATAGATTCTAGCATTGAATAAGGCATTCTGAAAAATATGCATACCTATGCACCATAGGGACTAAGAGTAAACAGTTGGTCTCTTTTTTGTGGGCGAAAGAATATAAGACCCACTTCTCCACATACATGGGACCCACTTACCTCCAACAGCAAAATTTTTGGAGCAACTGGTTCCCCACCGGCGTAAATAAAATTCCTTACGTATATTAAGCTTTAACTCGCTTTTAGGCACAAGAAATAGGTACCTATCTTTCGTTATGGAACAGCCCACTCACTTCGGGGACCAACTTACCCCTGCTTGCTTATACTACAAAAATCCTTATAACCTTAGCTCTCATCAGGACATAAGTACCTGTGACTGTTAGTTTATTTATAGAGATGTGGTGTGTTTTTGTGTTCGTCTATGGGCCTTTTTCGGGTACAAGCCTACTGTATCTTGAATGTATAGCAGTCTGATGGGTTGCCTAAATGTGCAGCTGAATTGAAGATTGAAGCACCATGTAGGTATGGCTGCTGACCCAAGACTATTTTAAGCATTAATTAATCTCCAGTTGCCCCCTACTCTTTGGTACAAAACTGCAAAGGTAAACACATGAATAAATTATGAATAAAGGTATCATGTGCCATACCTTTTTTGCTGTACCAAACTTCCAAGTTAGCATGAGGTGATGTTACCCGTAGATCCATAGCACAAAGGATGTTACAAAAAACGGCTAATAAGCTTCTTATCAGTATCCAGTTACACTTAAAATGAACAGCACCAGCAAGACCAAACGTAAGGCAAATCCTAGACAAAATGCAAACCCTTTGTATGCAGCCACATTTTTGTAAGTACCACACAATTGTGTACCCTGAACTGATCAGATCATTTTAGGTACACTTTACCAACATTCATTAAGGGACACAGAAAGCCATTCGAGGAAGAGGATATTTACGAAACAATCACTGATCTTCGTTCGGAGCATTTGGGTAATAAAGTAGAAGTACTATGGAGGAAATCATGCCGCACTGATGAGGGACCTTCGTTACTAAAAGTTTTAATTTCTGTATTTGGTATTGAGTACATCACTTGGGGCTTTGTGCTTGCCATCTTAGAGTTAATACTGAAGTAAGGTATTGAGTTATTTATCAATTTCTATGAGGGAAGTTTGCAGGCCGGCACAAGCTGTGTTCCTCGGACAGTTACTTTTACACTACATGCCTAGTGTGGAGGAGGGTTCGCGTACTAACCTGACCGAGGCACGGTGGTATGCAGGTGGAATAGTGTTACTATCTGTCCTACGCATAGCACTGTTTCATCCACTTATGGTACATTCCCAGTTGGTCGGTTTGAAAGTGAAAATAGCGTGCTGTTCTCTAATCTATCGTAAAGCCCTCAAGTTGAATAATGCCGCATTCGATAAAACAAGTCTCGGCCAAATGATCAACTTGCTCTCAAATGATGTCATTATATTTACCAAATGTGCATTAATGCTGAATTATCTATGGGTCGGCCCACTGCAGTGCTTTGTTGTTATTTATTTAATGTACTGCTTTGTTGGTTTATCATCGATTTTTGGTGTATTGCTACTGTTCTTATTTATACCAATGTATTGTAAGTAGTTACTTGCTATGTTATTGTGATAGATAATACCTGCTTTTAGATTTGCTGGGTAATTTAGCATCGAAGTATCGATCAAGAGCGGCCTTACGGACAGATGACAGAGTGTGTTACATGAATGAGCTTTTATCAGGAATTGATATAATTAAAATGCACGCTTGGGAGAAGTTAACCACAAGTTTAATGCTCTCACTTCGCAAGTATGTTTCTTACTAGAGGTAAACCGCTCTGGAGCAATTTGGTATACCTACACAGTCTGAGCAATACTGCTGCATAATGTAATTGTAAAGAGATTCAAACACTATACTTACAAATTTGTTTCCTTTTTTTTGTATTATGAAATCAACCACAGTATCGACATTCATCAGATTTTCACAGCAGATTTTGTGGTAGCCATTTCAAATCACTCTGTTTATGTCTGCTGGTGATATGTACCTCCAGATCTGCAAAACGAGAATTTATAAGATCCTTTTTCTTTGAACTTTTTATTATACTTACCTACAGGGATTTTATTTCAAAAAGAACAGTCAATTGTAATTTTGAATTTTAATACAAAATCAAAAATTGCAAAAACGTCAGTTTAAATAGCTAACGGGAAGTTATCTGGCATATCTTGGAAAGTAATCAGACTTTTCCCAAATTTGATTATCGTTGTATCGTCAATGGTTTTCTAGATCCCCATGATATAGACATCCTTATCTTGGATACAGAGTATCCTCGAAAAAAGAAAATCGCCCTGAGGTTGTTGTTGCAATTATATTTCTGAAATTGTGACAGTGATTTCCGAAATGAGAGGCTGCACAAGCATTTTGCTACCCACCAAATAGTGAACTTTTGTAAAGTGATCTTTAATGGAACCAAGTTTTTACCACTACATTACGACCATTTGGCGATGCTCTCTCTCATGATGAGTCCCTTAGATTTGCAAATAAAAATTATTTATTCTATAGCAAGTGTTAAAATTACATTAATAAGTTTGAATAAGTAGGCTAAGCCGTTCTTTAACCGTAAGGATAGATAAAGTGAAACAGATGAATGTGCATTCTAATGACATCTGTCATTCTTATTTCAAATGCACGATATAAAATGACCTCCAGAACATATGACAATTCTGTTTCTATAGCAACGATCGTGACTGCAGATCCTAAGCAGAACCACCGCAGTGTACTAAAGTTTAAATTCTACAATTGCTGGATCATTCTTCGAACCTCCGAGACAGCTGCACCGGGTAGGAGTAGTGAAACCCCAGTTACAACATTTGGCCACCGTGACAGGACACTACAGTGAAGTTTTCAGCGCTGGAACGCACATTGTGCATAATTAAGGGATCAGTCGGAGATCAGCTGGTGAATTCGGAGTCTTCGCTCTTCAGAGGTACTGTGTACTGTTCATTCGCTTTGAGGGATTGTTGCAGAGAACATCTAAGAAGAAATGGAGCAGAAATTGAATGAACGTAAACTAATGCAGGTACTATTTACGAATTGCACCAACGAACTGTATCATCTAATTCTTGAGAAGTAACCAGTAACTGAAAGAAAAGTCAGTTAGAGTCTTCTGCAAGAGCCATATGAGGATTTAAAGCTGGTGGAACAACAGGTGTACGAGCTCATGATAGATGACACTTCGATGTCAGAGGTAGAAATCATTCAGGAGTTGGAAGGAGCGAGGGGACCCTGTGGACAGTTCACCAAACTTCTTGCAGGTTGGAAGAAGGTGCTTTTCCTTGCAGATTGAGAAGTTGGTGTAGTATACTCGTGCCCATTATTTTTACACCTGGCCTCTGTTGTTGGTAGTTTCTATTGCTTTGTTGCCCTCGATTGAAACCTTCCCTGTAGGTACCTCCAGAACTGCTCGAAGGCTCAAGGCCGTTAGTGTTTGCCCCATACACCTTTTCGCATGCGATGTGCATTACCAAGGGTTCCTACGACTCGGTTTGTACACCCATCTTATTTATTGCGCGGAGGCTATCGGCAATAGTGTTATGGATGATTTTAAGTCTCTATGGAGAGTTTGAACTCATTTTTGCTGTTGAAAGATGTTGCTTAGTTGTTTGGATAACAGTAGACGCTTACTCTGGTAACGGTTAGCAGCTTACACCCATCTTTGTAGTTAGCTTCACATACCTGCAGGTGCTGTAGCAGATTGCTGGCCTCACCTCTTGTGGAACAGCAGGAAGCAGTCGCGTAGTCGCCCCCAAATTGGAGGATCTGTATCTGTGGGAGAGGAACCCTTTCGTATTCCTTTTCTGCTCGGGATTCCTTCTCACAGAGCGATACTATGATTCGGTGAACTGCTTTTTCTGCAGTAGTGGACCTCTAAGGCCTAATTCCCCGCGTACCTTCATATCTTCGTGGGCTCCTTGGATGACATCCCAGATTTTGGGAATCTCCACCTGTTTATACTTCCAATAGCTGTTCCTCATCAAAGGTCTGCCCATGTGTTCTGGATAAGTTTCATAAGCCGAGCGTTGAGATATTCATTGTAGTCCATGGCAAATTCAAGGGTTTGCTTATAGAACTTCCTGGCGAAGTAATCGTATCCTGGTTCTGGGCGTGGCTGCAGGTAGCCCACTGCGTTTCTAACTCACTTCCTTTTCTTTTGATGACATCCATAGCTTCTAGAGATGCTCATCGGATCCTCTCAGCTTCTTTCTTCAGGATCGATAAGAACCCTTCTACGGCCTTTGCGTGGTTCGCTTTTCTATCTTTATACTTGCTATTTAGGGCACTTTCAAAATGTGGCACTTCACTCTGGGAGCGGAACCCTTGTGGTAACGAGGCATCAATTCGTGGAAGGTTTGAAGGAATAAGTGTGACACTTACTGGGACCGGATCACAAATGCAGTAACGTGGCACTCATTCGTTTAAAGGCTCGAAGGATCAAAAGTAGCACTTATTATGGCCTATGGGCACGGCACCAGTTGATTGCGACTGCGAATGCCTCGCGAAATAAAGCATGGAATGCATGCCCTATGGTTTTTGTTATCACCAGACATACTTTCGATTATGTTCGCTATGAAGCGGTATATGTGTAAATTTTCCCATGATTAACAAAATACAAATTCAAAACCAAATGTTCAAATGTTTAAACAATAAGCGACGAAAAACCCCAATGTCTATAGCTAATAATAACTTTACTCAATTACAAAGATATGCTAGACTGCTTCTCTAATTCTCTAAATAAAGGCATCTTTTATATCTCTGTCTTTGATTTGTACAATAACTCTCGAAAACAGCTCAAGTAATACTCCATAATGTTTGATAACTGACTGAGTAGGTAATCTTGTTGCTCACGCGGTTTACTCCTCAATTTCCTATTACCTCTTCGAGTGAACTAATATAATATATTTTGCAGCTTAGAAATGAAGTGCATCCGACTGTCGCTGTATGTAAAAGCAACGTACTTATCGTTCGATATATTAATAATCCCGATCGTCCTGTACGTGACAATCGTAGTGTACGTATTTCACAATCACATTCGAGCGGATAAGGTTTTTACACTGACGATATTTTATAATTCACTACGATTGTCGATGGCCACGTTTTTTCCACAAGCTCTCGGACTACGTGGCGAAGCGCTTGTGTCGATAAAACGTATTCAGGATTTTTTACTCAACACGGAAATTCAGTTGGAGAGCATCGAAAGTACGACCGATCCTATCGCCGTTGAGATTATTGACGGTTCGGCTAAGTGGAAGGAAGATCTCACATTAAAGAACATTAATTTCTCAGTGAAACCTGGCCGGTTAGTTGCGATAGTTGGACCTGTCGGGTGTGGTAAATCTAGTTTACTAAACGTGATGCTGAAAGAGCTGCAATTAGTTTCGGGGAAAATTTACATAAACGGAGACATCAGTTATGCGTCACAGGATGCTTGGCTGTTCTGCGCGAGTGTTCGTGATAACATTCTGTTCGGTGAACAAATGGATACTGATCGCTATAATGAGGTTGTACGCATCTGCGCTTTGCAAGCTGATTTTAAAACGCTACCGTTCGGTGACCACACAATGGTAGGGGGCCGTGGTGCTTCGTTAAGCGGTGGCCAGAAAGCGAGAATAAACTTGGCTCGTGCCGTTTACCGAAACTCCGATATTTATTTATTGGATGATCCGTTTGCCTCTGTAGATGCTCGTGTGGCGAAACAAGTATTCGACGAATGCATTAGGGGATTTCTGAAGGGGAAGACTGTAATATTAGTGACACACCACATCCTATTCTTAAAAGATGTGGATCAGCTCGTAGTATTAGAGAATGGTACGATTATTTCACAAGATTCAAAGGTTGATGACAAGGGAGGTCTCGATCACTCAACTGCAAAAGATGATTTAAATGAAGATGAACTCAATCGTGGTACATTCCGAAATAACGAAACCGATAAAATTCAAAACATTACTAAGGAACAAAAGTCTGTAGGATCGGTATCAATAGGTGTATATCGAAGGTACATCAGTTCTTGTGGATGGTTGCCAGTGTTTAATGTTGCTATACTGTTCCTAGTTACACAAACACTGATTAGTGGAGGATCTTACTTCTTGACATACTGGTAAGTACCTATATATAACTTTTCAGTGTTACAAATGTTCCAAAATAATTCTTCTATTCCACTCCTTCCTCTGGTTAATCTTCATATATCTTAATTAAATTGCGGGTGGTTCTTGTTACCTACATAATTCTGTATATGTATAAAGGTGCTCCGACTATCTCAGTGATTCTCTTCTAAGGAAAGAGTAAAGGTAAAATAATCTTTATATTATAAAACGATTCATATCTTCTTTAAAGTACCTCTTTGTTGCAATAGAATTTTTTATTTATATATGGCCCAAACTCAATGTATAATGGATAATCTTGAGGTACTAAAAGCAAATATGTATTTTAATAATGACGCGCTGTACAATAAAATAAAGCAAACTGCAATACGTTAATTTGTTAAGAATTTTCAGGAGCAGGTGTATATTCTGTTGCACTCGGTATCCACCCCCAATTTGATATAAAATGGCAAGTAGGTGGTTAAATCGCCTTTTTTTTGTATCAAATACACTGCGACCGACGCTAGTTCAAATATACAACGAGTCAAATCAAAACGAATGGAAACACAACGGAAAGCGTCAACATTGCAACGCGATAGAACAATTGTTCATAAATACCTTTCTTGTTTGTGCACCTTGAGTTTTGGATACATTCTAGTTACGGCTTTCAATTGATTAGTTTCTTCGGGATCTACCCAATGGACCGATTAACCTGAAAAACGCACATTGTTAAAGCAACTAGCACAGATTTGGCACTGCGTGACGGCGCTTAAAAAATACTGCTTCCTTACTATTTACATTCATATTTATAGGTATGGTCCTTGTAAAGTCTGACCCAATAAGTTCTTACTATGAATGATTATAAGTACCCACCCACCACTATTATACGAGCCCTAACACATAAATGTTCGAACATCTAGCATTTTTAAAATAAAACCGAAATAAAAATAAAACCAGTCCAATGTCAATAAAGCCGCAGATATCTTATATAGAAATATGTATTATACCTAAGTTTATTGTTTATGTTTGATACCAAAAACCAATTTTTTTAATGCTCTCACAACATAAAAATGAGAAAACCAGCGAAATTAACTGACACATAAATGTTCGGACACCACATATATTTGATAGTTTGATCTAGGTATAACAGGATAAAAACCAAAAAAATTATAATTTTTATAACTTGTCAGCACACTTTGACATTTTGTTAAAAGAAAAATGGCACATAGCAAAGCAACACGGAAAGAAATTCGACAATTAATAATTAAATTGGGTTCATACGGGAAAATCCTTTAGGACAATGGGTCAGGAATTCAATTTGCCCATGTCCACGGTGGTAGATATTGTAACAAAGTATATGGGAAAACAGCATCAATCGAAGTTGAAGGAAACAACACAGGAAGACGGCCACCAGTTACCCCTAAAATGCAGAAAGCGCTGATAACCATTTGCCAAGTCTGGACGAAGAGACACAGTACGGAATCTTACGGTAAAATGGCACGAAGTAACAAATGCTCATGTTTCTACCTAAACCTGTCGAAGGTGGATCCACCAATCAGATTTAGATTTTTATAAAGTAAGTTGATCTTTAGGTTAAAATGATTGAGCATTAGAAAATACTTTTTTAAATAGGCGAAAGAAAAACATCTGTAAAACACAAAAATAATAAAGAAGAGGTTGAATTGGCTTCCGGAACGGCCGGCGTGGTCTTATCAAGACTGGTAAAAATCATTTTTAGTAATGTATCTCGATTTGATATCAATGTAGGCGATAATCGAGAAAGAGTTATCAGAACGGAAAACAAAGCGTTTCACAAAGATTGCTTAAAGCGTTCTGTAAAATTCCCCAATGGTGAACGGTGTGGGGCAGTATGTCTGCAAATGGGCTGGGACAATTGCACTTACAAATGGCAATGTTTATGCTCAGAAATATCAAGCAATTTTAGACCAAAGTAGATTGCCTTCACTTGCGACATTATACCCTGATGCAGACTTTGTTTTTCAATAAGACGGAGCATCATGTCACAGGAAAAAACGACTAAGAAATGGTTACAAGACCACAATAATAGTGTTTTAGAGGTGCCCTCAAGCAGTCCAGATCTCAATGTCATTGGAACAGTGTGACAAAATGAAGCAAACTTTGCGTATTCATCCGCAACGCAATATTGCTTCTTTGAGTGAAAAGTTACAAGAGATTTGGGATACCTTTGGCATCGATCAATGTAAAGCTCTTGTGACGATCATGCCTACACGAATCCAAGCTGTTATTAAAGCCAAAGGGGATGTAACTCATTGTTAAGGGGTGGTGTCCGAACATTTTTGTGTCACTTTAAATTCTAATTTTATGGTGTTTTGTGTTATTTGACAGTTGAAATTAATTAATTTTGAAACAAAATATAAAATTACAGTTACTAAATATGTTTAATTTATAACTATAGTAAGAAAAAAAAATAAATAAACATACAATGATTTTTAAGTTACAACATTTGTAAAATTTTGAGTGTCCGAACATTTATGTGTTAGGGCTCGTAAAAGGAAAAGGTAAACGTGTTTCATTCCTCCGACACCCTGAGGGATACCACAGGCGGGCTGCTCAGGGTTTCCTGACCCCCTTCAGCTAGAGAACGGGAATGTAAGGATGGGTAAAGTTAAGGATGAGAACAGAAGGAATGGAGTTAGAGTGCTGAGAGGGAAGAGTACCTACTGCTCCAGCATTCGCCTTGTAGATATGCGAAGCTACGTACGTCTGAGGAAAACCCTCTGTAGTCCAGGCCTCCCCCCCCCCCCCTCACACACACATCGCCACCTACGTAACATAAAATAACTAGAACCCGGCAACCATATTTTTAAAACAGATAACTACAGACGAGGTACATTAAAGGATACGCATAGTGTGGGTCCAGATGGCATTTCTACCAAAACCATAAAAATATTAGCGGAAAATATTGGATTGCCTTTAAGTATAATTTTGAATCGATGATATACAGATGGTAGTTATCCTAATGGTAACAATAATAGGTTATGGAAAATTATAGACCCATCACAGTAACATCGTGCATATCAAAAATATTTGATACCATATAAAAAAATCTATCTTCAAATCTTTACGCAAACCTAGACAATTCTATTCCTACAATGGGAAATTTTTTTGACCTATATCCAAGGCTTTTGATTGCGTGTCTATTCCAATACTGTTGGAAAAATGAGAATTGTGTGGTGTACGTGGGAGTGGAAGTCTACTATTTAAACAATTTTTTGAGTAATAGGAAGCAAAGGGTCTACCTACTGTAATGGAAAGTTGAGCACAGAATTAGGAGTCTCTCGCGGTATTCCACAGGGCTCTATTTTGGGACCTCTACTATACCTACATAATATATGCAAACGAAACGAAGCACACTAAGTTAATATCATATGCCGACGACACATTATTACTTGTAACAGGAAAGAACTGGGAGGAAGTGTAATGCAAGCTCAGGATAGAATATCTTATGTTAAACATTGGCTAGATAATAATCTCCTTTGTCTAAACTTTGATAAAACATTTTGTATGACTTAAATTGTATAATCTATCTGAACACCAAACGCTAGATCTCTTGAAAATTCACTGTTTTGGATGTAGTCAAATTAATTGCAAGAGCAATGTTTACATTAAAAAGATAACGGAGATTAAATATCTGGGGATATATTTTGATCAATACCTTAGATGGAATGTGCATGTTTCACACTATAAAGTTACATTCTCTAAAGAAAATTTATTTCGGATATGTACAAGCAGCTCTGTAATGTTACGGTATACTAATATGGGGGGGGGGGGAGAGAGAGAATCGACGTCTTACATTCACCAGATTATAGTGGTCCAAAAATAATCATTAAAACCATGTTACAAAGACCAAAGAGATATCCGTCTCATCTAGTTTTTCATGAATCTCAGTTATTCTGTGTAAAGCAGTTACTTTATTGCCATTGCTAGATATTTATATAATAATCACCTGAACAGCGAACTGGAATTACCCATACACAATTACTCCACCAGATGGAAGATATCCAATAAGTGTAATGTACCGCTTACAAAGAAAAAGATTTTATTCAACGCTTATAAAATTTTTAATAAGGTACAAGGATTTTACGGCAATGACTTACTTGGTAACTTACTCATACGAATCATTTAAAAATAAGATTAAATATCTGATCCAAACGGTCAGTGGAAAACATTTTTTAAATGAAAATAAATTAAAGAAAGATTATTATATATTTTTTTTAAACATAAATTTAATGGAGGTGTGTATGATTAGCATGATGTACATGCAACAAGTTGTCATTTAGCATGCACATCAGAAATTATTTAATTTTGTTGTTTAAGTTTATTTAATATAAGTAATATATATTTTTTTCCGTTAAATTTAAATTTTTAGTTTAGCTTAAAACATGGACATTTAATATCAATCTCTTTTATATTTATGAAGGCCGTTTGAGTTAAAAATAAAGGGATACTATGATTATTATTATTATTCTCTCATTTAGTATTATTATTACCGTAGCGTAGAGTTTACTCTTTGATATTACTTATAGGTCGGCCGTTTGAGTTAAAAATAAAGGGGTACTATTATTATTATTATTCTCTCATTTAGCATTATTATTACCGTAGCGTAGAGTTTACTCTTTGACTATGCTATATCATTTTGTAGATAATTTTATGCTGTTTAATTCTCTTTAATTAGGAGCAACAGTTCTCAAGTTATTCACGGAAAACGGGACCTTTACTTTGATTTTTGATTCAATTTCCTGGGTAGGCGTGTCGCCTAGTGCATTGTCATGTGTATAGTTAACAATTGATCCAACTTTTCCGGTTCACGAAAAAGTGCAGAGCCAAAGATGAAGTCAGAGATTTTGTTAGTAAAAAACGATGAAAAAATTTTTGCACAAAATATTGATATTTACGTCCGCTGTGACGTCAGTAGCCAGACACATGCACGACCTTGTAAAAATTAATAACTGGGTAGTCGGAATGGCAGGTGTTTCCTATTTACCCTATCCACATTCTGCACCTTGATGTCCAATTTGTTAACACTAAAAGTATTGCAGGGTGAACAAAGCACAAATGGAGGATATGGCTCTCAAGCAGGATAATACCAGCATCTTCATCCCAGAGTCAATGGAATATAACCAGTACTCGAACAACATGTACATTTACTTATATTCCTTAATAACCGCCATGTGCATCATTATTGTGTCAATACGGTCCTACACATTCTACTCTTTATCATTAAACTCATCAGAAAAACTGCACAACAATATGTTCAAAAACGTCATTGGCGGAACCATGCGTTTTTTTAACACAAACCCTCAAGGACGGATCATAAATCGCTTCTCGCAGGATATGGGCACGGTCGATACGCTTTTGCCAACTGTTGCAATTGATACGACCCAGTTATTGTTGTACGCGCTCGCTTCGGTTATACTAATAGCAGTTGTAAACTACTGGCTATTAATACCAACAATAGTAATAGGTGCTATGGCGTACGGTTTGAAGACCTATTGCCTGTTAACAAGTCGTAATATAAAACGACTGGAAGGTGTAAGTAAGTTTTTTATTTGCGTTTTAATTGTTTAATAAACGTCCAATTAGCTCGGAGTCCAGTTTTCGAACACTTAAGCTCATCGCTACAGGGCCTAAGTACCGTCCAAGCTTTTCAGGCAGAAGCAATTCTCAGAGAGGAATTCGACATCCATCAAGACTTGCATAGCGGCTGCTATCATTTATTCCTAACCACGTCCCAGGGTTTCGGATATTTCCTCGACTGCATATGTGCTGTATACCTCGCCATAGTCACGCTTAGTTTTGTAATTTCCGATCATGGTAAGTCGCTTGTAAAGTGGACCGACGTAGTTGAATCTCTCTTATAGAGCTGCTGGGTGGTAACGTAGGGCTCGCTGTTACCGAGTGTCTAAGTGTGATTGGCATACTTCAATGGGCGATGCAACAGACGGCGGATTTGGAAAATAACATGACATGTGTGGAACGTATTTTGGAGTATGATTCCGTCGAACAAGAGGAAAGTGGTGGTGTAGAGGTGTCGACTACGTGGCCGGAAGTTGGGGAAATAGTGTTCCGCAACGTTACCCTTCAGTATTTACCGGATGCTCCACCTACTTTAAAAAATTTAAGTTTCCAAGTTTCTTCAAAAGAGAAAATTGGAATTATCGGACGAACGGGTGCAGGAAAAACATCTATTGCCAACGCCCTTCTTCGGTTAACTCCAATATCTGGAGAAATTTTAATTGATGGCGTTGACACAAAGAGCATAAATTTGCAAGCGTTACGTTCAAAAATTTCGGTCATTCCTCAAGATCCTACTCTCTTCTCTGGCACTTTAAGGCAAAACTTGGATCCATTTCAAGAGTACGAAGATAGTGCTTTGTGGAATGTTCTCGAAGATGTTGAACTTAAGGAACTATTTGCTTCGTCACCGCAAGGTTTGTTTTGATCTACCGTACAGAAGTGATATAGTTTGTTGTTTTAGGGTTGTGTCATGTCATCAGCCAAGGTGGGAAGAATGTAAGCGTGGGCCAACGTCAGCTTATATGCTTAGCACGTGCCATTTTACGTAATAATAAAATATTAATCATGGACGAGGCTACTGCAAACGTAGATTTGGAGACCGATACTTTAATACAGAGGACAATTCGGAAAAAGTTTGAGTCGTGCACAGTACTGACCATTGCCCATAGGTTACAGACAGTTTTGGATTCTGATAAAATTCTAGTTATGAGTGAAGGTGAGGTTGTTGAATTTGATAAGCCATCTGTGTTACTAAATAATGATAATGGATACTTTTACAAAATGTCAACAAAATTGAACAAATGAGAAGATATCATGCCATAAGTGTTCGTTTTATATAAGTTTATAATAAAGTAACGAAATATCATGCCATAAGTGTTCGTTTTATATAAGTTTATAATAAAGTAACGAATATTTTGAATTGTTTTTTTATCTTTATGAATATGAGAAACACACGAGGGGCAAACCACTGTGGAATTCTGGTGTACAACCTCTTGGAGTTCTTATGGAATTCATGGAACTCTTTTGGAATTCTGGCGGAATTCATGGAATTCTTTTGAAATTCATACAAATCTTTGGGAATTAACTTGTAATTTTTATTGGATTCATTTGGAATTCGCAGGGATTTCTAAATCTTTTTACAAGCTATGGTTTAGGTTGTGGCTTACGTTTTATTGATGTGTATATAATTACCTGCAATTCGTACATTTTTGGTTTGTAGATTATAGTCGTAGAATTCGAAGGGTAACTGTTCATTTATTTTTACTTATGATAAAGAAAGACTCGGCTCTCACGTAACGTTCAAACAGTAGGACTCAAAAATAACTAAAATATTGTGTCACTGACCTTCACAGTCATAAAAGTAAACTTTTCTCCTTGCTTTCCCTCGAAGTTTCCAAAAATGTTGTAAAAAAATAAATTATATGTAAAATGCTCTATATTCACAACATTAATACCTACTTAACACGTCTCTTAGAATAAAACAAAACGTCAATGATATTATTTAACTATCGGTTATTAAGGATCACTATACAAAACAAGTAAAAAGGATTTCGCCTTAAGGCGAGTAACTTCATGGTATTTTTCATAAATTGATCAGTACTTCCCCAAGGTTATGTGCGCTATGTTTTTCTTGTACTATTATAGAGACATATGTGGTTAAAATGTCAAAGAAATATCTTCATAAATAAGGAAGTTGGCACTGACTGACTGCGCATGCGCACATCTAATGTTTGCAATACCAGACATGTTTGCCTCTAACGACAGAAGCATCTGTGATTACAATTTCAAAAAGATATTCTCAAAAATATCTCAATAAGTTGATATTGCGCATGCGCACATTATTCTGATATTTATAATATGCGATACGTTTGCTTTTCCTAAAAGCATCATTGGTAAAAATTTCAAAGAAATATCTCCATAAGTAAGAAAATTGACACTGCGCATGCGCAGTTTCATCGTCAAGATTTTCATTGGCTCAGGTGCCAGAGCTATACGCTACCGAATGCAAAAAGAACGAACTAAATATCATGAAAACTGTAGGAGTACTTAAGGCCCTGGACAGAGGGACAGAGAGAGACAGAGAAAGTGGCTGCAATAGTGCACCCAACTTCGTTAGAAATTGCGCTAAAAATTGTACAACACCTTTTGAAAGTGTTTTGCTTGATTAACTCGGGCTTCATCTTTATGATTCAGTGGTAGAGCATTGGACTCTAAATCCGTAGGTCGGGTGTTCAAATCTGGGTTGAGGTGAATTTTTCATCTGTGGCAGAGATGGGAATTACCTTAGACCAGTTTCGAGCAGTCTGCTGGTTACCCCGAAATAGGTTTTCCTGCAGTTTCCCTATTCATATGGTAAATACCGGAGTAGTACCTATAAGTAGAACAACACTTAAGACCTTCTGCACAGGCATCTCTAAAAAGCATTATGCGGTCACTCTAGGTAACTGGGCGCAAGCCTGTTGAGGGTCGAGAACAAGAAAGGGATGATAAATAAATAAATAGTTAAACTGCAAATTCATGAAAAAGGTATCGCTTTCAAAATTAGTTGTACAAATATAACTAAGATAACATCTTTTGGGTAGACAAAAAATTCATTTTGTCATCAGCTGGCAAATCATTTATAGTAAGAAGATGTTTATCCTCCCATAGTATGGCCACTTAAATGTCGGTTTCGGATATACAAGAAGGTAAACTCGTGTCGACTTATGCTCACTTACATGCGTAAAGCCTGCTGGCTGTATTTGACACTCGTAACTAGCAAGAGAGAAAAGGGGAATCCGGGGTAATCGGGATATCTGTCAACGCCACAAATGTTGGTTTTGTATAGTTGCACTTGATTGCGTGTTGTAAGTTTATTATGCTAATATATACCTAATAGGTACAGGATCCAGATTATATAACAAAGACATGCTCTTTACAAGTGGCGTATTTACGGGGGGGATGAAGGGGATATATCCCCCCCAGAAGAATTGAGTTATTATCATACCTATTAGGTATTTAGGTAATACTCCGCTATCCGCTCCGCCCACTTTAAAATAAAGGCAATAATATATAGGTATATATAGAGAGCAATTTTGGTTTTGGTTAAAGTCTAAAGTCACTAAAATCTAAATATTCTGTAGTATTCAGTATTCACTATTCAGTGAGTGATCAGTGTTGGCGATTTGGCTATTTGGCATCGATCGGCAATTCGCTACATTGATGCCCAAAATAACAAATAGGTATCAGGTACTTAGTACTGCTACTGAGGTGAGGTACCTGCGTCCTGCCTTTCACGAAATGACAAAAATAAGAATTTTAAAAACAGGAACTTTTTTTGCCCATAACTTTTGATTGAGACGTCTAATCGAAAAAGTACGAATCGTTTTGGATTCTACGCACCCAAATTAATAAGAAAAAGTTTTTTCCTGAGAAATTTTGGTGCAGTCGATTTTTGGTAAAAAAGGAAGGTAATAACTCCCTTTTTTTTTGCCCAGAAAAAAAATTGTTTCAGATCGACCCGGGGAAAAAAAATTTCTTATAGAATGTGGCCTGTACAATCCATAATTTCAAACAGTTCCAAGATTGGGCTACTAGTTCAAAAGTTACAGCCCTTTGAATTTTTTGTCGAAATTGGTTTTTTGCCCATAAATATACTTATTATTCAAAGTTTTCGTTGACTAATTAAAGCAAAAGCAATAAAGGGGCCTGTCAGCAGTAAGAAATAAAATACCGTTCTAATCTAATCTTTTTCGCCTGTACAATAATAAATAGATAAATGACTACCAGCATCAGCAACCTGCAACCCAATTTCTATTTTTTACCCCCCCTCCCCCTCACCCCCGAATACATTTCTACGTACGCCACTGCTCTTTACTAGGTATAATCATTGAATAAAGATTTATTATTCAATGGTATAATCGAATGGATACGAATGTGTTGACGTACCTTATACGTTTTACAAGGAGCATAATTTATTTTTGAAGGTGACTGAAATTCTTTGGAATTCTTTATGGAATTTTTTGGAATGCAATGGAATTCTTTTGCAGTTTTGGCAGTTTTTTGGAAGTCTCATGGAATTTTTTGGAATTCTGGAATTACTTTGCACTCTTGGAATTCTGGTGTACACATTTTTGCTCAGTGGTTTACCCATCGGTAACACATGAAGACAAATCTGACACCTCCTAACAATATACACGAAACAATAAAGTGATCTTCCACCTACATCCAAGTAGATATACCTATTAGGGTGGACCGAAATAACTCATTTTTTTATTTCGAAGTAGTAATATAGCGCGGAAAATATGCGAATTATACAGGGTGGTGACTTGCGTAACGCGTCATAGGGATTTCAATGTAAAATTCATAACATGCAATTATTGGCTCCCCAAATTATTTTAGAGCAAAAATGTATTAGTAAAGTATTTTTTTATGAGCATCAAGTCCTCAACCAGTCATTCGCGAAAATCAACCTGCCATACCGCAGCGACGGGCCCCGATAGCCGCCATACCGGCGCAAAGATGTCATTTTTGTTAATAAAGTCGTGCCACCATTGGGTACCTATATTTGCATTTACCACTCAACTGGAACCATCGTTTTATAGTGCATATTTCCTTAGACTATGAAAGAAAGTCCCTTCTGAAAGCATATTTCAACATTTATTTCGAAAATCTTTCTCCATTTTCTTATTTTTGTAATAAATATTATAAAACGTACCTATATATTAAAAAAAAAATGAAAATCGTTCGTTGAGTGAAAAATGAAGTCGTTATTAAAAACTTTTACTTCCTGTAACTGAACAATCTAGTTCGGTCGACGTTCCCGCACTCGTCCGTTGCATCGACATATAGAAATGGACTGCGCGTGCCAATGCTAAGCGCGGCTACTGCAAATGAGCAGCGAGCCAAAGGGGGCAAACTAAGAGGCGAGCTCACTCTCTCTGTCTATCACGCTTGCTTAGTTTGCCCCTGTCGCTCACCTGCAGTATTCGCGGTTAGCATTAGCACGCGCAGTCCATTAAATCAGACTGCAACCAATAAGGAACATTATGAGAAGCGCCCTCAAGTGGCATATTTTACAGTTACAATGCTATGGCGCTCAAATTTTTAAATGTCTAGTGTGATTCCACTCCAAATATTAAAGTTCATTTACGCTACCATTTATCTTAACTAGGACACAACTATCAAAGTGCTATCGATCATTATTTTATTAAAGATCTTTGCCAAAGTTACCTATATCTTTCGTGCTGTGTTGGAAATCTATGACTTCTTGTTGTCATTATCCAAACAACCCCCAGCCTTTTTCCCTACTATAAATAAATAAACTAAACCAAGCATTAAAATCTTTTATTAACTACAGCCTCAATAAGTTACGCATTTTCGGTATGATTCCAAATACCATTTCCCGTAAAATGATGTTCACGTTCCATAAAATATAATATCAAATTTAAGTGCTCTATTTCAGTTCCGTCACCTTTCAGGTAATCACGGGCACTTTCATAGGCTGCCTTTACTTTGCCCCTACAAGATCCAATAGTTATACAGTTACTACCGTTGGGAATTTAAATACCGTGAATACAAAAGCACCGGAATTGCATTTATAATAGCTTCCCTACTGAAATTCAATTCCCGCAAGTACTCGTAATTATCTTCTATACGGCTTAAGTTAACACATCGATGGTGAACGTGCTTCTTTAAATTAACACCAATTCGTCGACTATGACTTCCGAGTAACTGTTGAATAAACTTTGTAACCTCCTCGTGACGGTGCATATTAAGGCCTTGTTGCAGAAACGCAATGAACTGCTCTGGTTTGTAGCCTAACTAAATTTGCTTAGAAAGAGTTCAAATTAATACATTAGTCTTACAAAGTACGGAGAGTGACGTGCACTTTATC